CCTGAGCCTGAGCCTGAGCCTGAGCCTGAGCCTGAGCCTGAGCCAATTAAAAAAGGCTATTAATCTTAGTCTAGTTAAAGGCGTTAATCTTCCTATTACTAATTAACTACCGCGCCCTCTTAACTAACTACTTAAGGCTCTATTTAATAAGTTCTAGTATAGGCTTACTAATAGGGTTAGGGGTCTTAGTGAGCTGCGCGACGTCTACTATACTATAGCTCTATAGGTAGTAGAGCTACTAGGTTATCTTAAGCTAGGGGAACACCTCTATTCTAGAAGAGCTTTCCTAAATTATACTACTCTCTACCTCTATATTAGTAAGGCCTCCCTCTAGCACTTAGTCTACCTAGGCCCTAATAAGATCCGCTAGAGGAACTATCTAGGCCCCTAGGTGCTAAGTCTAAATCTTTCTCTCCTTCTTTTTCTTCTCCTACTACTATTACTAGGCGGGCGATAGTATAGCGGAGTAGCCGCTAGTATAGCTAGTAGTAAAGAGGCGCTAGTAGTAAATAGTCTATAGTAGAGACTTAGTAGCTATATTCTTTACCTACTTAGCAGGCTAGCCCCTATAACTAAAGCCTACCTTATACTAGATGTAGAGGTGCTTCTATGGGGTCTTCTACTTCCGCCCTATAAAGGGGTATTATAGGTATAGTAGGCTGTTCTTAAAGATTAGAACGTCTAGAATAGTAGGGGTGAATAGGGCTAGAAGCTTAAAGGAGTCCGCCTTAGGGTTAGTGAGCGGATACTACTTAAGGAGGGCGGCTATAGCTAGGCCTATAGTGGAGAGAGACTATATGGATAGATAGCTCTTATAGTAGTCTTTTAGGTGGGTCTAAATATAGAATAGGGTAATAGCGCGCTTATATAGTTAGTAGACGAGGACCTTAAGGTCTAGGAGGTAGTTAAATAGATCTAAATCTATAGTGCGGTTAATAGGATGTTAAGGCGTATAGAGAAAGGGGGGAAAGGTGTAGGTAAGGGGCGGTAAATAGGATATATAGAAGTAGAAGGATATATAGGGTAGCCTAGCGACGTATAGTAGTTACTAGATATATCTATATTTATATTTACGTTAGCGCGGCTATAATTTAGTTAAGGGCTATATAAGGGGAAGGTTCTATAGACGAAGGCTTCTATAGATAGGCCTAGCGGCGTAGAATTCTGGAGGCGGGGGATTATATTATTCTACCTGGGGCGGGTAGTTAGTGCTAGCGTGAGTAGTTTAGTGCGGGTAGGGTGATGGTTTAGCAGCCAACTAGAGGGTCAGTCAATTGGGAGCAGCCCTCGAACGAATAGGGCATGCAGTACCAGTTAGTCAGTCAGTCAGTCAGTCAGTCAGTCAGTCAGTCAGATCACACATGTAATCGACGACAGCTTTACCGATCCATGGAAACCCTATGAGACGATTGTTATCCAACATGGCTTCGCTCGTCACGCCGCACACTGGTACTATTGGGTGCCAGCTCTGTCACGCAAATACAGGGTGATCCGTCGAGATGCGCGCGGACACGGTCGGTCCAGCTACCCGCCGTGTGGTACATCCTACAATTACTCGATGGACACTATACTCGACGAGATCATCGACACCTTGGATCAGCTAGGGCTGCAGAAGGTGCATTTCTTAGGGGAGTCAACTAGTGGCGCGATCGGCGAGGCGCTCGCTGCAAAGTATCCTGAGCGCCTGCACTCGCTCATTATCTGCTCGTCACCAACTCACCTGCCACCTCCTGCTCTGAAGATGTTTGCGTTCGGGCATGAAAGCTGGCCAGCCGCTTGTCGAGAATTAGGGTCGCGCGGATGGGGAGAAGCGTTGTCGAAAGTGCCTGGCACAGTTCCGGCCGGGGACTCAGAACAACTGAAGTGGTGGATTGAACAGGTCGCGATCGCAAGCGGTGAGGGCCTGGCAGGATACGCGGAGTTCTTATCGACGATAGACGCTCGGCCGTACCTGAAAGATATCAACATATCAATGTTGATATTGGCTCCGGCGAACAGCGCAGCGACGAAGCTGGAAGAACAGATGGACATCCATGGGCAAGTCAAGGGCTCGAAGATCGAGGTCATCTATGGAAAAGGCCACGAGATCTTTACAGAAAAGTCTGAGGATTGTCAGAAAGCGTCACTGGCATTTCTAGATTCGTTGAAGCGGTAATATCTGGGCAGCACTACGTGCTAACAAATACTCGGGAAAGCAATTTACCTGAAATAGTACTTGGTAAAGGAACCCAATCCTTGGGTAAGGCATTGCCTGGCTACGCAAAAGTACTCTGAGCTCTGCTTGCCTGCTGTCATGGCTGAAGCCTGTGTAGCGTCTGCTTAACGTCGACTATCTGTGTCATGACGAACAAGATCCAGGTGCTACCAACGCCATACTATGCCCGCAGCGTCGAATACGCACATTGTTAGAACACTATATGCATCTAGGTTACTACCCCACAAATCCATTTGCCTCTCCCCCACAAATCCACTTCACCCTCGCGGCTAACCCAGCGGGGTGCTTAACCCTAGCAACTATATGACAGGCACTTGTGAACAACTCTTGTCGAGTATAGTGTGTCGTTGCGTAAAGACTAGTTATCCTCCGAGTTACAAACCAATCAATTGGATTCGTTGTTTATTAGAGCGCCCAAGATCGAAGCAAACTTGCGTGCAATCTCCCAGTGACCAATGCGTTGCAGAAGATCAGTGAGTCCACAAAGAAGGCCATTAGCCTCAATGGCCGCTGGCCGGCCGTATCTGTACCCGTTTGCTTCAAATAGAAGCGATGCCGTGTTAGTTCCAAGCAATTTGAACTCCGGAAAATCCAAGCTTTCAAAGGTTGCATCGTCGTGGGTGCCGAATTTAGAGTAGCAGAAGAAGCACACAGCTGCGAGGAACATCGCGCGTGGCACATGGAGTGCAGGCTCAAATCCTAGGGAAAAGATTTCGAGTCGCTTCTGGATTAGCAGACCGTGAGCCACGCATCGCTTCGCCGGCGCCGAATTTGCCCACTCGCTGATTCTGTTGTGCTCTTCGTTTGTGAAATTTGGACCCTCTCGACCAATGGCTTTCTCGAGGAGGTCGAAATCTGAGAAAAGGGACATGAACGTAAGATGCCAGAGGATCCTCATGCCTAGGTGGTCGGGATGCGGTGAAGTGGCACTGGGCAGGAGTCGCTCATGGAAATTCAGCAGCAAGTCCTGGATTGTTTTGATAAGCGACCCACTTAGCGATCCACTCATCCTCGCTTCAATTATGGTAACAGATATGCCTTCTAGTGCGGCACAGTTGGTGAAAATGTTGGTCGCAGGAAGATTGAGGAGGCGTTGATTGTCTGGTGTGTCTGCAGAGGCTGTACTGGAAGACTGCTGAAACCTGGTGGTTGGCTCATTGATGTACTGCGAAGCCCAATCTTGAGGCTTTGATGCCATGAAGAGAGCATTAGAAGCCGCAATTGGAAGTCGCCTTACGGAATGACGCAGAAGCGGTTCGTGGTGGAATATACTTGCTAGTTCAGCATCGTGTATGTAAAGACCGAGTGTGATTCGGATGAGCTCCTCTGTTCGGGCCCACTCCTGCCACCTGTAGTCGAGATCCTGGCCGCTGAGGCCAGGCTCAAGTTGAATCGTATGTCTAGTGTCGAACATCTTGCTTCTTCTGGCCCACGAAATGACAGTGCCATGGAAGGCATCCATGATCGCCAAGTGCCTTGCGTCACCCGAAAGGAGACCAAAAGTCTGTCCAATGAGGGCGGCTTGTACCATGGAAACCACTTCCTCCGGACCTCTTGCCATCAGCCGTTCCCAGTTTGCGAGGATAGCCTTGTGCAAACGTTCGAATATCTGCGTACCCTGTTGAACAGCACTAGCAGAACCTGTGAACAAACTTCCCATGGAGCAGATCGAGAGCAAGAGGATGGAATTGGCCTTCGAAGGACGGAAGGTCGGCGCATGAACGACTGGAAACACAGGATGGCAACGTGTGAAATAGGATCGGACACATAGATTGAGAAACTCTGCGGAGGGGAGCGAATGTTCAAGCGGCCGAATTTGAAGCCTTCTGTTAAGCGCCTGTCGGTAGTCGTCGTCGACCTCTATCCGTTGTTGGTGTATTACGGGGGTTGCAACACCTGAGATGGGCTGGTCCACTTGAGGCTCGTTAATATTAGTGAACCAGAGGCTCCGTATGCTTGCAAGCGGCTTATCACTGGTCCTGGATGTTACCGGGGGATTTTCAGGCCACGCAGGACCCAATTCGACCATTGAGGTAAGGAGATGCGAATCGAACGCATAATTATCGAAGTCATTGTTGATAAGCCAAGACGAGAACTGAGCCTCGAAATCGAAGTCCGTCGGTGCAGGGGCTGGATAATGGGACTGCGGTAGCAACCTTGACGTAAAGGCCTCATCATAAGTTGTATCCGAAGAGATGCGTTGGTCTTCGTTGAACTGGCTCTGGAAACCATCATCGCGATAGCTCTGCGCGATCTCTAGCGGTGGCGCACCGCTGCCCATCGGCGAGGCGTCAATGCCCCTTACAATATTTGGGGGCGTGGAGCTAGCATAGTTCTCTACGTCTGCCGGCAAAGCCGGTGAAGGAGGCGAACTGATGCCGGTCGCTGGTAAGATTGTATCACCATTGGAACCTTGGTCGATACTGTTTCGTTGCGTGCCAGGGTGTTCTTTCAAATGTCTGAGCAGAGTATCGCTGGTAGATACATGTTAGCCGTTCAATACAACCATTTATAGGTACCAGCTCACTTTCTACCATATTTCCTAGGACATCTGGGACACTGAAACGGTTTCTCTTTGGTGTGGGACCTTACGTGGCGCTCCAGGTGTTCTGTCTTGGTGAAAGAACGTGAACAGATTGGGCATTTTCGTTTGTTGTCTTGCAGACGGCGCTTAGGCGATGGGGCCGTCTGCTCAGGACTAGATGCTGTTGCTATCATAATGGGTACAGCAAGCAAGGCTGTATCGTCCGGCTATGTGAACATATATAAGGGAATATCAGGTTTCGCGTCCCCTAGCTTTGCGGGGAAGTTAGTCCAACAGTAACCGGGTAAATAGTAACTTTGCCGGATAGCCGTGCCAAGAGTCTTTGCCGAGAGAGGCCGCTTGTTACAGTCTAATTAGATAGTACTAGTAGAGCTAGTATGTAACCGAAAAATAGCCAGCTCTAGCTAGCTATTATATAACTACTAGCTACTACTAGTAGAATGGATTATATGTCTAGAGATAGATAGTAAGAATAGTAGAAGAAAGTAGTACTTGTATTACTAGCTACTACTAGTCTTTAAGAAACACTAGTAGATATATAAATAATACTATTTCTATTTATTATCTTATCTTATTTCTTACTCTCTTTCTAAGAAAGAAAAGAGTCTCTATATCTATAGAAAGTTATCTAGAATCTTCTATAGTATTATTGAGTACTATATAATATCACGTGATATATAGTAACTAAATCTTATCTAGAATCAAGGTAGCTAGATCGCGCGTTCAAGCTCTAGTACAAGTTACAAGAGCACTAACTAAACTCATTCTCGCAGCGGAACTTTAGAATACTTTTTGTCATACACATTACGTACGCGAGGGGCCCCTCACGGATCTCCGCGGCGCCTGCACCTAATTCTCCAAATCAAGTCATTTTGTTCTGAATCGCGACAGAAAGATCGAGCAGAGGCCCTGCCTTCAGAGACATTGATATAAAGGAAGACTAAAACTGATGCAGCTTCGCATTCCGCGTCCACCTCCTCATCGTCTTGCCGTACGCTAGGGAAACAAGCATTCCGATCAGACTGAATCCCACCGTCATGGCCATGAGGAGCATGAGAGGAGGGACGAACCCGTGCTCTGCGGCCCAGTCGTTGACGAAGTATGTCATGCCGAACTATAGAAGAAAATGATCAGATACAATAGCAACGTAGTGAATGTTAGGGGATCTTACGCCAAATGTGTTCTTCGTCACGGTCGCTGTGACCATAATCTGTCCGGCGATCGGTTTGTAGCAGTCAATGGCATACTGTTGTAGAGTATTGTTAGTATAGTGGGAAATGGTAAAGGGAGAGACATACGGTGATAGTGATTGTCGGTATGCTGACGGACAGTACTCCAACGAGGGCAAAGCCGACAATGATTACTGGTTCCCAAGGCCACTGGTGCTGGAACCCCACTCCAACAACCTAAATCACATATGTTAGCAGAAGGCATCGTGGGACGAGGGAAGGAAAGGAGCCATCTCACGGTCATCCCAACAGCAGCCGCAACAATAAATGGTATCAGTGCCGGAAGTCTCATCTCGGGCTCACGGATTCCGCCATTCCGTCTCGTGGCTCTCATGGCAATCCAATCTGAGAACGGACCCGCGGCAGCGAGACCGATAATGGCTCCAACGGCAAGCGCGAAATTGGCAAATCCGACATTTGCCGGGCTGAAGTTATAAGGAGGCGCAGCGAGGGCTTGAGATTGGATGAGGTTAACGCAGAGAAGGGAATTTGCGGCGGCCCCCACGGCCATGGAGACCCAGAAGATGATGGGGTAGAAGAATATCTCGATGGGTGTGACAATGTGGTGCAGGATGGTACTGACGGCTGATCGATCAATGGATTGGAAGAAGTTGAGTTGCGTGCGACTGGGGCGGCCGCGGCCGAGATGTTGGTTTACCGGTATGATGTCGACTTCTGCTCCTGTTTCTTCTTGGTATTCTGCGTGGAGGTCCGTTTTTCGGATGGTCTTTTCGTCATCCCCCTTTATGGGAGGAGTGTCGACCAGGGTGGTGGGCGGAGCGGACAACGCCTTGGTTCTCCGAGTTTCCGGGAAGAAAAAGATCAAGCTGGCGAAATTGACGGCTTGGGAAATGGTGCAGGCCCAGAAGAACCAGCGCCAGGAGACGTGGGCTGCGACGTTGCCTGCGATGATAGGGCCCAGCATGATACCGACAAAGTAGCACCAGCTTTAACTCGTTAGAACACGGTATGACGATCTGAACTGGGAACTCACAAGTAAATCCCGACGAACCGTCCTCGTTCATGGAGAAAGATTATGTCAGTCACGACGATCGTCATGATACTTTCATTTGCCGCCGTTCCTAGACCCGAAACAATGCGAGCCGCGAGGAAAGAATTATACGACTTTGCGGCGGCTTGCCAGATATCGGATATAAGCGTGATGGCACAACAGATCAAAAGTACCGGTCGACGGCCGAAAACGTCGGCGCATGGGATAATGATAAAATTGGCGTATCCGAGCGCAACGACGGCGGCTCCTGTCTGTTGAGAGTTAGCTGGACCGGCTCATGTTCGTTCTTCTGCACACACTGACCAATAGTGCCACCTCTGTCTGGTTTTTATTCCATTCAGCCATGTAAATGGGCGTGAGGGGAGCAATGGACAAGGTTGTAATGATGCTCAATAAAACAAAGAGTCCTTGATTCGCCAACACGATTGTCTTCCATAATTTAGACCAATTCTAGGACGATGTTAATAAGATTTTTATACCTGAAGCTTAGACTGGGAATCTCACCAATGGATCAGAGGGATCAAATGACGGCTGAGGAACCAATGCCACGGCATTCGGAGCGTTGTGAGCGTGAACGAGATGCACGCCGGCGACTTCGGTCATCAATTCGGTGCCAGGAAGCAATTCGCTGTGCAGCTCCTGCTCGATCTTCTGTCGCACGTTTTCTGGTGTATTGGATGCGGCCATCGTGATGGTAAGCCGTAAACGTTGCACTGTAGGATTACTGTACAAGATCTCACGCGAGAAGTAGGGATGTAGCTCTCGAAACCGAGATTAGACAAGCGACGAGAGCCGCTTATGTCCCCTTTTGAAACGGAGAGTCGCAGGAGTGCCTAGCATCATCCTGCTTAGGCTGTTTTTCTTTTCCCCACAAAAACATGCGGAGAACGAGGCTGACCTGCCCCTGCAGGTCCCACGACGGGGCTTCGCACAAGGTTCGTAAGCGTCCCGCAAGCGTCCCACAACTTCGTGCATGGCCGGAGACGTGTTAGAGGCCCAGAACATATGCGGGGAATGATGCCGGTAGAGGTGGACGTGTAATACGAGCGTTTCCAGGGCTTCTCAAATTCCATTCCCTCTGTGTTCTCCTGTTCACTTGTTGTTAAAAGAAACAGCTTCACCTTGACTGGAACCCAAATCTGCATTTTCGAAAGAGTTCAAGAGTAAACATCTCCCACAAGCAGATCAGTCCAGACACTCAACCAGCATTTGGGTAGCGAGCAGCTCATCAAAATGATCTCAATCCAGGACCTACAACATGACATCACCTGGGAGAAACTCAAGTCTCAACCCGTGGATGTGAGTGATAAGGCGGACATTCGGACATTCACATGCAACAGAAAGGGTATCTACTGACAGCAGGCATAGATCTATGGCCAAAGTCGTGGCCCTTCTCCGAACAGGGGAAGTTCACTGCCAGACTTTCAAGCAATCGGTCCGGACAGTGAGAAGAAATCCGCATGGCGTGAAGCTCGTGGCATCGACCAGTCAAAGCAGGTCAAGATAACCAAGTTGTCCCACATGCGATATCAGCATCCGGATGTCCAGCAAATCACCACATTCTTAAGAGGTGAGTTAGACTCCGAGCGACCTTGCGTTTGATCGTTCGGTTGAGCAATTGCTGATCTCTTTCGTAGATTTCGGTCTGCATGTGGTGAAGAAGACGGACACTGAGCGGTGGTACCGTGGCTACGGTCCGGATCAATATGTATATTATGCTCGTCAAGGTCCGAAGAAGTTTCTCGGCGGATCATTCGAAGTGGAAAGCTATGAACAGCTTGAAAAGTACGCCACATTCCTTATCTCCTTCGAAGTACAATCAAATATGAATGCTTACTTACTGTTTCTCAAGAGTCTTGGAAATTCCAGGCGGGAAGGTGATAAGTGATGGCATCCGACAAATGGAAGTCGCTCCAGGTGGCGGCTATATTGTGACTATTGAGGACCCTGAAGGCTTTCCTGTCAACTTCGTCTACGGCCAAAGTCTCGGCAATGTCGAACACAAGAAACCGGAAAAGCTCATATTCAATGACGAGACCGAGAAGCCGAGGCAGAAGAAATTTCAACGCTTCAAGCCCGGCCCTGCAGAGGTGCACAAGGTAAGTTTTCGTTGGCCCTTGGGAGATCTGAGAAGGGAGATTTTGACATCCTGGTATAGCTTGGCCATTTTGGACTTTGTGTTCAGGACTTTTCAACCCAGATGGACTGGTATACAAGGCATTTCAACATCGTTCCGTCGGACATTCTGTACGTTCCTTCGGGATCCTCCAAGGACAACAGGAAGGAAGTGGCACTCTTTGCCCACATCGACCGAGGCCAGGACTTGGTGGATCACCATACCATGTTCCTGACCACCTTGGCACCAGGTCTGGAAAATCACGTACACCATTGTAGTTTCGAGGTGCATGATTTCGACACCCAAGCACTGGGGCATCAGTGGCTTGCACAGAAGGATTATCAGTCAGTCTGGGGTGTGGGCAGGCATATTCTTGGGAGTCAGATTTTCGACTATTGGTGGGATACTACTGGATTTATGGTCGAGCATTATACGGACGGTGACCTTGTTAATGAGGATACACCACTTGCGTATGGTCCAGCAGGACACGAAGGTCTTGCCGTGTGGGGTCCGGAAGTGCCGCAAGCCTTCTTAGATTGAACTAGTGGCCGTTGCGTGTCCCTTGCTGTCGTCACTTTAGTGCAATCGATCGACTGCTTTGGATCATCCCATTTCGCTTCAGATTAACTCAAGGTTAAGCAAGTTCTCGAGCTGACCGAAACTTAGCAATTGATGGAAAACATCTGTGACACTTCACGTGTGCTTTATTGATGTCGATAGTAGCAGCTTAGACTTGAGCTCTCTTTACTTGGAAATAGTCATGTCGTATCATATACTCGAGGAGGCCTTTTAAACCAAGGATTTACCTCGACGAGACCTTGTTAAATTCCTTGAGCTGTTTGTCAGCAACTTATGTCCCACGATCGGAGCTAAGCTAAGCTTCTCCACAATTCGGCTTCGAGTTTGCATGAAAAATACTCGATACTCACTAGCTTCTCGGTTAAAAATTGATTTCATTCTTAGAGATCATCTCCATAATGCGTCCGAACAGTTCTGTTTCGTCTATAAAAAGTCTGACTACGGCACGCTCAAGTAGATTGACCGAGCAACAAGATTCAAAGAAATCTCTATCAGCAAGCCAAACCGGTAGTTCTTCCTACCGGCTTTCGTAGTGGACTTTGTTGATCAGGGTGCCTATATTCTCCACGTAAACTCGTATATCGCTTCCATCTTCCAATACAACTCGCGGCTGCCGGAAGAAGCCAATACCTGCAGGTGTACCTGTCAAGAATATCGTGCCAGCTTCCAATGTTGTGCCTTGCGATAGGTAGGATATTTGCTTTTTGATGTCAAATATCATATTGCTGCTCGAGGTTAGCATTCTGACATATCTAGTCTAACGTCAGTGGCATGGGCGAACCTCGTGTTTCCATCCTGAACTGTTTGCCCGTTGTAAATGGCTTTAATCGCCAATCTCTGAGGGTTCGGGATGGCAGCTTTTGTTACCAGGACCGGTCCTGTAACACTAAGTCAGATCAAAGGCTAATAATCTCATTAGTGGAGCAGCTTACCGAGAGGACAACTGCCATCTAGTCCTTTTGAAAAGGACCACTGTGCTGTGAGAAGCTGCATAGTACGGGCTGAAACGTCGTTGCCGCATGTGTAGCCTAACACATAGTCTAGTGCTTTGTCCTCTGGGATATCTCGGCCACTTTTGCCGATAACTACACAGAGCTCAGCTTCATAGTCGCTCGTACCGTCCTGGGCACATTTAGGTATCGGTATTGCTGAAGGATATGGATCGGCAAGAGCAGTTCGTGGCTTGCTGAATAGGATTGGCACTGGTGGTAGCGGTAAGTTTGCTTCCTAAAGATGGTTAGTCTCCCAACTAGAGCTCAGACATCCGATTCGCACCTTCGCATGATCACTGTAGTTCAAACCCAGGCACCGAATGTAATTGCAATCCTCCATCGAGACAGGGGACAGTAATTGCTTGACCGTGAGAACGCGTTCTGTCACAATACCGTCGAAGATGGTCCCATTGATTAGGTAAGATTGTATCTTGCGGCCTTCGAAGCTGTCGAGACCGACATCACGGCTGGTATCCACCAGTTGTCCAAGATGAACACGGCCGTCCTCGACTGCAATAAAACGGATAATGTGTGTAGCTGTCGTCATGTTGTTCGAGTGGCTAATTTTTCCTCCGCAACGAAGTGAGACGTGCGCAAAAGAGAGACACTCAGATCCGAAGCGGAAGAGAGATCTTGAACAAAGAAAGAAGCAGCAACTGTGAGCCGGGTTTTATTAGGTGTACGCTACTCCAACTGACCATAGCTCTGTGCGGCACCACATACCTTTATTCTTCAGGGCTGTGCTCTGTAAGATGGCAGTGGGACGCTCTGACCCCGAGATGTGCTAGTATTGCATAGAACCACGGCGAGAATGTCATACAAGCATCATGTGGGGCGTTTCAGCTCGAGGGAGCTCGGGTTTAATCATTGCCTCTAATAGAAACCCACTTCCCACATCAGATCGTCAAGTTCCCCGCAGTTCTCCCCGCAATTTTCTCCCCCACCGCGGGGCCGTCCCACATTGAAAAGCAATACCACCACATTTTTACTTCACTTCACAGACTTCTCGAAGCATCTCCGTCGGCGGTGGAGACAGGGAACACCACAATCTTTACTGTTGTAGACGAGGCGCGAACTCTATCTTCAAGATTTTATAAGCAATTGATTTCCCTCAGCTACTAGGGAAGCGCTGGCGATATCTCAGATGGTGAGGGGTGATCTGTTGTGCAACTTTCCCACCCACTTCGACCAACAACATGTCGGTTTCTCTACCAGCTTCATTCGAGAAAACCGGTGTGATAATATGCGGCGGAGGGCCAACGGGAGTTCTCTTGTCCGCGATGCTTGGGCAAATGCGAGTACCTAACATAGTGCTGGAACGGGAGCCCGACATCACTACAGATCCTCGTGGCATCGCGCTTGACGAAGACGGCATCCGTTTGCTTCAGGCCGTCGGCATCTATGGCAAGATTTACACTGAGATCGGCTCATGTGAGTATTATCAGTGTGTTTAAACGGTCCTCATCCGACTAGGCTAAAGAGAGGACTCCAGGCATGCAAAGATTCAACTTCGTCAGCGGAACAGGGAGCGATCTATACAAGAAGCCACTTACGGCTATCGACTACAACACAAGTGAAGGTGGAACAGGTCATGTTGGATTCATATGCCACAAACAACCAGCCCTTGAAAGGGCTATTCGTGACGTGATAGCTACTAATGAGTTCTCGGAGTTGCGGACACGGTCGACCATCCTTGCAATTGAAGAGGATGCCAATCACGTATACGTGCAGTATTCAGACGCAGACAGACACACCAGAAGACTACAGGCGCCGTTTCTGGTTGGAGCGGACGGCAAGACAGGCTTCGTTCGGAAAAAGTATCTCGAAGCAAAGGGAGTGTATATGGAGCGGTGCGAAGGGTATGTCAGAGTGCACTGAGTTGAGCTTTCAGCTAACGGTTGTGGAAGTACTTCTTACGAGGAGACATGGGTGGCCCTCAATTGGCAGATCTCCCTACCGACGGAAAAGACCCATCCCGATTTTCCTCTGTGGAGACTAGGCTACTCTCCTCAAGAGGTGTACGAACTTTTCTTTCCGCAGGAATTCCGGTTCCTGTGCAATCCAAATCGACCTGCTGTCTGTGGACGATTTGGTCTCCCTGAGGATCGATTGTGGAGATTCGAATTCGTCGTCCGCAAAGAAGAAGATGGAAACCGCATGGCAACACTGGAGGAGACAAGCAAGGTTATTTATCCCTACATCACACATCCCGGCAGCCGGTATGGCCTTCCCCACGCCGTTCGATTTCCAGACGATTGTATCACGACACTACGATCGCGACCATTCTCATTCTCAGCACGAAGCTGCAACAAATGGGCTCTCGGTCGAGTGGCCATCGCAGGCGATGCCGCACATGTTTTTCCTCCATTCGGCGGTCAAGGTATCGCCTCTGGCTTCCGTGATGTCTCAGCCCTGGCATGGCGTCTGGCTTTACTTCAACGTGAGCCCAACCTTGATCACCAGGAGCTCTTACGCGGGTGGTACATTGAACGGAAGCAGCAACTTGAGAGATCCCTGGCGGCAACGATTCAGAACGGAAAATATGTGACGGAATCAAACCCTGTCAAGGTACTTTTTCGGGATTGGTACCTCTGGGCTGTACAACTAGTGCCCAGCTGGAGGCGAGAACTTGAAAAAGGGCCTCGGGCATTCGGCACGACTCAGTACCAGTTCAGTCAAGGACTACCGTTTCTGCCAGACATGCTTGGCGGAATGCAACTGGCGCAGGTTTATGCATGGTCCTTGGATCGTTCTCAGCTTACCTTCAGCGACGACTTGATCTTTCACCCGTCAAAACAGGGGTTGTTTCAGCTTCTTCTGTTGCCTGAGAACGCTGCAGAAGCCAGAACTCTGTTCGACATGATCCAGCACGTCACCAACGTGTCCGAAGGCCATGTTGTGGCAGAAGAAGCGACGTGTCTGATCCAGGACATATCTGTACGATATCCCACAAGCCCACAAGACACAAAAGTTGCTCGTCTTGCCAGTGGTGAAGAGTTTGCGGCAGATCAGATATTGTGCAAGAACAGACCGCCACCGATACATTACGACCCTTTCCGCCTCAAAAAGCAAGTCAAGGGTAAGAAAATTCTCATTGTGAGACCTGATCGGTTTTTATATGCGGCCTGTTCAAGCCAGGCCGAACTTCTCGAGGCCTTGAGAAGATTGTTATCGACTCTGAGTGTGCAATGAGGTTTTCTGAATGATAAAGCGGTGTCTGTGGTCGAATGCTGTTCTGGATTACTTGGTAATTTTCTGCATTTAATGCACTGTACGTTCTGCTACTCCAATTTTAGTAGCTGGGATTTGATACTGTAACAAGCGCTATAGCTGCTTGCTCAACCTTATTACTTGTAGCTATATCGCCTCTTAGTTGATTAATCTACTCACGGCGACTAAGGCGAAACAAACTGGATGCTAAGTGTTTTGGAATCAGAATGCTATTACTCAGTGCTACAACCTAAGGATTGGAAACAGGAAGACGTTCCGCATCGGCTATGTGCTTGGATACATCGAGGGTCGTGGCTTCCGACCGTCTAAAGACTGGCCCAGGATGCGCAACGTTCAGCGCGAAAGTAGCAGCGATGATCATCCTACGGACATGTTCAGCCATAATTTTCAAAACTCTCGGTTTGATCCATACATACACTCCCTCAAGGGCAATGAACAGCCCTTGATTGTGTATCAAAGGACCGAAATAGCCTTCGCTAAGCTCATCAATGCGGAAGCAGCACCGGATCAGGATGAGCAGGATAGCTAACGACAAGAAAACAATGAAGATTTTGAACGACGCCGGCAGCTTCGTCGCGCCTGGCTGGGTCCTTTGACCTCGGGTATAGCGAATAGCGTAGTCGAGGGCGAGAAGGATGAACACAGTAAGGGAGAAAACTTGGAAGGAAAGGCCAGCGAGTCCTACGTTTACGCCCGAAGTGCTGTCCCCAGAGGAGATGGAGGACAATGCGCCGCCGGCGGATTGGAGCGCGAGAGAAACGATATCGCAGGGTATGAAGAGCCAGTAGTACAGCTTAGGCGAGAAGCGAGAGTGCTTGGTGCCCAGATAGATGACGCTGCCGCAATAGTAGTGTTAGCTGAGGTGGGACCTCCCCCTGCCACTCACGACGGAAGTGCACTCGCATTTGTGAGAGCGTGAAGTAAATGGCTGCGGAGAAGAAGGCCGGACCTAGAGTGATGCATACTGCCCCGTGTCAGCCTTTATTGTGGAAGATTGGAGGCCAGCTATGGCGGCTCGTGTACTCACTGATCTGGATAAGGAAGCCTGGGAACGAGAATGGATCCTGCCACATCATGATGCGTCCACCATAGCCGATCATTTCGGTAACGCAGCCCCAGAACATGGCGAAGAGAAAAGCCCAGGTTCGCCATTTGACGCCTTGAATGGTGTGAATGACCAAGGCTACGCCGAAAAGTACGAGGAAGCTAATGTTGGCAGCCAATGATGGGCGGTATTGAAGGACACTTGTCGAAACAGGACAAGTGTCAAGGCTGCAATTCTCATCCGGGCCATAAGAGATCCGTTCACTGGCCATGACAGAACGTGCTATGTAGCCGATAGGAGCAGTATATTATTTAGGCGATAGCTTTAGAGGTGAGAGGAGTTGTGGGAGAGAAGATACGTCGACTGTGGGCTCCATTATACAACTCGCCTGCTTGGAAAGATGACACTAGATGGTACTGTCATAGATGTGAATATTACGGCCGTTGCGTACAAGGCGGAGGAATGTCGGAGTTGTTATTGTCGTACGGCCGTACCCATCTCGCGGTAGGCTTTATCGAGCAATGCTGGTCTCGAGAACAGCCGCGGGCTGACACAGCTGTAGTAGCGCTTGATGCAGGACCATAGCACGACTTGTCTAGTACAATCGAGTTGGTGAATCTATTGTTATCCTGTGAGTCACTTTAGCTAGGCTGTCCTCTGTGATGCTAGGTTCAATCAAGAGAGCTCGTGCGACGTGATTCGCGGGACGGGCGGGCCGAGCCGGGCTGGAAGCCTCGATCCGCCTAGGCGGTACCTCGCTGAACTTCCATCACGCTGACGTTGAAGGTAGACACAACTGCAATCTTATCTGCTCCGCTGGTGGAAATGGGTGTCGGAAGATAAGACCTTCTAGTGCAGCTCTAGACAGGGAAGAAGAGCTTATTTCTGCTACTCAGGTAAGATTTCGGCAAGTTTATAGTGAGGGGAATAGCAGTGATATCACGAATTACTAGCCTTAGCACCTGGCTGCCTTGGAGAAGCTTTATCTACTTACAAAGGCAGTAGTTTCTAAGCCTATACCTAGAGCTGTAGTAGAGCAGCATTAGTGGGCTTGTCTTCCTAGTTTCATGTCCGCCAGCGGAGCAGATAAAAGAACGGAGATAACGTTAACATGCCATCGCGATCTGGACGCGATATGGAAGTAGTTTTCCATTTGCCGTCTTCCCACATTCACGCTTCAATTCGGGTCTAGCAATATTCCAGGTCGTCGTGCTCACAACTCAGACCTCGCGCGTAGACTCAAGTGCCAGTTCGGGCCGTGGAAACGGCGCAACGATCCATTTAAGCCAACCTTGGGTAAGACGAGCGTGCGCGGCTTCAGCTCACCTCTGCAGAATCTCATAGTCCCGATCTAACGCCATCACCACGATCACAAACACAAGCGAGGATGATTCCGCGGTCCCGCATCCGAGCTCCTGTGTAAACGCCGACGCGGAGACATGGCTTCATACATCTCCTAGCCGTCGACGCGCACATCACAAACCGCCGTCTTTGCATCTTCGCACCCCTATAAGCCCGCGGCCGATGGCTGACAGCATGACAGTGACTGTTCTCAGCATTCCGCATTCTGCGCGATGACCTCCGCTAACTCCGCCGGCGAGTAGCCTTCGCTTCAGGCCCATCTCCAAAGCCTCCTACTCACAGAAGCTGAGCGAGCCGTGCGGTGTGGGTGCGAATGAGTGCGGGCACCAGCAAGGCGGTGGCGGCGAAGGACGAACACAGACTGCTATCTTCGCACCTTTACACGCCAGCACCAGACCGATGACATTTAACAGTCCCCGAACCTCCTCATTCTCCCCACTGACCTCCGCATCCCCATTAAAGGCCCCCTTGCAGCACGTGCATGGGCTCGGTACGATTTGTAGGAAGTTACGGGCCATGCTGCCTTCGCCAACGGACGACCACGGGTGCAAAGCTTCAGACCGATCAGGCGCATGTTACTCTGAATCATTGACAATTTAATTCTTTCTACCGGAAACACACCGTAGCCTGCTGCTAGAAAGCAGGGGAAACTCATCAGCTCATTTAGAAGAAAGTTGCGGGCATATCCAAAACAGGCTGCGGACGGAAAGAGTCAAATACGGTTCTTTCAGATCAGCTCAATAGCAGCTACTACTCACTAACGGTATCCCCTATATCTTGTCACGCTGCATTCAGAAACTGCCTGAAAAGATAACCTGGATAGCGACTAGAAAGAAACGATACCGCAGACGCATTTGAACAAGCCAAACGTCAAACCCCTATGCGGCTATGCGCAGGTGAGCATAGCAACATTATTGAACGCCGTCCTAGCCATGGCTGGTCCGCTACAGAACAACTGCATATCAAAAAAGCTATCTCAATAGACAGACATCTCGTGACGGACGAGGGAAATACGGCCCGACGAAGTGGGTTCCAAGGAAATAAGCTAACTACCCCTTGTATGAATAGCCTACCACACTTGGCAGCTGTCGCCCGGTGGACTTACTAGATACATGTCCAAACTAGTTAGGTACGAAGTCCCTACTGTAACATTCGCAGGCTGATAGAAGATAGCCCTGACAGATGGAGAGAATACAGTGTTCTTAATATTTCGATTGTCAGTTGAACGATGTTTAAGAAGCTGCCGTGATCAGTTTATGATCCCTATAGCTTCCAACCTCTAATAGTTAGGAAGGTAATCTGTAAGGTACGAATCGCTTACAGAAGTACTAAAAAGGCTAGTTCAACCTATCAGGCAGCGGCTCTCGACCGCATTTCTCAGTCTTACTCTCTTTGCCGACACAGGCGTCAGATGCTCCTGCCTGGCAACTTTGAGCCTTCTTGGCGCTTGGCAGCTGAACATAAGATGTCTTGGCGTAAGCAACTGGACCGCTAAGCCTCGCCCCGGCATGCCAACCTGGGATTGCACTCGCTCTAGATCTGCTACACCTAGTGCTCAGCAGCGCACTAGAGGCTTCAGCTTGCTTTCCAGGCAGTGCAGTCTGCTCAGCAGCATAGTCGGCGAATAAAGCCTTAGCTCCCCCCTGCAAAAGATGTGCAGCTGAGACGAGAGCTGCATCCCGTACCATGAAACCGTTGAGATCGGATCCATGGCCCTTCAGCTGAGATCAAGGATATAAAGGCCTCACACAGGGTGTTGCAAACTTCCAAATAGCGCTCCGACGATTGAAAAATCTTGAAGCTACAGAGCCTTAGCGAACTAGTAAAGATGCGTTGTCTGTTTCTCCTCCTAGCTCTCCCAGTGCTGAGCGCAGCGGAGCTTGTCCACCGCCGTGCTTTAGAAGTTCGCGACCAAACATTTGAAGTCGTGTGCGGATACGAAGCCGAGGACTGCGGTAATGGGTGGTGCTGCTCTAGCGGGGGCACATGCATTGGGAAAAGCCGCGAGTTCGGCGTGGAGATGTGCCTGGTTGTGTCTGGATCGTAAGTGCCTCCAGCGGTGCAGCCGTAAGAATCTTGGGAAGGAATGTTTGAAGATTGGGTAAATCGCTGACAACACGTTACAGTACAGTCATGTCCCGTCCCGCCAACCCATATCTAGAGTCTCAGCCGACTCAAACCCCAGATCGGTCTGGTGACGACGAGACCAGCACGCCGGAGTCTAATGATGAAGAGGATAGTACACAGACGTCTAGCGAGGATGCCGAAGACGCTGCACCGAGTCTAAGAGCGCCCGGGTTGGCGGTGTATGTGGGAATGGCCGTGGTGTGGATTGCTGCTGGCTTGATGGGCGGTGCTTGGGTGTTGGCGCGTTAGGTGCAGGGCCCTTGGGCTGGAAGTGTGGTGCTCTGAAGACGGCTACAATCTTTCCATTTATTTGTTTTGCCTTGAACTACTCAAGTTGAATTGGCGGTGTTGCCTGGGAAAGGAGAAGCATGGTATTGAATGCAGATGCTGCTAGTATCTGTTGAGACTTCTTAGCACTATAAAGCGTAAGCGTAACTTGTCCATGGACTATGCTCCACCACCTACAGATGCAACAAAACCAGTCTCGGATCCTGCAGCGGCTGCTTAACCTGGAGCAAGCGCCGGCGTCAACTTAACGGTCGCGAACCTGCGTTACCACTCATGCGGCTGACGCACGAAGCGCTCTGCATACTGAATAGCCTCGACGGTTCTCATTAAAAGTTCGCTATCATACCAGTTACGCTAGTACTATAGTAGTACAGGCGTTGCACGGTTCGGCGCCTGGTGAACCAATTTTCCGTTGTTGCAAACAATGCTCCATTCCCCGCTCCAGGGGACAGCCCGTAACCACCTATCTCCATAACTATAAAAATATCGCTTTTCTAATAGTATTATACCGGCTAGTGCCATGCCGTGCCGTATCGCATATAAGAGTATTCCATAAAAGGGCCAGTTGCCCTCCCTGCTTCCCGCTCTAAAGCGAACTACTCCGACTACAGCCTTAAGCCAAAGTAATTATATTGTTGACTCTATGCAGCAAGGAGCGCAACCAGCCCGTTTATAAAACACCCTTGTACAATCATATCGCGCCGTACCGCGTCGCACTATACTACACCGGATCTTCTCACATCGCATAGTTTTAGCTCAGGTCGTATCGTAACGTGCCGTGCTTTATCGTACGGTGTCGATCTCTCAGCCGAGCGATCTTTGACACTACGACCATAGTCCTCCATTCCTCAAGTATGCTTTCCAGGTTGGGCTTCCTCAGACTTAGATAGCGTTTGGCAGGACACACACCGAGAAGGATCACATAACTCTCGTAACAGACTGTAGCCAAATACCAAGATCGTTCATTTGTACAGCTTCCTAGAAACAGAGAACCCCGGAACGGGTCATAAAGTGAGTGTAAGCTTGCTGCTTCGCTGCTCCCATCCAATGGTGCCTCCCGCTCCAAACCTGTTTAACCATCATCTTCACATATCGTACTCCACGTACGCTAGACTAATTTCGGCTAGCAGACCGCAGCCTTACTCCTCGATCACAACCTCCTTCTCAGAGTAGACCGGCAACTCCTCTTGCGCTTCAACGTCAACAGGCACGTAGCCGTCCATCTTCTTGCTTCCAACAACTTCCCCCTCTACATCCTGCTCCTCCTTGGCGAGCTGGGCATACCTCGCCCGCTTCGCCTGCCTGATACGGTGCACAATCAAGAACAGCGTCGCACCAGCCGGGACGCCAAAGACGAGCAACGGCACCACCACATGCGCGAGCAGCATGGTCCAGAAATTATGGAAATGCCTATGCCCGTGCACATGCCCAGTATGGCCGCCCATGTGTCCATGCTTATGACCCACATGATGGGGTCTTGAATTGATAGGCCGGTTGGGCCGTGTCATCCTGTCGATATGTGGGCCGGTGCGTATGTCACCGATGACGAGTTCGCCGGTGGCGAGCTCGACGACGAAGAGCTCGAGAGAGGGCAGTGCGGTGGGCTTGTTGTCGAGATTGAGGATCTGGAAGCGCAGCTTGAGCACCTGGGCGACGTCGGGGGTCTTGTCGATGCACAGCGGGGCGGAGTCGAGGGTGTAGTCCATGATGGTGTGCAGCTGCGCGAGGGGGAACTTGATATCGGATTGCTCTTGGACCGAAGCGGAGGAGGGTATCGAAAAGGTGCGGAAGTGAGGGATTGAGGTACGCGGGTAGAGAGGACGTTGGCCGAATAAGAGGGTACTGGGGTCCGCGCCGACCGAGAAATTTAGGAGCTAGGTGGTACCGTTAACAAGCAGTGCAAGGCGAAGGTTGCGGGCGATTAGGCTCACCAGAGACCGGCTCGTGTCAATCTCCTGTGTGAAGAAGTCGCCTTGCCCGGGCTTGGTCGAGCAGCTGGGACATTCCAACTTGACGACCTGGTACTTCTCGTGGATCTGGATGATGTTGAAGGCTTCTGCGTCGCTGCTAGACACGGAGGGAGGGAGGAGGATGGAGTGGGCGCCCAGCGCAAGCGCGGTGGCGCAGAGTGCAAGAGGTCGCAGCATCGTCTTCGGTAGCAGTTACAGGAAGGAATTCGACTCCTTAGAACCTCGCGGGTGAGAGGGTATGTTTTTAAAGTCAAGAAGTGCTTTGAGTGTAGTTGAAAGGTAGAAGCGGCGGGATGCGGTATGGTGTTGATAGGGCTGAGGGCTGAGGGCTGAGGGCTGAGGGCTGTGCTTTGACGACACGCGTAATGCTCTTGGCAGGGTTCACGTGGCGCTTGTCGAACCGTTTCAACTTGACCACCAAGAGCGCATTTTGTGTCAGATTATGGAGGACAATCCAGTAATAGCCTGAGAAGATGGAAGAAAACCTGTAGATGCAACATCTCTCAAGCCGACGACATGCATTTCAGCTGGGCTTTCACGAGCGCCGTTCAGTGGTACGTTGAAACGGCTAATATGACTCTATATGCTACCCAGAACCTCATCATCCATCATGATTCCTGATCCACAGCTACAATCCAAGCGTGAAGCAAGAAGCAAAATGCTCCAGCCCAAACCAACCGTCGTGCAGAGCCAAGATCCCTCAAAGCCACCCCGCCAATGCTGTCGTAAAGTCGTAAGCCCCGAATGTTCCCGAAAACCCCTCTGAACATCAAATATGTGCCATGTCAAATCGTAAGTTCATGTTTCGTGTTCGCAATGATATATCTCCGGACGCTCAAAGTAGCAATGGGCGCCGTGCACCGTGAAGCGCAAGTGACGAAATGTACCGAGCGCGATCAAAGGATGCTATGGTCCATCTGTTCATCCGCGAGTGATCGCTACCAACGTGGGCCGAAGCTGATGAACTAGTAACGACGCCTGCTGTCATATATGACTTCGCGCTCAACGAGGTGGTCATCGTAGGTCAACCGCCGACGATCGTTGAGCTCTTCGCGTTCGTACTGGATTTCGCGGATGCGCGCACGGCGGTCTTTGCGGATGTAGTCGGATAGTTCAACAAGCTGTAGAACGTCCTCCTGAAGAAATAGCGAAATTAGCTTTGAACCATGTTTGTCAATCATCTGGAGCAACTTACGTAGCGGAGGTATTCCATAACGTAGAAGAAGTACTCTGTCTCCTCGTAGTCGAAACCCATCTCCTCGATGGCGTCTTTGATGACCAAATCCTTGGTGATCTCCGTCCACATATCTGACGCACGCGGCCTTGCTCGAGCAGGCGGTCCGGAAGGCGTTGCTCCGAAGCCAGAGTCGTACACCTCATCTTCCGCAATGAACTTGGATCTGCGCACACCATTGTACCGCTGCCACGTGATCTCTTGAGAGCCGCCTCCAGCGCCATCCATTTTCACGCGGTTTGTCCCGGGAGGTACATCAACGATCGCCCAGTCCTTGGTGGCGCCATTGTAAGCCTCGCCGACGTAAGCCCGCTCCATTGCCTTGCGGTTGTAGTATTCAGCCTCGGCTCCGATATCGTTGCCCGTAAACCGGCGTCGGGGTGCGCTCAAGGACCGTCGCCGGCTAAGCTCCACCTCTCGATCCCGTGTCTTGCGCTCTCGGGTCTCGCGTTCGTAAATGATGTCCTCGTCGTAGAACTTGTCGTTCGCACCGCTGGAATGGGGGTGTCAGTTTCGCGCTTGATGTCCGTTCTTCAAGGATGACGTTACTTACCGTCTGCGAATTGCAATCTCCAGAGACTCATCCTTGGGCGGAGACGGGGGTGGAGGTGGAGGAGTCGGTGAGCGGGCACGTATGACACCTGCAGATCTGTTAGACTTGGTGGAACAGGAAACTGCTCTAGGCTATGCTAACCATGATCTATGTGACGGTGATGCGTAATGATTTCCTGGTGGATTGGTGGCCTAATGATCGGTTCTGGCTCCGGTGGCGGCGGTGGTGGCGAAGGCTGGCGCTCGCGCTCTACACGCCTGATGATTATCTCCTCTTGCTCGAGCTGTGGAGGTGGCGGTGGCGGAGGAGTTGGTTCGCGGCGCCGAACAATGAATTCTTCCCTCTCGCGGGCGACAAGTTCGCGCGGCGGGGGCCTGCTGTTAGAGCGCGGCCGAATGATTAGCTTGTCCTCATGTATATCTGGCCCAGGCCCCGTGCGCTCTCGGTGCTTGAAGATGACTTCTGGTTCATCATCTCGAACCATTGGTGCTCGTCGGGGCCTTTCTTGGAAGTCTCCTCGCCGGAAGCGGATCTCTTCGGGCTGCCTTGGTCGCTCGATTTCTTCACGGCGGAAAGAGAACTCTTCGCGATCCACTTCGGATCGAGGGGGAGGAGGCCGTGCCCTGGGTCGCTCTTCTTGCTCAGTGCGCCTGATACTGATGTCTAGTTCCTCTCGCTCCACTTCCCGAGGTCTGGCTCTAACTCTCGGCACTTCCTCTTCTTCACGTCGACGGATGACTATGTCGGTTGTCTCGGTCTCGGCGGGTGCGCGACGGGGAGGCTCACGCTCTTGCCGGCGAAACATGAACTCATTGCGGTCAACCTCTGAGCGAGGGGGTGGAGGCCGAGCCCTAGGTCGTTCCTCTTCTTCTCGGCGCCTGATGATGATCTCGTCTGTCTCCACTTCGCGCCTCGGTGCTCTGGAAGGAGGCCTCTCATCGGCTTCTCTGCCGCGAAAGGGGACGAGGGGGCCAGCAGCCGTGCGTCCGTAATCTTCACGAAGGAACTCGGGCTGACGGCGGCCGTAATCAGGGCGTCCGTGGGAGAGCTCGATGTCCAGCTCATCATAGTCGCGCTCGCTTCGCGCACCGCGGTAGAAGTCGCGTTGCCTTTCGTCGTACAACTCGGCCGTCGGGTAACGGCGTGCAGCCATGACTGTGAGTACTCAACGAGGGGAAACGATTCTTCGGTAAGCGAACGACTTTGCTGTGATGGGGAAGCGGATGCCCCGAGAGATTCGAAGTCCGGTGAGTTTGCGAAAGATCAGGCAGATTCCGTGGATGAAGAGAAACGAGGCGGATGGAACGTAGAAAGTGACTGGTGTGACGGACGAGGCTGCGGGGCGGCTCTCCTTGGGCGCGGGAGGAGGCAGATTTTGGGTGGGATGCGATATTAGCCCTCTTAGCCCTGGCACCAGCACATGACGTTACGCTGCATACCAAGACTTGAACAACACCAACCACGCTCGACCAGTCGAATATCGCCCTCTGCCTGAGACACTCCAATGGTGGGCTAGAGAGTGATTCCCGCCGCGAATCAAAACTCATTAAGCAGGCACTTTAAAAATCCAGCAAAATTTCCAACAGCGGCTCACAGATGGTGTGCGGCACTCCCGGGCGGGAGGTTCAACGGCACGAGGGCGCAGGCATGCCAGGCTCCTCAATCAGATCTCAACAACCGCGTGTTTCGGATCCGCTTAATACAACGTCTCCCGTGAAATTCCGGGGTTGCCGCGGGTTGTGCAACAAGAGTCCAGTACTCATTCGGCGGTGCCTGACGTCTGCTGGGCATCTTTACAAGGATCGTCGGGTTGCCGGTGATGCCTGAAACTTCACTGTGGCCTGCCCAAAAGTCTCGCCTTGGTGAAACCCTACACTAGAAGACGTCTGACATGGTCATGAGAGGAGCACTCATGATGATGACGTAGGGTTGTAGATTACGCCGGCTCCGGCTGCCTCAGTGCGTTGTGGACCGATTCCATGACACTCGGATCCACCTCAAAAGAATTGAATTTGAACGTTATAGCAAGCCTCAGTGTATCTTGGCTGCGACGCCGGCGGTAAGGGTACACTATGGTGCATTGTACAGTGGCTTAGCGGTGCATGTCCAATTGCGAACCTCTAATCATTCCGAAGCGAGTTGGATTCGTAAATCTTTTCTCCGTCGGCTCTACACTTTTCACAAAACCAAAGTCAGATTTGTGTATTCTTGAACGATACTTCCTCTACTGTCCAGTCCGTCTTGCGTTTACAAGCTCATGAGAGACACCGGAAAACTTAAAAGCTACGGACCCGATGCCACGGATTCATTCTATCCCATGCAGACACAGAACTGCGCCCAGTCGCCTTTCAGTCAGTCGAGGCATGCTCATCGAGCCCACCCTCTTCATGCTCATCCTCCTGAAGCCTCACGGCAAATATCGCAGCGGTGATAAGCAGGAAAAGCGCGGTTGTTAGCAAGAAAGGCAGGCCAAGCCAACCGCCTCCGAGCTTCAAGCCCCAACGAAACATCAGCGAGAACAGTGGGCCGGCTACAAGACTGCCGATGCCGTCCATGATTGCAATCACAGCGTAGAGGCGGCCGATATCATGGCTGGCGTCGCCACCGATCATTGCAGTAGCAACACTCCGAATGGCGGACAGGTAGCCGGTGCCGAATGTTTCGAGGATAAGTCCTGCGATCGAGATCAGGCAAGCCGGCCACAAGCAAGGGACTGAAATACCAACCAGCGATCAGTGTGGCTACTGTTGGCGAGACAGCAATAACCAGAAACCCTGAGGTCATCAGGACGATGCTGCTCCGTGATAAGTAGAGGTCCGCTTTTGCCGGCGTGAAGGAGAATCTCTTCTGCATCACGCGTGTTGCAAAAGGCAGTACTACTAGCAACAGGACCAGGGTGATACCTGCCTCTAGCGTCTGGAGGAGCGTGGCCTGGAGATTGAGTCAGCAGCATTGGAGGAGGTAGTATGTTCAACAGTGTCTTCTACCTTGCTGAGTGGCCAGCGGAACCTTTTCGACACGTACAGTAGTAGAAGATTCATTGATTGCGCTCCGAGTCTGAAAACAAGAAAGGACAGGATCACCAAAGTAAGGCTTGCGTCTTGGTGCAGTATGTGAAGCGCGTGGCGGGCTTTGTGCCATTCCCGCTGCAAGAAAAGGGATCTCTTTGCAACTGGAGCGTCTACGTCCTCGTTTGAGGAGTCTGGTCTTTCAGCTGTTATGCCTTCTAACGCCGGTTTTGCGCCGGGCTTCATGTAAAGTGTTTCAGGCAGTGTGAGGGCGAAGGGAATGCCTGAAGCCTGCACGATCAGTCCCACAAACAGAGCGAGCCAGACGTCGTGGGCCATCAGAACGGATGACAGCGCCGGAGCACCCAGTGCTGTCAACAGAATGCAACCTGAGAGGTAAAAGTAGGACGTCGTTCTGCAGAGTATCAATCAGCAGCGCACCGTTTCGGAGGGATTTGACTATTGACTGACCTCCGTTCGGAAGGTATGACATCGGATATTATGGTGTAAATCATAACTGTCGCGACTTGTGCGCCACCACCAAGGAAGAGAAACGCTGACGACGTCCATGTCAGCTTGATCGGTAAATCAGCCGCCACTGTGAACGCAATTAGTCTTAGGAGATGAGTCGGGGGACTGGTCGTGTACTAACAGACAAACAGAATCCAGACATTAGATAGTGTAAGCCCAACTAACGATAGCGAGAGAACCCATCTCCGCCCAGTGGAGTCGGCAAGGGAACCAAAAGGAACTGCAAGTAGAATGCCTGGTGCTGAATTGAAGAGAGCTTGCCAGCCCATGAGCATCGCAAGTCTGTCTTGGATATCATCTTCTTTGCACAGCGCCTCAGGCACCTCCTGATTTGGTGGGATCAAGGAGGGATTTGTCTCCTCGTAGAAGTGCAGACAGATTGTGGACTCCAGCAGGCTAGCATTCGCATCCATATCTTGGGTCAGTATCGAGATATCGGCCGCTACAGGGAGAGGTGTTTTTTGATATGCAGGATAGTCTACATAAGCCTTACCGGGTCAACGGGGCCAACGATAGAACTGCCCCAAATTCAGTCAACGCAATAAGCAACGCACAGAAGACTAGTACTCGGAGCCACGGGGGAGACTGCGGTCGACGCTCTGCCGACGCTGGGGAGGTTGACTTTAGTAACGGAGATAACTCTGACTCCGCCATATTGGTAAGAGGGCAGATTGATGTAAACGCAAATCACACGTATATTGAAGATGTGCCCATAGTGTATAAAGATCTTTTATGTGCTGCCTAAAGTCTATCAGGGTTGGTATGACTACCTACCTTACGCGTCGTCCACCTGCCCAGCGGTGGGTATGCGCGGCATGGCAGAGATCTGATCTGCGGCTTCCAGGTTCTTGCGAGTCTTGCTCCACCGCCTTTCAAGGTTGTCATTCTGCCATGTCATGATGCAGGGATGTCGCCAAAATGTGGGAATATCATCGTCAGCTCTGTGCGGCGTGAAAAGTGACACATCCCAAAACACTGCAGGACTCAGCTCGAAAACCCTCTAGTGCGACTCACACCTCCCCGCCGTCGGATACGATCATATACAATTGTGTTGCCTCGTGCCTACCTAAACTACGTGCAATCCGCACTCGACTCACCAACCCACCATCATGGCGTCTGTCCACCAGCTCTTAGACCTCCAAGACGACTACACCGCAGGGCACCAGCCAACACACACATACATCCCCAACCGCGGCTACGAGCAGACCACGTCTCTCCCGTCGAGCCAGCCAGATGAGGTCCCTAACGTCCAGCTACGAGACGACACCGCCCTCCCCGACCAGTCCGCAGCAGCCGACGACGCCGAGAGCGACTACGACGATATATTCTCCTCCGAAGACGTAGACGATGACTTCCAGCCCGAAGCCCTGGGCGCCACAAATCCCTCCGACTACACCAAATCCTACAATCGCACTCGCGCCCTCCACGACCCCAGCCTCCCCGCTTCCCACAAGCCAAAGACAAACAGTCAGAAGCCGAGCGCGAATGTGCGGGCGAACGTGGATGACCAGATCACCTCCCTATCCCGCCATGCTGGCAAGCTGCGGCTAGACGACGAGGGGGCGCGCGGCGGCAGCAAGACGGACAAGGACAAGAGCGACCGGGCGACGAGCGAGCAGGTGCTGGATCCGCGGACGCGGATGATATTGCTGCAGCTAATCAATCGGGATATCGTGGCTGAGATCCACGGGTGTGTTTCTACGGGGAAGGAGGCGAATGTGTACTATGCGCTATCCAATCCGCCCTCTACCGAAGGAGCAGCGGGGGCAGGGAGAGAAGGCGAAGCAAAAGAAGCCCAACCCACACAGCTGGTTCACAGAGCAATCAAGGTTTACAAAACCAGCATCCTCGTCTTCAAGGACAGAGACAAGTACGTCACAGGCGAGTTCCGCTTCCGCCAGGGCTACAACAAGAGCAACAACCGCGCCATGGTAAAAGTCTGGGCGGAGAAGGAGATGCGGAACCTGAAGCGCATCTACGCGGCCGGTATCCCCTGCCCCGAACCCGTCTACCTCCGGCTGCACGTCCTCGTCATGGGCTTCCTGGGCGACAGGAAGGGCTGGCCTGCGCCGCGGCTCAAGGACGTCGAATTCGTGGAGCGGAGCGCCGAGGAGGTGGCGGGGAAGTGGCGGGAGCTGTATCTGCAGTGCCTCGGGTATGTGAGGAAGATGTATCAGGTGTGTAAGCTGGTGCACGCGGATCTGAGCGAGTACAATTTGCTGTTTCATGAGGGGAAGCTGTGGGTTATTGATGTGAGTCAGAGTGTTGAGCATGACCATCCAAGGAGCTTGGAGTTTCTGAGAATGGATATCAAGAACGTGAATGATTTCTTTGGGAAGGCGAGGGGGGTTGATACGTTGACTGATCGGACGGTGTTTGGGTTCGTTACTGAGGCGGAGGGGAGTGTAGAGACGGCTGGGATGCTGGAAGAGCTGGAGAAGCTGTATCGGAAGATGAAAGAGAAGAGTAGTGGGAGTGGCCCGATTGCGGACGATGAGGTCGACAATGAAGTCTTCCGGAAGCAGTACATACCCCAGACGCTGGAGCAGGTGTACGATGTCGAACGGGATGCGGAACAGGTGGGAAGGGGAGGCGGTGATGAATTGGTATATCAGGCACTGCTGGCGCAGAAGATCGCCGATGGCCATGCATCGGATGGCGAGGACGAGGAAAGCGATGATGGGAGTAGTGAGACCGATGAGGATGGCGAAGGGCAACGGGAAGACAGGGAGAATCAGAGGCCGCGAGGAAAGAAATTTCAGGACAAAGATTCAAAGAAGGTGGGTGCTAGTCTGCTGCGACTGACAAACAGCCATCGCTAATGTGTTGCAGGAACATAAGCAACAGGTGAAGGAGGAAAAGCGCGAGAAGCGGAAGACGAAACTATCGAAGTACGAGAAGCAGAAGCTCATCAGCGCCACTAGTCGCAAGAAGCACTAGAGATGCTGGCGCCTCGGGAGGCTACATCTGCTTGCTTTGGCAGCTTTCAGCATGAACAAATTTGCAGACTGTAGCTCGTGTGCAGCTCCTGTCTTGCTGAGACGGTGTCTGCTCGCACGAACGGATGTTACGACCCAAAATGATATATGAACGGTACGTACTACTCTGCTTCCCAACTCTAAGCTCGAACGACGAAAACCCAAGGCTCGCCAAATGCGTGCGGCCGTGTTCCTCCGGTCTCCGCGAGAAGCCTCCGCACGCAGGAGCCGCCACCAAGCCGTCTCTTTACACGAAGGGATCCAATGCCGAACAAAGAGAGCACTGACGAGCCTTGCCTTCTTCAGCCCTTATCGTGCCATGCTGGAGTCCTCAGAACGCCTCCGCTAACATGCGGACATAGATACGAATAAATCCTTAGACACTGTGAATATCATGGTCTCGAGCTCATCCGCTTCATCGCCGCGTCTAACGTCTCTTTCTGTATGCCTTGTATGGGCCCGTCTTCCTGGTCAATGGCCTGGATTTCATATCGCAGCGGCGGGTTCACCAGACCCGGCCACATATCCGATGGCAAGAACTCGCCATGCTCCGCTGTGAATATTTCGCGGTCTTCTATCTCGCCTAGAGACGTTGTCAGTCCACCACCATCCAACCAAGTCCATGATGCTTTTGCACATGCAGTTCTCTTATAAGTTATGATCGACAGGAGTATTGTTAGGAAAGCCGCCTTACCCTGATACATCCTCTCCATCCTCTCCATCGCCTCACCAACCACCTTCTCCATTTCCCCCCTCCACCTCCTCCTCCTCTCCACCTCCACAATCAACCCATCATACGCGCCCGAAAAGCCCTCATAAAACTCCCTCAAGCCCTCTAGCTCCCCCATCCCGCCCTCAATCTCCCTTCTCTCATCCGCCCACCCAGCCGCGAAGCCCGCGCACACGGCGATGTACCCTGCAACCTCCCTGCCCACTTCTCGCATGCGCCTGAGCGTGGCCGACAGCCCCGCCGCCTCGGCCTCCAGCGCCTCGACGTAGCCGCTCATGTGCTCGAGCTGCGTCTCCATCTCCTGCAGCCGGTCCTGGATCTCGGCCACCACGTCCTCGACCTCGGCCGCGTCGCGCGAGAGCACGGTCAGCATGTCCTGCCGCTCGCTCGCCGTGAGCGGCTGCGGCGGAGAGGCGTCCTGGTGTAAGCTCTCGACGCCCGGCACCATACTAGCAGGCACATCTTGGGCCGTGTCGTCGCCAGCCACGGACTGCTGCTGCGCGGCTTGCTCGGCGGCTTCGCCTCCGCCTTCGGTGTGCTTGAGCGCTGTGACGCAGAGGTCGTAGTGGCGGACTAGACTCTGCAGCATCTCCGCCATCTCTGTCGCGTGAGTTTCCGTGGCGCCGAAGAGCTCGGGCAGGGGCGAGGAGCCTCCTCCGTCGTCTTCGGGACTTGAGGGGGTGGCAGCTAGCGCGGAGGCGATGGAGGAGAGCGACGAGGTGTAGTCATCGGCGGTGGAGGCGAGGGAGGCGAAGGAGGCGTTGTATCGGTCTATGCATGCGCGCAGGGAGCTGTTGATGTGGGAGACGGAGGAGGCGTCGATGAAGTCGTGGAGGGTCTTGGAGGGGTGGAGGGAGGGGTCTAGGCGGGTGGTGGAGAGCGTGTCGAGGGTGGTTGTTAGGTGGGTGGAGGTGGTATCGAGGGCGTGGAGGAGAGTCTAAGTAGCTTCGTCAGCATCACTCGTGCTAAGTGGTCCGTTAGGATGAACCCTTGTGGCCGTTCAGGACGCTCACGGTAAACTCCTCCTGCACTTCCCCGCTGACAACATCGATCCCCTGCCGTACGGCCTCGAGGGCGCTTAGCTGGTCATGGATGCTTCGCCGCACGAAGCTGTTCTTGGCGCTCAGCACGGCGTTCCGCTCGAGCAAGCCGCGGCCTGCGTTGACAATCTCGTTGGCGCGCCAGACATGGGTTATGGACGAGAGCGAGCGCTTGGCGGCGACGAAGTGGTTGACGAGCTGGGTGAGGGTCGGCTCGCCGTCGTGGACGCTGTCGGTGGAGGAGGTGGGGGATGGGAGGTTGGGTGGTGAGCGTGGGGAGGCTCTCGCTGAGGCCATTGTGGGGGGAAGGCTTGAGCTGCTGCAGGTGGTTTCAGCTTGGAGGGTCGCGCTGATCGGACGGTAGCAGTGTCGAAGGAGCTATGTGAGGCATGGGGGGTTTCTGACTACAGACACTACCTGGGTAGCCTGGAGCTGGTCAGACACTAACGGGGACCTTAGCTTAGCCAGGTAGGGGGTGACATGGACGGTACCTAGCCTGAGGCTGAAGCCGACGCAGGGCCACCCGCCGGAGCGGTGGAAAATCCGGGGTAGGCAACGTTAGCCACTCCAGGGCCCACCTGCAGGGTCACCTATCTGTGCGATAGGCTGGCTGCAACGGGGAAGGCCGGCGCGCAGCCAATGCCCAGCTGTCGGAATCGCTACCGGCGTCACATTGGTCATCCCCCGCCACCTGCATGAATGGCCCTGCGCACTGTTCTTTGCTTCTGCTGTCGCGTTCAGGCTCTCCAATGCTGTGTAATTGTTACCTAAGATCCGGCTGAACGCCATGGAACCGAGGAGGGGTTTTAAGAAAGACGGACAGTGGCACCGACAGTCGGTGAGCCACTCTTCTGTCTTCTTAGCTCATAGGCTAAGGTACCTACCTGGTAAGGTAGTTGACCGACCTGCAGGGCTGTCTCCGCCGCGGACCCTGGTTTTCTCTTTCCCAGCAGCTGTCGGCGATTGCGTGCTAAGCGAGGCTTCTGGCAGCATTCACCCTTGCGCTATTCCACCATCTCTCCAACGAACGCCGTGCTTGAACCAGCAACCCTCATCCTCCTCTGCCGCTTCAAGGAGCGCTTCCTCATCCTTACGCCCCTAATCCGACGCCATCCTCTTGCATTCGCATCAATCTTCTGCCCGTCGGCAGAGCCTCGAGCATCGTCAGTCGCCCTGCTCCCTCAGTCTCGCGACCAACTGCATCCACCCGCCGAGCCTCCTCGCACGCGATACAGGCCTGGCAGCTCGACAGCTGGAACTTCCCATGCGTAAAGCTTGCTGCGCGCCGTCTTGACCCCTTCCTTGCGCTCGCCGAAACTGTCGCGGAATGGCGTTAAATTCGCAATCTTGGACGGAATTCCAAACCAACGGCCATACTCCTGATCCAACAAAAAGCCGTCGATTATCATTACGCCAGCAGAAGCCATCCACCATGTTCGTCGACGATACACCGGAAAGAGACGCCGAAGTGCAGCACACCCACAGTCACGAAGGAAGCCGGAGCCGGCATTGGTTAGGTAGCGACGAGGCAGATAAGCGGGCAGAGGAGAAAGACGCCACTATATCCATCGGGTCCAACAGCAAGCAGGTCGAGAAGATGATCTCACCCTTCTTTGCCAAACATATACCCGGACAGTACAACCCTCTCGGCGAATATGCACAGCCATTCTCGAACGCCAACAAGTCGAGCACAAAGTATTGCTATCGCCACCGCCCGGATTTGAAGTGCAGGAGACAAGCGGACGAGCCGTCGATGGAGCAGTTGCAGAGTGTAGGTAGAGTCAAGGCCGGTTGGACATCCTCTGAACTGACAGTAATCTAGGAACTCGGCACGCTCTCTCAATCCGACCAGCAAGCCATAAGCCACGTTTGGTCGCTCTTCTCCGCCGCTCCAGCGAAGCACCGAAACCTCATGCTCCAAGGCATACTCGCTCAATGCTGCTTCCCGCAACTGTCATACATCTCCTCATCCGTCCGCGAGCTCATCAAGATTGATTTCATTTCCGCATTGCCTGCCGAGCTCGGCTTCAAGATACTGTCGTTCCTGGATACCACGTCGCTATGCAAGGCAGCTCAAGTCAGTCAAAGATGGAGGAGTCTTGCAGATGATGACGTTGTATGGCATCGGATGTGTGAGCAGCACATCGATCGCAAGTGCACGAAATGTGGCTGGGGGTTGCCGCTGCTGGAAAGAAAGAGACTACGGACTGAGAAGCGACAGATTCAGTTGCGCGCAACGGGACGAGGGCTGAACGAGTCCCCGGTGGATGTCGTCCAATCTATTGAAGCCGCACCACAAGCTCAAGTTAACGTAAGAAGTCGTGAACCCAGTGCTGGACCTCCAGAATCTTCGACATCAGCCGGGGTGAAACGTCCGAGCGCCGATGTTACTGCCTCTCCAGAGCTATCGTTCAAGCGTGCCTGCACCCAGTCGATCCGCCGTGATAGCAGCCAGGAAGGCCATGACGAGTCTCAGTCTCGCGTGCGGCCATGGAAAGATGTGTACAAAGACCGCTTCAAGGTCGGCACGAATTGGAAATATGGGCGGTACTCTGAAAAGGTCTTCAAAGGCCATACCAACGGTATCATGTGCCTGCAACTCGAGGACAACATCTTAGCGACCGGCTCGTATGATTCGACTATCAAGATATGGGATCTGGACAGCGGCGAGGAAATCATGACGCTCACCGGCCATACAGCTGGCGTCCGCTGCCTGCGCCTTGAGGGCTGCACCCTCTTTTCTGGAAGCCTGGATCGCACAGTCAAGGTATGGAACTGGCGCACCGGCGTCTGCAAACGTACCCTCACGGGCCACAGCGGCGGCATCATCGGATTGGACTACGACGCGAGCGCCAACACGCTAGCAACAGGATCTATGGATAAGACTATCCGGATCTGGAACTTCAGCAAATCGGGCACAAGCACCACATTCTTGTTCAAAGGCCACACGGACTGGGTGAACGCAGTCAAGATTGATGCCGCCTCGCGAACTGTTTTCTCGGCAAGCGACGACTGCACCGTCCGGCTATGGGATCTCGACACACGGCGGTGCATCAAGGTCTACGAGGGCCACGTCGGCCAGGTCCAGCAGGTCCTGCCGCTGCCGCCGGAATTCGAGCTTGAAGACGATGCCCTCGACGGCAACACGCACTCCGATGATGAGGACAGCAGCACCACGTCTTCCGACCGCCGCTACAGCGTAACGGACGCGCAGCTAAACTCCTCACCACCCCCACAAGCGGCCAACGGAGCCGCAACGGTGCCGCCACTCCTCTCTTCCAGCGACCCGGATCGTGCCCCACCTCCCAAGTACATGCTCACGGGCGCGCTCGACAGCACGCTACGCTTGTGGCACACGGCGTCCGGCCGCTGCATCCGCACCTACTTCGGCCACATCGAGGGCATCTGGGCGCTGGCGGCCGACACGCTGCGTGTTGTCTCCGGCGCCGAGGACCGCAGCGTCAAGATCTGGGATCCGAGGAGCGGCGAGTGCGAGCGCACGATTGCGAGACATCGCGCCCCGGTTACTTGTGTGGGCCTCAGGGACTGGGGATTTGCGACTGGGGGGGAGGATTGTGAGGTCAGGGTTTACAGTTTTAGGGGATAGATGTGTGGGCGGAGATGACAGTTTCGGTCTGGGGTCTGTTCTGCGACATCTAGCTTTCTTTGGTCGTTTATTCTTTGGGTCAGAATGGGCGGATTACAGCATGGACTTAGCATGGCGTCAAAGGGAGGTTCTAGCACAAGATATCCTGGTGGTGTTCTGGGCCGTGGGAGCGCTCAATCTTTCCTTCTTGGGTCTTGACATCTTGATGTTCTTCTGTCACTTCTGGTTCACCGCACTGTATGAATCAGGTCTTTCTACGCTTAGCATCGGGAAGAACTAGCATAGATCAACCTCTTATCGCTCAAAGCTCATAACCTTGCGACAGCCCTAAACCATTTTCTTCCCTTTGACTGGCAGACGTTGCTACCGGCATGGAGAAGATTGGACGGATCTTGAAAACAAGGTGGAGTCAAGGGTAGAGAGCAGAGTACCGAGCTGCCGCTCCTTATTAGAGAAACCAACCAAACCCAATCACATGCAAGCTGTAACAATCATTTGACTCTGATGGAAAGGTGGAACCACCCGAGCCCACTGCCCCCTTAAGAACATGCGGCACCTCCACTAGTCAAGCGAAATCACAAACAATCCCAAGAGCGTGCAGCAAGGGTGGAAAGTCTGTGTTGACTGAGCGAACGCTCCCGCTGTTATATACAGGCTCTGGTGTATTGGTGTTGTAGGCCGCTGGGGGCATGCCCCGACAGTCTACCGATTACATCTCTGACGTGCATGTGACAGAAAATAATAGAACCGTGTCCGATCAAGTTCAGTGTCCGTCTTCTGGCGGTTTTGTTTAACAAAGGAGATGAAGAAAACAGCGTAGTGAATCGGGTCTCGGCTTCCAAGCATATCCCAACATGAAACGCCGTCCCGCTCCTCCGAAAGCGTTTCTGACAATTTGCCTCCGCATCCCTCTGCAACCGTCCGTGAGCCTAAAGGACCAGCAGCGCTGCCCGCGCCGCCAACACTAGTAGGACCACGGATGACAAGACAAACAGCTGGAACCGAACCATGATCTTGTTGACCGATGCGTGCACCAAACTATGCATGACCCTGATCGCCACATACAACCAAGCGAGGCCCACATCAATATCGCCATCTGCGCCGAGAAGCGCGAGGACGACAGCGATGGCATAGAACTGCGTGGGCTGTTCCATCAGGTGGTTGTAGTTGTCGGCCTTCCAGCGGATGTGCGGAGGGACCTTGGCGTTGAATTCGTCCTTGGAGGCGTTGGGGTGCACCGGTACTTTGTACTTGCTGACGGCGGGGATGCGAGTTGCATACATCCATGCTTCCATGAAGAAGGTCCATAGGTTGAGAGCGATGACAGGCGCAAGGAGAGCCGGCGATTTGACTAGCGGCAGCATGGCGGTGTTGTTGCTTGGAAGTAAAAGCTAGAGGATGGGTGACGAGCGTGTTGTGGTTTTGATCACCAATGGGCAGTTACGATGTCTTTTATAGCGGTTACTTTATGGCTGCCTGGAGGTTGTCTGACTTGCTAGGGCGGCCCCATGAACCGACGGATAAGCTCTTAGCGGTCCGTCAGTCCGTCTCGCGCTAGCCGGACCGTCTATTGGATACCCTGACCGCGCTGAGCAACCAATCAGAGAATGATAAGAATAGTGGTATTATGCAGCCGATATTCGGTCAAAATATCCCTATGTCGTGGTGCAGCGGGTCTTTCTCCAAGCCTTAGACGCGTGAGCGGTTCCTCTGATATTTAAAGCTACTCCACCACGTATTCAATCCCAACTCGTCTAAATACTTAGGCATGGAGCTCGACTATCGAGCGGGTCGGTCTACAGCATTGACCGCGCTGTACCTTGCCCCTGAACCAAGAATCCACTCTCCGTGATCGCTCTTATAGGCGTGATGGTCCACCTCTGCGTCGGCCGCCCAGTATTACTTGAGTTCATCGCCACCCGAGTTCCACCCTCCATCGTATCTAGATACAAATCAGGTCCAGAGAACAGATTCGACAGGTGAAACGAGCCATCACCCCAAGGCTTGATCTGCCAGAACTGGCCGGAGAAGTTGCCCGCGGGAGCAAGATGCGCTTTCTTTTTGTCTTCGCCGGCGATGTCCAGCTGCATGCCGGCGCCCAGGAACATGCTGCATAGGGCGTAGGAGCCGTCTGCGCGGGGTTTGATCTGCCAGTGCTGCCCTGAGAAGTTACCCTCGGGAGCCATTTGGATGGACCTGTATTTGGAGCCGCTGCCGTCGTTGACGACGTCAAGGGCGTGGCCAGCGAGTGTGTTGCGCAGCCGGTACCAGGTTTGTGCGTTGAATCCGGACTGGGGCCCTGAGGCGCCGGGCCTGACGGTAATATCAACCGTCATTGTGGGGCTGGACGCGGGTATGGACGTGATAGAAACGAATGTGTCGTCGCCCGCGTGAGATCTGCTGTGAGGATTCGAGGTTGAGTGGAAAGAACGGCAGTCGGCGGTTCCGGGGAAGGGATCACCGTTGTCACCAAAGGAAGACTTGTTTTGGAGCTGGCGGAGACCATCGGCTTGCACGAGGCTGACCTTTGGGTGGTGTTCGTTGGTGTTGTTGTGCACGGAATCGTCGATATGCCAAACTGCAAAAATCAAGTCAGACACAAGCAACCAGTAGGGCAGGAAAATTGTATGCGTACCAAGAAGACCAGCGCCAGGAAGGGAATTGTCGAAACCGCCAAGCTGTCGGTTCTCAACGAGGAAGTACTCTTGACTAGACGCATCGCCATTCTTCCAGAGTCTGTGTACTTTTTTGCTCGACTTCACGTCCGCGCACGTTATTTGACCGTTCTCCGTTGGTCTCACCACATCAACCCAGCCCTGGGTGGCCTTGCACCATGCCGAAGGGTGGCAAGGCGTTACACCTTGCGGCATTCCACCCCAACTTCCACCAGACATGAGGCACCATTTGCCCACACCCGCGCTACTACTGTCAGTATCGTAGAGATCGGGCCAACCAAACACGAGATGACCAATCTCGTGAGCGCTGACGCCAATCTTAGCATCCTCTGGGATAGTAAGGAAAGCTAGAACCTTGACATCGTCCACCGTGGCCACTTGAGGAAGCTCCCATTGGGCGGACCAGATGTCGTCCACGTTTTGAGTTTGCTCTCCACCCGGCCCTGCGTGCACGACGATGAATGCATCCACATAGCCATTGCCATCGTTGTCGTAGGGCTTGAAATTGATCTGGCTATTGGCGGCTCCAAGAGCATCAGCAGCAAGAGTCTGTAGATTCGGACTTGCCCAGCCATGGCCGTGGTTGTTGTTTGCGTATTGCTTCGAAGTTCGAGGCATGAGAAAAGGTCCCACAACCTCGCCGGTAAGAGAAACCTTTCCGTTGCTGACTTCGGTGAAGTATTCAGTCACGCTGCCCGTTGCCATCTTGTTGGTAGAAAAGAAGAGCTCTTGGAACCGTTCTTTAGCGCCATTTGCCATTCTCTTGTCGCTGAATTCGACAAGGACTATTGCAGCTCTGATGCGATGCGTTAGCTCATGCTGATGCCGCAATTCGATACATAACGAACCTGATGGCTCCACGCAATGGAGCCCTATGCAAAGCCGTCCTGTTCGGGGGAGTCGCCGAGGGAGCGGCCTCAGAACGAGACTTAGGGAAGCGCGCCCCATCATTAATGCCACCGACGGTTCCCGTGGGTGCACCATAATATAGAGGGTTCTGACCAGCGGCACCACGAGAAGCCGCTCCATTAGGAGGTCCTTGTGCATTGAAGGAGTTGGAGCCAGAACGGGTCAGAAGATCGGGGTGTGGGGGGACACGGCAGGGCCCCTTGGTGCAGTGATGAGTGACCATATTTCTGGTTCGTCCGGATAACTGGAGGTGATGGAGAGACGAAGTGTCGATATAGGTTGGAAAGCTACGAAGATACAAGACGTATGTATGTTGAAAGATCTAGGCGGAGTGGGTTTTCGATCTGAGCTATAAGGAACAAGCAGACAGAGACGACGGGAGCAGCGAATTTATGGTAGAACGATTCGACCAGGGTCAAATGGAATCTCGCGATTTTCCTCGTGCGCAGATCTGAAAGAACATGTCTGCTGGCTCTGCGCTTGCCGGTTTCGAGCTGAGTGCAAAGAATTCTGGGCAATGGAGAAGCTGAATACGGGGCTGAGTGCAGCAAGGCGTCGAGCTGAACAAGTACTCTATGCGCGGCGGCCAAACGCGAGTGTTCAGCTGAAAGCTGACAGCAAAAAGCGACGCCACGAAAAAGCCCACTATACGCCAAAGAGCACAATTCAGATCCTACAGGACCATCGCACCATATCACATACGACGCAGCTTCCCACCTTCCACATTTCAATGAGGAACCTCATGAAGTTTGAGCTCTGGAAAACCGCACAACCTTACGTCTCCGCAACGGATCGAGCGATCAAGCAACGCCTGCTCAGCTCGAGCTGAAGGGCTGAGAGAGGCTACATGGTAGCATGAGTAGGTAGCAAGCTGTTCACCTTAGATGTCAACAAGAACCCTTGCCTTTGTAGTGGTGCAGAGCGTGTGTTATTTATAAGGTATACAGAACACAGGCGGAGAACTCTTTTGAGATGAAGGCGCGATAGAATCGAAACCGGTGCAAGGGCTATTCAAAACTGTGTTATCTAGCAGAATCCATGGTACAGCTCTCGAGCGTCGCAGAATTATGCAGAAGTTCGTCTTTGCGGCGGATATCGCACTTACAGCTCCCGCCACTAAATGCCAAGTCGCTAGGCCCAAGGGCTATCCACAAAGGTGGTTGCCGCTTCTCAGCTGGTGGCTTTTTCGATCGGATTCAGCATCAAACTGGACTTATGATCGTGTCAATCGTAGAGCAGCTGGACCGATTCTATGCGAGAGAAAGTAAAAGGCGTTTAGCAGTTTAGCTACTTAATGCGTCGATCACCTAAAGTGTCTCTGAGCTGCGGATTTTACTTGAGGCCTATCCAGCTCTAGGGCCACGAGTAGCTTTCGATGCGGCAACCGACTTTTCGAATGGCCCTTGGCCAGGTTGCAGCGGAGATGATCCCGCCGGATTGATACAGTATGCTCAAGTCGGAGGTCCGCATGGTGGAAAGCGGGCAGAGATCACTGCATGCATGAGCTCTCAGCTCAAGCCGTCCGCTGATGTGAGGCCGTTTGCGACAGCCGGCATGGGGCGCCGCAGCAACGCAGAAAGGTTCTCGCGTCAGCATCTCGACGGATCTTACTCGTATATCTTGAGGCGGCGCCCACGGCCTTCCCGATGTGGAGACGGAACGAAACCCTTCAATCATGTCGATCTCCACAGACTTCGCAGATCTCAGGGACAAAGTCGTTGTACTGACTGGTACTGTTCCAATGTTGATCTCCAGAGCGAGTAGTCTGTTGTAACAACGCTTATATAGGTGGCGCTAGCGGCATCGGCGCTTCTACCGTCCGCCTCTTTCATTCTCACGGCGCCCATGTCGTCTTTGGTGACCTCGCCCTCGAAGCTGGCTCCGCTCTTGTAGCGAGCCTCTCTACATCTTCACCGACCTCGTCCGCCTCGCCCAAAGTAACCTTCGTACCAACAAACACTGCCATCCACGCCGATGTGGTACGCCTGTTCAAGACCGCGCTCGCGCTTCATGGCCGCGTCGACCATGCTGTCGCCTGCGCGGGCGTCCTCACTCCCGGCGCCGATTTCTTCGCGCTGGATCAGAACGTTAAGAGTGTGGAGCTGAACGAACCGGACACGACCACGCTCGATGTCAATCTGAAAGGGAGCATGTATTTTGCTAGGGTTGCGTTGGTGTATCTACGGCACGTTCCCGCTCAAGAGAACGCTGATCCAGCGGAGGTGCAGCGCGATGGGAATGACGGAAGGAGACTCGAGGGCGCAGAGATCGATAGATCCCTCACCCTTATCGCCTCCGACATGCCCTTCATCGGCGTCGCGCAAGCGCCGGTGTACCAGGTCAGCAAGATGGGCGTGCTGGAGCTGATGCGTGTCCTGCGGCCGCTCTTCCAGTCTCCGTTGTCTGGTCAATGTCTCTCGCCTAACGGACAGGGTGAAAGGAGGCCGAAGATCCAGATTCGCGTCAATGCCGTCTGTCCATCTCTCGCGGCTACGCCTATGGTTGGTGGGCTAAGTGAAGCATGGCAGGGAGCTGGCTTGCCTATCAACACGCCGGAGATGGTTGGGCAGGTGATTTTGGGACTTGCTGCATGCCCAGAGTCAGCAGTCGGTGGAGGGAATACGAAGAAGGCGCATGGTATGGCTCTTGAAGTCGTTGGTGGTGAAGCTTGGGATATTGAAGAAGGTTTGGAAAGTAGTATGGGAACGTGGCTAGGCGAGCGTGGAAGGCAGACAGTACTAGGGGCAAGGCAGCTTTTCAAAGGGATGGGTGAGCGCGTATGGGAAGCCCCATAAAGACTTTTCCACACATCAACCCTGGATGGTATTCCGGGTATCTTTCATGGCTCCGGTAGTCTTACGATTTATGAACCGTCGGCATTTCCATATGTCTACGCTGATGTCCGGGGTCCTTGTCACCAGAGCGAGAGAGTCTAGTCCAAACCTTACAGCTGTTAAAGGAAGATAATCTGAGTCGCTAGCAGACTTCAGCCCCATCCTATCCGCGTTCGATGTCGGCAAATCGTTAAGAAACGGCTTCTAAACCCCGTTGGACCCTCGATTGTTTAAGAGCCCTTTAAGACAAGTCGTGTAGACCGAGTCCGTGAGATCGTGTCTGCGAAGAGCTGAGTTTGTTTTCATGAAACTTCACAATAAAGCCCCTTGATATGGAGCTACGGATTGACACAACAATAGTCTAACGTCCCTTTGATGTGTTCCCATTGGTATCTAGTATTTTCTGTCAATACCCAGCCCTCATGCAATTATTCGACAGCGGAATGGATCCCAGTCCCGCCACGCTTCCCTATCCCGGAAATGCTACCTCAAAAGAGACGCCTGTTCCATGTATCATCCCAACCGCAAATGCCCATCCACACACGCTATGCATCCACGCTATGCCCCATCCTGCCCAAACCCATTCCGTAAATGCAATAAAGCAACAAACTCAAAGACGCAAAGTCGAGGAAGCAAGGAAATCGCACGGTGCAATCATCACCCCTCTCCCCTCCCAAACCCCAACCTCCGCTGCCCTCTCTCAACCCCAACTCCGATCGCACCCAGCGGCGGTCTACCCCTCCCTCTTCCCCTGCCCCTACCGTTTCCACTGCCAGCATCAACGCTAGCACCAGCACCGGCACCAGCAGCTACGCCAGTTCTGCCACTCGCACTAGTACCAGCCTTACTAACCCCAGGCGGCCGCCCCCTCCGCCTCCCCCTCGGCTGCACCGCCGTCTTGCGATCTTCTGCAGCTGTACTAGCAGAGGCGTCGCGCTCGCGCCCTCGCTCCCGCTCCTCAGCTCTCAAATCCTTTGCCAGCTCCTTGGCGAAATGCCAGTCTTCGTGCTCAGCTTCCTGGCTCATTGGAATCGGAAAGTTGCCGCATTGCGCGCAGGGGTAGGTCGCTGCTTGCTCCGGTGGTGCGGTGGGGGACGAGGGATACGTGTCCGATACGTCGTTTTCGGTTTGGTTCGGGGAGGAGGAGGGGAAGAAGCGGGGTTTCTTGACGGCAGGAGGGGAGGGGGGCGGCGAGGGCGCGGCGGCGGAGAAGGAGCGCAGGAGAGCGGCGTCAAGGTCGTCAGAGGGGGTTGAGGTGGGGTCTGGGACCGGTGTTAGGGCGGCTTTGCTGGAGGAGAGGCTGGGGTGGTGATGGATGGGTTCGGGGTCGGGCTGTCGTTCTGGCTCAGGCGACGGCTCCGGTTCGGGCTCGTCTTTGCTTGATTCCCGCCTGCCGAAGAAGTTCGCGATGCTGGGGTTGTCTGGCCTCAGCTTCCGCCTCTTTTGGGGCCTCTCCGTCTCTTCTCCATGATCCTCCTCTTCCGCCTCTGCGTCCCCATGGACAGCGGCGTTCATTCGCTCGCTAGCCAGCATTGCCTTTGCTTCCTCTCCTCTTACGAGAAAACCGCCTATACCCCTATTTCCAACTACCCCGTCTTCGAATCCGCCGACACTGAGACTCAAATTCGCGCACGGCCACGCCCTCCCATCCGCCACGACCTGCGCCAACAGCGCCCTCGCAAGCTCAAACAGCGTTTCCTCGCTCAGCGCCCCGCCCCTGGGGATCGGTGCCGACTTGCTCCGTGTCTGGGCGCCCTGTTTATGATGCAGATTGATCGTCCTGGGCCGGCGTTTATTCTCCAGCACGCCCTCCTCAATACAACGACTGAAGATATCCGCTGCAAAGATACGTAGCCAGCGAACCCCGACCTCGAAAGCGTTGATCGCGGGCCGGAAGGACTTGGCCGACAGCATGGACTTGGTCTGCGTGCGGGGGTTGACCTCCGAGTAATCCTCACCACGCACAGCATGATAGACCCACGTCCCCGTATCATCCCCAAGCCCGCGCTTCAGCGTCTCAAGCGGCACGCTCAGTAGCTCAGCGACAGAATCCGTCCCGCAAAGCGCAACGACCTCGTCTCCAAGCTTGCCGCCCAAGTTGCGGATCTTGGTGAACTTGAAACTCGACAGGAAATATCCGACCGCGCGGTTGCGGACCACGGTCTGCGCGTTGGGCTTCTGGTGTCCAGACCCGAGCTTCGCGAGGAGCTTGTTGCGCGCCACGCCCGCGCTGCACGTGTAGTTGAGCTTGGCGCGGATGGTCTCCCGGATGCGGCGCACGGTCTCCGACCCGAGCAGGATGCAGATGTCGTCCCAGTCCGGGTCGTCGTCTTCGGTTTGCGAGGCATCGAGGTCGACGAGCGCGTCGGTGTGCCAGTCAAGTGCGGTTGTTGGGGGCCGTGGGAGAGGTGTGCTTGGGTCGTCGTACGGCGGGGGACCGGAGAGCTTGGGATAGCGCTGCAGGAGAATGGAATGGATTTGAGCGGAGAGGTCGAGGAAGACCTCATCGATGCTGGCTTTCTCCACGCGCTGGATTGGCGCAGGGGGTAAGGCTTCCTTGATCGTGGCGAGGATCTTGCGGGATTCGAGACGGTATGGATCCAAGGAGACTTTCTGCGAGGCCATGTTCTTGAAGGAGTCTTCGCGGTAGGCCCACTTGTCGTCGCCCTCTTGCCATGTTGCTACATGCTGCATGATCAGCTCGGGGCACAGCTTCTGCGCTTCTGTGCTGGTGATGTGCCTATTCAGCCCGAACTTGCGCGCTGGGTAGTTTATGGCGATCAGGCCCTGCCATTGCTGGACGGCGAGGGGTTTGTCTGCGGGGATCCCGAGGCGCACCATCTCGCATTGAGCGTAGAAGGCATCGAGGTCGATGTGGGCGATGACGCGGAGGGGACATGTCGTTTGCGACTGTGATAGCGCGGCTAGATGCTTGTACGTGAAGCGGCTCTTCTTGCGGCGTGGAGAAGTTAGGGAGGATGGCGAGGAGGAGAGGAAGGGCTGCGAGGATGACATTGTCTACACATTAGGCGAATGCTTCAGCAGGTCGCCGAGGGCATCCTGGTCGTAGAAATCCACGGGGATGCGGTAGTAGATGCGGTAGTTAGTAGATGCGGTAGTGGATGCGGCCAGCCGGAGGGGTGTGAGGTGGGTCAGCCGCGCGCGTCGACGCGTAGAGTGGCTTCTCGGGGTTGCCCATTCGAGACAAGGCGAACCCCCAGCAGTGACGGCGATATTGACAGACATCGCAGCGCACGAATCAACGCTTGAACGTTGACTTGATCCACACACAGTCATGCGAATGGCCATCAGCAGTGCACGAAGGCCCTCTCAAAAGTGCCATCACAAGCATCACAGCCCACACAGCTAGCCCAACGCGCCCCTCGATGTCATCATAGATTTCGCGAGGCGCGCTCCGAGCGCTCCGCCATCAGCAATACCTCCAATTCACAACAGTAACCTTGAATCACTGCTTTGACGCTCTTGTTACCCAAACATATCTCCTGTCTCGCAATAATGTCTTTCCTACGAAACCCCTCCGCCCTCTTCGGCATGGTTAATCTAGCTGCCATCGGCGGCGCAACGGTCTACCTGCGCTCGCACCACGTCTACAACCTCGAGGAGCACGAGGCGCGCATGGACGAGCTGGAGGGCACGCTGAGGGGGCATATTGGAATCATTGAGGAGGCATTGGATCGGCTGGAGGGCAAGGCGACGGAGGCGGATAGGGGGAAGAAGATGTGAGTCGTCTGGTGTGCTGGGGCAGGTTGGTAATGAGGGCTGACGGGAGGCATAGGGACGAGTATTATGGGAAGAGGGGCCGCGACGAGAAGGAGAAGAAGAAATAGAGCAATGGTTGTGATTTTTGCAGACTCGCATCGTTGTCAGATGCTGGACCTCAGGGCAAGCGCTGCAGGGTCCGCCAGCCAAGAGCGCAGGGCTGAGGCCGAGGGATGTGGGGTTGAAAGTGACCAGCCGAGGCATCAAAAGCACCTTTCATGCGGACATGGCATCATGGATATCTTTAAGACCAGGGTGCGCCGCAAAAGTGAGGTCGATGGGTGGTGGGATAGATATTTGTTCAGCCCAGTGATCATACCATAGCCTTACTCCTATCACTTCACCATCATGTCCGCTCCCAATGATATCATTCTCTTCCACTACCCATTCTCGCCATATGCGCGCCGGATAACCTGGTACTTTACCTTGCGGGGCATTGAATACGCACAATGCGTGAGTGCAATCACCGTCATCGTCCGCAATCTTCACTGACAATCTACAGCTCCAATCACCAGTCCTCCCTCGCCCGGATCTGGAAGCACTGAATGTCTCGTACCGGCGCATTCCCGTCCTGTCCATCGGCCGCGACATCTACTGCGACACGCGGCTCATCCTGCGCAAGCTGGAAGAAAGGTTTCCCGATGGCCGTCTCGGCGCCACGAACGGTGAGCAGAAGGCAATGGAGCGTCTACTGGAGAAGTGGACCGTCGACGCTGGCATATTCTGGCGCGCAGCCTCTCTGCTGCCGGCTAATCTGCCCATCTTGAACGACCCGAAATTCACCAAGGACAGGGAGAGCTTCACCGGAAGGAGCTGGGGCAAGAAGGACATGGATCGCGCGAGGCCTGAGGGTGTGGTGCACATCAGGGATGCGTTTGAGCTGCTGGAGACGACTTTGTTGGCGGATGGGCGGGATTGGGTGTTGAAGACTGAGAAGCCTAGTTTGGCCGATATCGAAGGTAAGCGCTTTTGGCGTCGAGGACTCTTAACCGGACTCACAAGCTCCATGCGGCCAAGCCGCTGCGTTTTGGTGTACTTCATGAGCCCGAGCAAAGGCTGACCATTCATTTCAGCCATCTGGCCTTTTGACTGGCTCGTCGAGCTTCAGGCACTCCCGCCGAATGTCGTCTCCGAAAAGCAATTCCCCAAGGTCTTCGCATGGATCAATCGTTTCAGGGGAGCTCTCAAGTCAGCCGGAGCACCGAAGCCCGTCACCCTCAAGGGTCCTGAGGCCATCAAATTCATCAACAGTGCCGAGTTTGCGGAGCCGGCTGGCCGGGTTGACGAGAACGATCCTCTCGGGCTGGAATCAGGAGCGCAGGTTCAGGTCTGGCCCATCGACTCGGGATTCTCGCACAAGGATCAGGGTCAATTGGTGACGCTGTTGCCAAACGAGGTCACGATTGCCAAGAAGACGAAGGAAGGCGAGGAGATTCGTATACATGCGCCGCGCTGGGGCTTCAGGATTGTTGAGGCCACTGATGAAAGCCCCAGGCTTTAGTGCATGATGTTGACGTAGTTTAAATAGATCTGCTGTAAGGGATCTGCTGTGCTGCATGTGGTACCCTCGCACCAATGCTCCGGCCCGGCCATGCTGCTGTGTTCTTTGCATGGTCACCCAAGCTTCCGCGTGCCAGTCCCAATTTGATATGGATAGGATGCAGCCAACCTGCACGTGCAAGAGATGGTGGGCATGACGCCGTGTCACTGTGGCCCCTCAACAAACCCGGATTGTCAGTGAGCATGCAGAGAAGCTTGAGTCCGGAGCTGGGATGACTTCATTGTACTGAATGTCCATTTTACAGCGTCTGCTGAAGAACCCGAGGAGGGTAGATGAGTATGGCCGGCCAGAGACGTTAGGTCCCTAACGTCTACGGGGATGCCTAGTTGCGGTCCGTCCAGGAACAAGGGAACAATGTACTCCAGCTGTACAGGACTTGAGAGTGAGCGGCGCTGCGTCCGCTGCTCAGGACTCGTCAGTGAGCGCAGACGCCGGCATTGATCTGTGCATTTATCTGATGGTGCAGTATCAAAGGCCTGATGCCGTCGCCGTGTGACGCCACGCACGTGCTTATTTGCTTGCTCCTGTGCAACGGCGCCGATTCGGGATCAGCAGCGACTTCTCGAAGGCCGTTGTTTGTTCCTCAGCATGGCTAGGGCCCACATGGAGGGCTAATGATAAGCGGCCACGATGCAGCGCGGGTTGGGACGCTGGAGATTGAGACAGAACCGGTCAAAGAAGCCAAGACTTTGGATGGGACAGGCAAACAGGGAAAAAGCCGGAAAGTGGTGACCGCGGCTTGCAGCAATCGGCAGAAAGACGACGACGGTGCTCCGTCTCGTTGGTGGGCGCGATTAATGTGGACGAAGCTGGTTGACATGATGGGTTCAAATTGAAGCATCAGGACTTCTTCGGGGATAGACTTGGGCGCTGGCGCTAAGCGGATGGTGCCCGACGGCGGCGCTCTCTCAGCCCAAACCCGCTCAAAGCCATGCCAGCTCGAGTTAGCATGAATGCCCAATTCCGCCAGCCCTGGAACGCTCATCGCGTAAGCATCGTGTTTTACTGACCGCGTACCGGTACCCACACTCAGTCTGCTCAGTCTGCTCAGTCTGCTGTCCCTTTGCCCAGCCTACGCTCTTGTCGAGATGACTAGAAGCACTTTCACCTGTTTTGGCTGCTCGCTCTTGCAGTCCTCGCGCTTCTCACGCCCTTGCCTCCTCGTCGCGTCGTCGTCGTCGTTGTTGTTGTTGTTGTTGACGCGCCCGCGCAATCTCTGCAGTGCAACTCGGCGGTGGACACAAGTCACAAGTCACTCAGGTCATTCCTCGCTGCCCCACAAGCGTGCTTGTGCATGTGCTTGTGCTTGTGCTTGCTGCCCGATTGCGTGCAGCCGCCGTCTGTGGGCTGCCCTGCGTCCAATCATCGGCCGCTGCGTGTGCCGGCGCTGCTGATTTTCCCAAGCCTAAGCCGCTGGCTGCCCAGAGCCGCAAAAATCCTCTCTTTTCCTCCCCCCCATCCCCCGCTTCCAGCCTCGTCACCTTCTCGCTCGCTCTCCTCTTCCTTTCCGGCACATGCTTCTGCAGTAAACCGCGACGGTACCGAACTTAGAGACTCCCTCTTGTCCCTCTGCAAATCTCCCGCCGTCCGCCTTTCAGCGCGCCGCCTTCGTCAGCTGGAGCCTCTTCTCACACAGCCGGTATATTGATTCTGGAAGCCCCCCGCCTCAGGTCCCCTCAGTCCTGCTGCCTGATCTCGTTGCAACCTCTCCCCGGAGCCACCAGTGCCGTCGTGAGGACCGCTCGTACCAGTTTGAATTCCACGTAGGCTGCCGTACATCTGATCCCGGCTCTCTCTCTGCCATCGTTGTCGCTACCGTCTGGTTTACCCTTCATCTCATACTCTCTGCCGCCACTGCCATCAGTGTCATCTCGTTCTTCCTCTTCCGGACGCCGTTCACCATGTCGCACAGTACAGGTATGCCTACCAGGAATTGGTTTGTGCCAGGGGAGGGTATCGCCAGGGAAGTCATTACAGCCGACATTCAGCGCTACCTTGGACCAGATGCGTTGGTGAGGCCTGGCAACGACGAGGTCTGCATCTCCTTCCAGCTATCAGACCGGGTCGAGTAACTGACGGCATGCAAGGGCGTGGACGGGTACTGGATCACTGCATACCGCACCCTCACATCGGTAAGCGCCTCCTTGATCCGCTTCTCAAGGCTCGACTAACATGACCCCGCCATCGTAGCAAATGGTCCAGGACCTCAAACTGGATTCCCAGCGGTGGCGACAGGAAGTCCAGCAAGGACAGCAGGGACGAGGTAGTCCGCTTTTGCGAGACCAAAAGTTCCAAAAGCAGCCTGACAAGCTTCTAGTCGCCTATCAAGATTCCACTACCCATCGGTCGAGACAATACTACGGACCCACCCCAGCGCCGCCCACGGATCGGGAACGAGCCTACCAGCAGACTGCTGCTCCATCTTCCTACAGTGTGGATCCCAGGGAGCAGCAATACCGTGTACCCGCACCATCCGGCTATCAGCAGGAGCCGGCCTATACGTACGCTCCACAACCCCAGCAACCTCAAGGCCAGCCGGCATATGCGAGCGCACAGGGTTATCCGCCAAGGACTGCGTCTGGATACCCTGCGTACGCTCAACCGTCACGGGAGGAGCAGCCGCAGTATCAAGCATCATACGCGGATCCAAGAGCGGAATCAAGAGCGGACCCGAGGGCCGCAGCAGCATATTACTCTAACCAACCCCAGGCGTCCACACCGCAGTCAAACCAGCCGATGTACTCAACTCCCCAGCCACCAAGGTACTATGGATTTGTTCCGCGGCAATCTTTGGTCCTTTACTAAACCCTTGATAGTCAATCAACGTACTACACCACAGATGGGCGTGGTAAGTTTCCTCAGGAATCCCCTGGTTATCGTGGATGGCGGTGTGCGGAATCGGGAGCGCAGCTAACACGTCGCCTTTTCTTGCAGCATATGCACCGGGATCTCATCAGCAGAATACTGGACGTCGCCGCCAGCCGTAGTTCCACCTGCTCCAGAGAAATGGTCTGGCTACCTCCTGGGGATAGACATTTGTTGTTATCATCTTCCGTTTTACTGGTTCTAAAAGGCACATCCAGTGCTCTCCGTTGGCTTTATACCGTGCTGCCGTGGATTTGCCCCAGGATTGTCCTACATTGCGCTCAAGGGACCTATCCTGGATCTACTGCCCACATCGCTCCCAAAGATTTGTCTGGTCATGTTCGTTTAGCCGCATAGGGGACGGCGGCAAGTCAGCTGCTGCCCATCTACCGGACGCGTGTTCTTCTCCAATTTTTTCCTCGTTCTCATTGCGGCGTCAAGCCTTCGCATCGCAATGAAAGGGTAAATGATGCTCGCGCGGCCTTCTCTATCTCCGGTTTCTTTCTTATTGCTACCATCGCTACCGCTGCCCCTAACATCACCACCGGGATCGCTTCTCACCCAGTGCTGGATTCGCCCTTGGGAGCCGTTGCAAATCCAGAGTAAACAGACGGAGCTGGATCCGGTGGGTTGCAATACCATTCCGGCTCGCGTCATCGACATCGGCCGGTGTAAGCTGTCCATGTTGCACTCTTGCTTCTGTGCATCGCGGTCTTCCAACAAACCAGATAACTACCTTACGAAGTCAGAGCTCTTCTTACCCGTCCAGGATCAAGGCGGTTCCGTTTTACAGGCAGGACCATCACCCATGTTTTCGAGTTGCCGTTATATCCATGGAGGAATGGGACTCTCTGGCTTCGCTCTTCCGTCTCTTCGTCTTTCCCATCTCGTTTTCTTCGCGGCTTGTACGTATATCTTGTCACGCATCGTATGTCTCAGCAAGGAGCTTTCACGAACCGGTGGATGACTGCTTTTCCTTTCCTAGCATGGCCTTGGAGTTACTAGGACCTAATCGAGATATACCTGCCACGTCTAGCAATATCTATGTGCTTCGGTCACTGCTCAAACACCTCCTTCCCTATCGAAGGGCGATTACTGCAACGAATCGCATTGAGAAGGACGTATTATTGAAGCTGTTGCTTCACCACCTCACGTGACGCACTTGACAGTTCCTTGCCGTTCGGTTCTATCGGGGCTTTATAGCTTCTTTCACGTTCAGGATTTCCATGGTACGAACTGCAGATTATGGGCACCTCACTTCAAGCATCTTAGTGGTAAGAGAACGTAGAATCCGCTGAATCATAATCATTACGCTATTAAAGGAAAGTGCTGTCTTCGAGGTGATCCGGCTACCAGCGGAGAGAACTCGACGCTCGACCCATCCATGCTAGACAACCGAGAAAGCCAGAAGCATGTAGAAGTAAGAGTCCGACTCCAAAGCTGGGGTATCAAAAAGCACATATTTGCCAGGGAACCCATGAAACACCCATAACAGCCATGAAGCTAGGAGAGTTGCCCTCCCGAGTCAGAACTGTCTACAGCCCATCCATAGTAGTGACCGTGCCTCTGAACCAGCCGAGAAGCAAGAGAGACCCATTGAGCTTGAACTCCGATGCAGAACCATGCAGTACAACCCGTCCGTTTTCCATGCCCCATCATCACAGAAATGCCGCAGCACAAATCCCACCCACCGGATAGCGGAAAGCAAAGAGATCAAAAAGGAAAGCAGACGTTCAAACCATATCACGCCCGTCCGTCACCTCATCCAAATCAAGAAAACAATCCCCGATCCACGCCCAAGCCCCCAAGCAACAAACGCTCATAGGCCCAAAGAACTTTGTGAAACCAGGCGCCTCCATGAGCCTGTGCCAAGCGCACACGCAGCAAGTACTCCCGCGTCAACTCGTTCGCAGCCAACCAAACGCCCTTCTCGACCGACAGCGTGGCCCACTGATACGCCATCAAGAACAGGAGGATCAAGACGATGAGATTGAGAGGAGAAACCGGCCAGTGCGCGCCGAGTTCCGCGAGACGGGCCTCGCGGGCCCTGGCGCGAGCCTTCCAGCCGCCAGCTGGCGTCGGTTTCGTAGGCGGCGGCGGCGGCGGCGGCAGCGACTCGGTCGTCTGCGTGGACATGTTGCGCTTGTTCTGGCGCTCGCGTTCGCGCCGCCCGGCCAGCTGCCGCAGCGTCTCGTCGTTGCGGCGGAAATAGTCGGCGAGAGACTCGTCGCCGAGGCCGTGAGGCAGGCCGGCGGGCGCGCGGATTCGAATTGGAGAGCGCGGGCTGAAGAAGATTCGAGCTGGTGGCTTGGGTGGGGGAGATGGCGGGGCGGGAGCGATGGGCGAGGAGGCGAGCGGGGTGAAGAGCTCCAAGGTCAGAGGTTTTTCGGCGGATTTGGGAGGAGGGATGGCCACTGCTGCTGGCGACTTTGGAGGAGATGGTGCCTCGGGAGAAGTGGTGAGAGGCGCATCGGCTGCGACTGGCTGCTGTGAGGTGGAGAGAGTGGCAGGAGAACCGAGGTGAGGTTCATCAGCTGTGACTGGCGACTTCGAGTCGGAGGGAGCGGAGGGAGTGATGGCTAGAGGTTCGTCGGCGACGACTGGAAGCCTTGGATCGAAAGCAACCTCTTCGTCTGATGAAGCGGCATATTCGCCGCTGGACTCGCGTCCTTGGAGCTCGAGTGCCAGGCTGGTACGGCGAGGGTCTGGAGAGGGTGTTTTGCTGGAGGCTCCGGCTGTGACGGGGCCAGGGGTGTTGTCACGACGGGTGCGGCGCACTGAGAGGCCAGGGAGCTCGGCGAGCTGCTTGTGGGCGGTGGAGAGTTCTGCCTCGAGCTTGCTATTCTGAGTGCGAAGGTCGGCGTTTTCGGTGTTGCGTTCACCGATTGTGCGCTGGAGGTGTTCGATCTCGTCATTCAAGGGCGCGATGGCTTCTTCGGCCTTGGGGAGCGCATTGAGGCGGGAGATTTCGTCTCGCAGGTCTTTGAGGCTGTCGTCGCGCTGCTTGAGGTCAATGTCGAGGTTGTCGGCGCGCGTCTTCTGGGCCGTCCAGTCTTGCACGGCCTGGTCTTTCTCGCCCTTGAGGCCTTTGAGCTCGTTGTGGAGGAAGTTGAGCTTGATGGCGCGGTCTGCCGACTCCTTGCCGCGCTCGTCGAGGGTCGTCTTCAGCTTCGCAAAGGCCTTGCTGCTCCTGGTGAGTTGGTCCTCGGCATTGGTGCGGCCGGCAGTGAGCGACACTTCCTTGACTCTCGCGTGCTGCAACTCGGCCTGGAGGGAGGTGATGGAGGACTGCAAGTCCTCAATCTGGCTGGCTTGCTCGGTGATGCGCTTCTCGTCGCGCTGCTGCGCGTCTCGCGCCTTGCTCCTCGTGAGCCGCAGCTCGCTCTTGAGGCGCTCCGTCTCCTCGGCGAGAGATGCCATGTGCTGGCGCAGGGGGGCAGAGGCGTGGTCGAGCTGGTATCCAAGCTCATTGGTGTAGTCGTCCATGCTGCCCAGGGTGCCCATGCTGCCAAGCTCTTCCACCTCCACCTGCACGTGACTTTCGTCGGGTGGGAATTCTAACGGCGCGACACGAATGCCGCTTTCGGCGCACAGCTGAGCGAATAAAGGGCGCGTCCCGCGCGACACCTTGAAGGATTGAAGCCATTGGGCTCTAGTGTCAGACATCTTGAAAGAGCTAAAGGCAACCGTCAGTACGACTCGAAGTCTTCATCAATATCACAAGACAAATCGCGAGGGGGAAGCGCTGCTGGTGAAGAGATGCGCAAAGCAGATCTAACGCCTGCAATCTTGTCTTCTCGAGCGGGATGGAAGCAGCGAGACATAGACAGGGTATCCAGGGTGTGGGACCGCAAGTGGCTGACGGCGAGTGTACTTATGCTTTGAGTGGTGGTGGTGGAGAATCGTCGAAAAGCTTGGCCGGCAGGAAGACGACGACGAAGAAGAGGATGAGGAAGATGTCTGGAGCTGGAGTTGCAGGAGGATCACGGCTGCTTAAGTAGAATGCTGCTGAATGGCACTCTGAATGCTATTGTGAGGTATCACGACAACGACAACACAACAATAGGCCTATTGTAAGCCACTCAGATCAGCTATCGCGTCCGTCTGTGTTCTCTGTCAAACCACTCAAAACAGCATGGGTGGTTACGTAGAACAGCTCTGAGCAGTCCCAATGACATTCTTAAGTCATCGTTGATTTTATATTCACAACGACAACACGACAACAGAATCATCGTGAATCAACCAGGATTCACTATCATCTCTCTGTTCGTTGCTGCTGGATTTACCGGGAAGATCATATCTAGCTATTCAGAGCGTCGTTGAACGTGCGGCTTCTTAACTTGTACGTTGCTATTGTAAAAGCTATTATGACAACAATACAACAATACAACAACAAGCCATGACGCATCAGCTGAAGCAATTCATCGTCCCCTTTCACAATCTGTTGCTTTCCTTCTTAGAATCGTATCCACACACTGCGTAGCTCATCGCAACCCCTCTCATCCAATCCAAAGTCATGGAAGTCCGTTGAAGTCCGCCTTGAAGCCTCAGGCCTCAAGCATAAAGCTTCTGAAGCGCTATCAGTCATCCTTTCGTCTTTCGTATGTTCCACGTGCCAGACGTTTCTCTTTCGATCCATCTCCATCTGGTCTATCATCTAGCGCGCGTTCTTCCACTGAAGAAGTCTCGGATGCCCCAGCATCGTCGAAAGCTTCCCCAATAGGAACTCCGCCGTCATCGTAAACCATGGGCTTTGGGCACCCATCATCGTCCTTCCCTACAAGAACTGGCCTACAACATCTGCTCCGCCGGCGACGTATGTAATATTGGACAAAGTAGCGGACTTGGGCGAAGCCGTGCGCCATGTGCTTCGCTGTTGGGATTTCGAAGACTTTATCAAGGTCTTCGAGGGTCAGGCCCTTCGTCTCGGGGACGAACCTGCAGCGGTCTCATCAGCGGTCGTTGTCGACGGAAGAGACGGCACCGGGAGTGCAGGCAAAGGAGCGGGTAGACTTACAATAGGATTGCGACCCAGCCCACAACGCACCACCCTGCGTACCAGCAGAATGCTCCGGTCTTACCGAAAGTAATCCAGAACTCCGGCCATGTGATGGCCAAGAGGAAGTTGAAGAACCAGTTGACTGCAGTAACAAGCCCCATACCTAGAAGGATGAATTTAGACCACCACAAACGAATAACCATAGACGATTCTCTGGATGATGCGCGGTACGCTTACCGAAATCCCTGTTGTACAAAGGCATGCTCTCCGACGAGTAGACCTGGATCGCACTGTCAGCGTGCGTACCGCATGCCTAGGAAGCCGCAAGCCTTACAAAAGGTACCGGCCCTTCACCCGGTGAGTATGCAACTACCGGAAATGTAAGTTATGCCGGCAAAACTTGTAGTGCTGTAGACGAACCTGCGAATAAATACATTCCAACGACCACCAGGATCTTCTGTGCAGTTCCTTCGAATTGGAAGGCTACGGCTACAAAGAGCTGGAACAATGCAAGGAAGGGGAAGGTTGACAGCAGGAGGTTGCCTGTGCGTGTCAGCACTAATCTGTGCGCGCCGACTGCTTGGCTGGGATGCATACGTCTTCCGAAAGAGTCTATTGTCCACACTGCCGGAAGAGCGAAGAGGAAGTTGATGATACCTGGAACACACGTTAGCTGCCCGTATGTGGATAAGACTCATGCGTCCTCTAGGTTCCAGAACTTGTACAGGGGTGTTACAGACCGAAGCCCATGCTGATCTGGGAGGATTGTCAGTTCTGTAGGATCACAACATGGTTCGGCGTCGCGAACAGCCGCGTGCTTACCACAACAGCATGCTCCGGACTGAATCCTGCCGCGCTAAGCACATCGCTGGAGTAGTAGGCCTGGACATGACTCAGTGTTAGCGTGTCACTTGTGACCCGTCCAAGATCACGTGCCAGTATGTTAACGCCACAGAATTGTTGGAATATCATGACCAGAACACTAGCTGTGAGTGCCCGTCTGTTTCGTCCAACAGTAAAGAGCTCTCTCAGCGGCTTAACCATCTTCATCTTCTCCCTCTGCGCTTTTAGCGCATGATGTATGGTGAAAAGATCTCGTGCTGCTTGTATTTTGGTATATCGAAGACTGCACAGTGCTGCGAACGCCTTCTGGTACTTCTCCTCGTCGCCTTGCTGGGCTTTGGCGAGCAACCATCGGGGACTCTCGGGTACAAAGTAGATGTACATGCAGACGATCAAAGGCAGGATCATCGGGCTAGCGAGCATGAGCCGCCATCCCAGAGACTGCGGATGTGAAAAGTCAGCTGGGCTCTACACAGGAAGTCCTTCGTAGCTTGAGAAGACACTGACACAATCGGTGCTGAGTAGGAGTTCCGGCTTGCACGAGTGGGTATCTGACAGGTGTCGAAGCGCAACCCCAGCAATGAACCCGCACATGATGCCGAAAGCCTACCGGCTGATCGTCAGCATTCGGTTGTCCTCGTGTTCTTGAAGACCTTACCGTCCACATCTGCCACATCACGACCAAAGCTCCACGGATGTTGGCCTGGACCTTCGTCAGAACTTGTAGCTCAAGTCTTGTACTGGGCACCTACCGGAGCACACTCCGCAGCGTAAATAGGTATGGTAGCACTACACACAGAAGTATCAACAACGGCTTAGAACAACAACACTGGGATGCCATACCTTTTGGGGCCAATACCCAGACCAAGAATCAAGCGAGCCACGAATTGCTGCTGCCAGGTCTGGCAAAAGGCTTGACCAAGACATGATATGGATGAGATCAAGCAGGTCAGAAAGATGGTTCCTGCATGTTCATTACTGGTGGTTCATTGAAGGGTCCAGGCGAAGCTCAACACGTTATCAGCTCACCTCGACGGCCCAAGTAGCGGTTCAGCGGATAAGTCAGCCTATCCGCAAGATCAGCGAGAAGCGTCTCAAGTCCAAGGAGCGGCGTTCTCAAGCATACCAACAGCTTAGTGCACAGCAGAGATATGGCGCGCTACATGCTCGTTAGCGACATATCCCCTGCGCGATGCGACAGAGATGCGGATATAGTACAGACCTGTTGATGAGCCCTTGCCTGCCATTCGTATCACCCCACTCGCCATTCGGATCTCGGATCTTATAGGCATCCACGAAGTATAATTGGGCTACAACGTATGTTTGTCAGCGATTCGGCGAGCCGCGAACATAGTTACGGCTTCAATGACTCCTGACGTATTCATGCAATGCTCATATGGTGAAGAATTGCAGAAAGGTGGGGGTAATCTACCTCCGTTGACTGGTAATCCACAAACGTTAGCCAGTTGAACTGACGACTGTATCCTGGAGTATCATACCTGCAGTCTCATCCCAGCCTTGCACCTGGTATGCGTTGGATCAACATGAGTCTGCTAATGTCTCAAGCAGGAGTACGTTCAAGTGTACTTACGGCGGCTCCGAGGCTACAGATGGCGACCAAGAAGTACAGCTGTCGTGTTTGCTTAAACTTCTCCAGCTTGCGTTCCGTATTCTCAAGCGCCAGATATACAGCTTCATCCTTGTCTCTGCGAAGGGTAAGGCCATCATTTCTTGGATGATCAAATGCGTGTGGGTCTTGCGCTAAGAAAGCACCACGACGGATATACGTATCATCATCAAGCAGTCCAGACATCTTAACGAAGCTGGCAATTTCGTCATTCGTCCTCTTCTGGTCCCAATCCAGGAAGGGATTCGTGATGAAGACATCGGGCGGTTCGCGCGTCCGCTGGTCTTCTTCGGCCATGTTGACGGGCTTCCTTGATTTCAAACAGTAAGATATCTTTACGAGAGATTTTCAAGAGGCAGTAATCTACTGGGGAGAGAAACCCTGAATACAGGCGAGACATATATGGATTGTTCGAGACCGGTGCGATTCAGGTATTCGGATTGATTGCGATCTACATTCTGCACAGCCGCGCAAGACTGCAACGAGGCAGACAAAGACCGGACCAATATGAAGGATTATACGGTCACTTGCATGAGAACAAACGGGCGGGCAAACACAGAAACTATGCCCCGCACTTACACAGGCTTACCGGAGTGGTCAATACAGGCATCGTTGATAGAGCCTTGCAGACGGCAGACGTCCCGGTGAAGGATGCTAGCGCATAGGGAACGCCTGTTTTGGGGCTTGATAACTGTATGTAGCGAGATCTATCCATAGGATCAACCCGCTACAGCTTCCCTCACTGCACAGCCCCTTTCCAAGGCGATCATCCAGCCTCATGTGAGGCTAAACTTGGCGGCACGGCCCCTACGGACCACCATGTCGGCTGGCGGATTGCGCGGCCAGGCTGATGGAACTGTCAGATAAGTGGCTGCTCTTGCTTCAACCGCTATTCGTAGTCCTTTCGTCCATCTCTAAAACGTCAGTCTCCGGAGAACGTCGACCCAAGCTTAGTCATACCGTTGCCGCCGATGAGTAGCCACAACGCCGAAATTGAGGCATACCTCGCTGCCCGCATTGGGATCCAGCCACGCGAACGTTATGAAGACACCGCCTTTACCGACATCGGCCGCTTTCTGCAGCTACTACACCACGAAGAATGGAGTAAGAAGCCTAAATTGTATACACTCTTACGGCTGGTCGTGGGTTCCGGCGACACGAATCACGCGATTTTCAAGGCATTCTCCAACGAACGAGGGTACCCTTATGGGGATTTTGCTATACCTATATCACTGCCTTATCTACCAGATGAGCTGCGGCAGGACGAGACTGCACTCGGTAAATTCTGGCACTTCCAGCCTTACGTTCTCTCGCCAGACCGGTTGATGCAGGAAGACCAATTTGTGCAGAACATGAATCATGCCCACAGGAGTATTTGGAATGGGGATACCTATTTCCATCAAGAGAAGTTCATTGAGGAAGGTGGATCCTGTGCAATTTCAATTGTCCGTTATGTCGGAGGGAGCTCCACGTTCGCTAGGAAAAGGATATCAAAATCTGGCTCTATAAGTAACCAGACATGGCGTTTGAAGAGATTTCATCAGGAGCTCACTGTTCTGCGGGAGTTGCAACATCGTCATCTGATCAACTTCATTGGAAGCTTTACTGACCGACAGTCTTTTACTCTCTTACTCTCACCTATAGCGGACTGCGATCTAAAGGACATGTTGAACAAAGAGAACCCCAAGGATGTCATCCACCTCAAAACCTTTGTCGGTTGCCTTTCCACGGCGGTTCTGTATCTCCACAATAACGACACCATACATGGGGACCTAAAGTGTAAGAACATACTGGTCAAGAATGGAGAGGTCCTACTCTGTGACTTCGGCATATCTCGAAAATTGATGGATACCGAGGAGAGCACGCACTTTTTGGGAACTCCGAGATACTGCGCTCCTGAAGTGGAAGGCGAGGAAGAGCGCAAGCACCCCTCAGACATCTTCTCATTGGGCTGCGTCTTCCTAGAGATGGTAACCGTCATCCGAGGCTTCACCCTAGCTGCGCTGAACGAGCACTTGAAAGGCAGCGTGGAGGAGAAAAACAACGACAAGATCGTGTTTCATAAGGCCTCATCGCAGGTGGTTTCCTGGCTGAACGAGTTGGAAACTGCTGGTCCTGATCCAGGGCTCATTCCTTTGATCCGCAATATGGTATGCGCATCGCAATGGTACCGTTGCTACACTCACTAACCTGTTCGGCTTGCAGATGGAGCAGCGTCCAAAGGACAGACCAACAGCTGCAGCACTTGTAAGGATCATCAAAAGCTTCGAAGACAGAGCAGACAGGACAGACACCCAACCATACATCGGGACCTGCTGTCTTGGAGCCGTCTCGGATACCGCTCGTGAACATCATGAACCGGACATCGAACCCGCAGATCTGGAAAGCCATGAGTCAGAATGCAGCAAGATGGAAACTCAAAACGCTGTTGTCGCCGAAGAATCTGCCAATCGTGATCCTGACCGGCCTGTCGAAACAGTGCAGTATAACAATTCTCCTCCCTCAGCTGGCAGGACACCCTCAACAGTCCCTGAGCCGGAAGCTCCCTCAATTATGCGCTCACCGTCAAAGCCATCTTCAATTGGTTCTTCTCAACCCTGTGCAAGAGACACTGCGGAGGCCAGCATATTTACCGGAACCCTCTCGTGGCACGATGAAGTGAAGGGTTGCGAGACTGCCAAGCGCACCGAAACTGAAAAAGAGCTCGAATGTTCTCTACAAGTCTTCGAGACCTTACTTGAACAAACATGGAGAAGGACCCGCCGGCTAGAGCTGAGCAGGTCCGCTGCTGATAACAATAGCTCTCTGAAAACTTCGTTGTGGCTGCCGCTTGCGGATATCAAGCTTCGATCTCTAAGCGAGAACGAGGTGCTCATGGAGTGGTCCGACTGCAACCAGATTCATCGCTACAAAACAGGAGATCATGGCAGGTTCGAAGACAGGGTGTATAAGACAACTCCCAACAATCAGATTAAGCTCCGCTTTCGTGATCCGGGCGATGTGGAGAAGTTTGAAGGTTGCATGCTCTCTCTTACCGCCGACCCATGCCTAGTTCGCCAGAAAGCACAGGTCGTCATTTCAACCACACAACGTGTCAAGATCTACACTGTGTTCCCTACTGTAGGGCCTGGTTCGGTGTCTGACTACCGCGCTCTACTGATACTCAACCGTGGTCCCGAGGGATCCATCTCTTCGAGACTGTGCCTTGCGTGGCGGGATATCGACTTCGAGGTGTGCCGTCCGTCCTCGGACAATGGCGGCATGTTCCAGCTGAAACTTTACAATCTTAGACGCCCCGATTACATCTCAGGCACAGACACCCGAGAGCGGCGCGCTCCGGAACCTGACCTTATAGGTACTCACGATGAGACAAAGCTCCTGGTTGAGCCTTGTACGGTCCTAGAGTGCCCTTTAAGTGACGAGCCATTCCCCCAAGGTACCTTTGCTGACTCTTCTTCTACCACGTCTATGCTGATTCTCAATTTGCAGGCATCGTTCAGGCGCTCGCCGGCTTGACGGGATGGCAGTTGTGGTACTGTACTCGGGTGAAAGTTCTAAAGCAGCGAGAGTCCTTCACGGACAGATTTCAAAGATGGAGCCGAAAAAATCCAAAAGAAGCTGAGATCATGCTCTGGCACCGTTGCTCTCGTGACGGAAACGCGCAGCTGACCATGCGCTTCGTGGACGACAGCCTCAACCGGTGGCTGACAGGCTACTGTGAGTACAAAAAGCGTCCGGCGTGTTACCGGTGACGCACAAGCTTACGCGACGATAATCTAGTATCCGATGCCGATTCGATTTCTCGTTTACAAGACTCTACGGCAACCGTTAAGCTATTCCAAAAGGCTCGAGGAACCTTGATCAACATATATGCCATGCAGGCTATGGAACCTCGAAAGATAGCAGCGCCGACGCAGCACAATGTAGGCGCCACACAAAAGTCAAGCTCTTACCTGCTCAGCTTCCCAAACGTGAGAGGTTAGTAAGAAACACGCTATCACCTCGAGCGGTTTTGCTGATGAAACCAGATCCTCACCGCTTCAAGAGTACCGCTTATGACCTTTTCGACCACAAATGCAGATCACACTCTCGCATGTCCGAGGTACGCGGTAGCAAACCCGAAGTGTCCAAGATCGGACAGACAAGTACCTTCTCACGAACACGGCCAGACGCGTGATGCGAGCTACTTGTGTCGGCACCACGCGGATGACAGAAATTGCCGCAGTCCGAAATCATCAACATTGATCACGTCCACCATGTTTCTAAGGGCTCTGCTTTGACCTTTCACCGCTAGTCCCAGCTTGATCACGCTTGTGAGACTATGTAGGCTGCCTTGTGCCAGATCCTCGACTTAGCTCAATCATTGCGTTTAGTGATGAAGCCTTCGGTTGATAGTCAATGCAGTGCCTCAACAGTTCGTGACTCTTCGAGTCCCGTGATTTTTCAGATGTGTTGCATAGCTCGTTGCATAGCTCATCATCGCGGTCCAGTTCAAGGAGTATGAAGTCATGAGAAGCTCTTGACATCCGTTTAAGCTGCAGCCCCCTGAGCAAGAAGCTTTTGAAGAATAACCGTTCATCCTCCAGTCTCTGATTCCGCTGTTGCCGATAGCATTCCAGCATCCTTTTTAATCATGTGCGAAGAAATTCAAGGACATTGTTGGTACATTGACACAAGCACTTCTCTTACATCGCAGCAAAGAGTGGCAAGTCCCATAACGCCATCCCAGTGCTTTTGCGCCTCAAATGCATGCCACACACTCCGCCTCCCTCTTCCCGTAGGTTTTCTGTTCAGATCTTCTTGTCCCTCGCCTGTCCGTTCCCCTCCACCCCCCCACCTTGCTCACCGCTCCTCCTTCGCCTCTCCAGCACCCTCTTCCTTGGCCACACCCACCACCCCACTGACAGCCGGCCTCCCCGCGTAAAGCTGATGGCTCGGCTCATCGGCTCCGGCCTCCAACTCCACACTGACAGCCACAGGCCTGTTCCCTCGAAAGCGCTTGCGCATATCGACCATGCCCCTCTTGCACTCGGCATAGCCCTTCTGAAGCTGTTGGCAGCGCGTCGGTAGTTCTTTGCAGAGCGGAGGGCGCAGACAGTCGGAAGGAGTGTTGCGCTGGACCATTATGCAGTCGGAGTTCTGGAGGCAGATTGCGAGTGCTGCGCCTGAGCGGAGGTGGTGTTAGCACGATGGTCCTGATGTTGAGCGTTGGCATTGGGGAGGAGCGTGAGCGTACGTATGTCTTTACATGACGACGGCATCGTGAGAGGTTCGTGTTCTGCGTTTGCCGATTTGGCCACTGCTAGTTATCGACGGCGCATTCGGTGGTGGTGCTGTGCTCGAAATGCAGGGCAGCCCGAAAGAGCAGAGCGGCGGCGCGGCGTTGGCGGCTCTGCGGACAAGGCGCACAGGCCCACGAGCCCACGAGCGCGCACGAGGCATGTCACATGTCTGCCGAGGGATGACGTTCCTGTCGTCCCACCTCCGCACAATAGGTAGCTGGAGTTCCTTGTCTGTCTGGCCAGTGATCCACAGCACCTGGCCGTTCGTTGGAGACATGCTGCAACACCATCCCCCGGTATGCTCTGTGTGCACTATCGAAGGGAGTGCTCCTGTTATTGTCGGCCTCCTTAGCAGCGACAACACATAGGGAAGGTTGAGACTATACCTAGGTAGCAAACATGCCCGGCGTTCCTTTCATCGGCCGTCTAAGTCCATGGGAGTACGTTGCCCTTGTCGGCTCTCTATTTCTTATCGGCCTTGAGAGCTTCCTCCGAGTCGTTACCCTCGCTCTGCCCGGTTCCATCATCCGCCTCCTTTACCGCGCATCTCAGACGTCCTTTAACTACCTGTCGTCGGCAGAAGGGCGAAGGTCTCGAAACAGGAAGAGGAACATTGTAGCCTCCATAGCCCAGGCTTCAGACTTCACCGAGCTGTGCGAGATCTACGGTTACTATGCGGAAGAGCATATAGTGCAGACCGGCGACGGCTATCTACTTGGGCTGCACAGGCTAGGATGGAAGCACGGTGAAGAAGATCAGAAGGTGAACAGCGGGAAGAACAGCATTCGTAAGAAGGTTGCCTACCTACATCATGGCCTTATGATGAACAGCGAGGTTTGGGCGTGCTTGACGGACGAGGGGAGGTGTTTGCCGTTCCGGCTTGTCGAGGCAGGGTACGACGTCTGGGTCAGTAAGGCTGCGACTGGCTCGTCACGCATGCACTGACAGACTTCCAGCTGGGCAACAATCGCGGAAACAAATACTCGAAGAAGTCCGTGAGACATGCGCCTACAGAGTCCAAGTTCTGGAACTTCTCAATCGACCAGTTCGCCTTTCACGACATCCCTGACAGCATCGACTACATCCTGTCCACCACCGGCCAGCCCTCTCTGTCATACATAGGTTTCTCACAAGGTACAGCCCAGGCATTCGCCACGCTGTCGATCCACCCCAATCTCAACGGCAAAGTAGACGTCTTTATCGCCCTTGCGCCCGCAATGTCACCGCCGGGCAACACGACCATCGTCGGCTCTTTCGTCAAAGCCTCACCCAACATTCTCTTCCTTGCGTTCGGCCGCCGTGCCATTCTAAGCTCGGCAACAATGTGGCAAGCTCTGCTCTATCCGCCCATCTTCGTCCGCATCATAGACCTCTGCCTCTCCTTCCTCTTCGGCTGGACCGTGCAGAACATATCCGCACACCAAAAGCTCGCCGCATATCCCCACCTCTACTCCTTCACCAGTACCAAGTCAGTAGTGCACTGGTTCCAGATCATCCGCAACGGCATCTTCCAGATGTACGACGACGAGGTGCAGGCGCCGCTCAGCGTCGCCAACGGCTCAAAGTACTACAAGGTGGCCAAGTTCCCGACCCGCAACATCAAGACGCCCATTGTGCTCGTGTACGGCGGCAGCGACAGTCTCGTTGACATCAACGTCATGCTGAAGGAGCTCCCTAGACACACCGTCGTCAAGGAAATCCCCAAGTATGAGCACCTCGACTTCCTTTGGGCCTCGGATGTCGATGCCCTCGTCTTCCCTCATGTCTTCGACGCGCTGAACCGGCACGCGGGGAAAGGCAAAGACGGCGCTGGGAGCAGTGCTAGCACCCAGCGGCCCTGGACGCCAGAGCGCATACCCACGCACCTGGCCACCTTCTCCGACGACGAAGGTGCGCAACGCTCAACGCCGGATTCCTCTAAGAAAATCTCCGAGAACATTCCACCAGGCCAGCAGCAGCAGCAGCAGCAGCAGCAGCTCAGCGTCGACGCATCGCCACCACAGCCCAGCCCTCCACCAGCCGACCATGCCTCGGCGGGCGCACAGCCTTCCCCGTCGCTCCGCCCCTCGACCCCCCAGCGACAGCCAAAGCATCCCCGCTTCTCCTCCCCATCCACACCCCTCTCCCCCGCAGCCTCAGCCCACCCCTCCGTGTCCCAAGCCGCAACGGACAAAACCTCGGCTTCGCGGCCAGAGGGCTGGTGGTCCTCGGACGAGGTTGGGGGAACTGAGACGTCGACGCCTGCCAGGAGCCCCGTCGAGAGCAGGGGCCAGAGTCCCAGACGGGGAAGTGGAAGTGTGGGGAGCGTGGATGGACGGAAGAGCTTTGGGGCTAGGGGGATTGCGTTGGGAGCTGGGAGGGCGGTGGAGGGGGTTGTGGATAGGGGGTTGGCTTGGGGGAGTGGTGGAGAGGGAGGGGTAGAGGGAGGGGGGAGGAGGAGGGGGAGGAAGAGGAGGGAGTAGGAGGAGTGGATACGGTAGGTTGGTGTCATTGGAGTTAGTGAACTGATGAACTGTGATGAGCATAGATCGTGGGTGTGCCAAGATATTTGATCCAAACTTGTGAAGATAGACTCGGCGCAAAAGGGAATTCATCCCATTCATCTAGCTGTAGAGCCATCAGATCACCATCGTATAGAGAGCATAACATTCCCTTCCACCGGCCATGGGCACCGACCATGACCGCGCGACTTTTACATCTAGCGCATGCGCAATAATAGTCCAGTCCATCAACCGATCCAAAAGTAACACAAAACTTAGAACAGCCACCCAATAAAGGTTCTGTAGAACCAACCACCCTTATTCTTTCCCTTCAAAGCCTGCTTCTCCGCCTTCCTTGCTAAGAACTCCTGCTCTTCACGATCAATGACATCTTTGCCCGTCCACAAATCCGCCGTCTCAGGCTTGACGCCCGGCTCCTTGGTCCACAACTTGTAGCCGGCAATCATGATGAGGTAGAGCGGGATGCCGATATATCCCGTGACGAAGTCCTTGTAGGCGAATGTGCCGACGAAGACGTTGTAGTTCTTGGTCAGGCAGATGAGGATGCAGAAGAAGAGGGCGCCGTAGGAGCCCCAGACGCGGAAGGGGGCGATGTAGGCGAGGGACTCGCGGGGTACGTTTTGCGCGACGCGGGCCCGCACAAAGTAGATGTGGGTTACGAGGATCGAGATCCAGGTTAGGAGGCCGAAGACCGTTACTGCAAGAGGTCAGCGGATCTGACTCGATAACGAGAACATGATAATAGCTCTGGCTTACCAAGGTTCACGAAATACAAGAAGACGCTGCGCGAATCGTCGGCAACGTTCATGAACGCGAGCAGGCAGAACAGCGTGCTAAGACCGAGGCTGTAGACGGGGACACCACGCTTGTCTGTGCGGGCGAGGATGCGCGGCGCTTTGCCTTGCGAAGCCAGTCCGTAGATGGTGCGGCTGGCGATGTACAAATCCGAGTTGGCGGCGCTGAAGACGAAGAGCAAGATGCAGCCGTTCAGGAAGCCGGGGAGGACGTCAATACCGGCCAGCTGGATGGCGACGACGAAGGGAGATGCGGCGGCTGAGGAAGAGGCTTTGGTCGCAAAGGCGAGTTCAGGACTGTCGTATGGGACGATCATGCCGAGGAGCAGGACGGATAGCACGTAGAAAAAGAGAATCCGGTAGAAGGTAAGTTTGATGGCGCGGGGAACCGTCTTGCGCGGGTTTTGTGCCTCGCCGACGGTCACACCAACAAGCTCGGTGCCTAGGTAGGCGAAGACGGCCGTGATCATCGAGCTCCAGAGGCCGAGGAAGCGGCCAAGCGCGCCAGCTATTGCGGTATCAGTCAATACATTTACATCACACTGTGTTTTAAGACTCACTGTCAAGGTACTCCTTGAATGCACCAGGGTCCCGCCAATATCTGAAGCCGGTCCTGTCCCCGTTTGGTCCGCCGCCGAGGGCAAGCACCAACGATAAGATGATCAGACCAACAATGACTAAGACTTTCAAGCTGCTGAGCCAGAACTCGAACTCGCCGAAGAACTTCACTCCGAAGTAGTTGATGCAGACGATTACGACGAGGAACACGGCGATGAAGACTCCCGGGTTGACTTTGTCTCGAGGCACCCAAAACTGTATCACGAGTGCAGCGGCCGTGAGCTGATTTGGCGTTACGATGATGTACTTGAACCAGTAGGTCTGTGCAGCATGCCGTTAGCAATCCCTGCCACGTAACTGCTGCCGCTGGCCTAGTCTCGAGCGGCAGCGTTTGACAAGAAGAAACACATACATAACCAAGGGCGAAACCGAGAGCTGGGTCGCAGAAGCGGGTCGCATAGCCCGAGAAACCGCTGCCCAGCGGAAGCCAGGCGGCCATTTCGCCGAGACCGGACATGACGAGGAAGACGAGGAAACCGACGATGGTGTACGCTATCAGGATTGAACCAGGACTGTCAAGCCGCGTCAGTCTAAGTGCCCAAGCCAAAGATGCCAACTTGACTGCTGCTTACCCGGCCCTTGCCAATCCAGCACCTGTGCCGATGATGAGACCAGTACCAATAGCACCACCACTGCACGCACATCAGCAATTGTATCGTGGCCCGGATGGCTGGTGTGGTTACATCGCAATCTGACAGTGATCAGTTTTTATACAAAGGCTGTATCTTGGTATAGGACACCTACCATAGTAATGTGTCGCGCCTTCAGACCTCGATGCAGCTGCTCGTGGCTCTTGGGGTCCTCGAGTACGCCCTCCCCTGGCGGCACGCCAGGTCCCCCAAGCTGTCCTTCATCGGCGTAGGGTTGCTTCTCAGTATCGCGTTGAGGCGAGCTATGGTCGGAAGAGCCGGTGCTCTTCCTGTTCCAGATCGCCATCTCGGTGAGGAGCTGTTACTACTCCGGAATTCAACTGAGATATGGGAACGGGCTATGTAAGATTTCAGCGGAAATTCAGAGAGTCTGTACGTGCGTGCAAGCGCATAGTCTTTGAAGTGATGTGGTGATGTCTTTTGCGAGGCTGATACCAGCACTGCTGATACCAACCAATCCCCAGGATCGCTTTCTTATCGCAGTGTTCGAGCGGTGCCCCCGTGATGCCAGGAGCGCACTCTAACAATGCAGTTCTTCTGAGGGCGCAATAGTGCGGGGCAAGAGAGAACAGGTATGGTACAACAAGCTGAGGCTCTACGTACAGTAATATGCTCTCTCGACCGAGGCTTAGAAGGTGGCAGTGCTGGGTTCAAGGCGTGGGTGAGGCCTGCAGAGACACGAGGCACAATCGCACAATCCCCCCAGAATTGAAAGATGGAAGGAAAACTCCAGAAAGCAGGTGCGACGGCAGCAATCAGTTAGCTTACCGACACGGAGGAGCGCGTCCAAGGTTCTTATAAACGGCTCGCGCTGTTGCACAGAGATCACCACCCACGCCGCCACTCTATCTACTGGCTGCCCACATGCTCTCGTATGAAGGCTGGGCGTTGCGCACAGTGGTCGACCGAACGTCGAACTGCCTGATTTGGCCGATTGCGACGTGACGGTTGCAATCAAGCACCGTGCTCGACGTTGAACCCCTCGCCGGGCAGACCGCACTGTGGCACGCCGCCTGGTCAGCCAAGGCCGCCCGCCGCGAATGGCTGGCCGGCCGAGCAGAGACTAAGGCCAAACGATGGAGGGGACCCATGACTTCTGTAGAAGCAGAACTGGTGGAAGATGCGCTGATAAGGCATGCAAAGCAGTTGTCGGACCGGATACAGCTGTGATAAGACGCGGTGGAGGCTGGTACCTAGAGACCTTGGCCTCTCTATCAAGATATGCCATTTGAAGCAGCCAACAAAGATGGTCGGAAGGCTCCGTCGGAGCTGCCGCTTAGATGCGGCCCGCCTGACGACGAGGCGCGGCCAAGCCAGAAGGTGAGATGAAACAGATGCCGGGGCAGTGCTTGAGCTCGCCTCAAAGCTTGGGTCTCGGTCTCGGAAACAGTGCGGGAAGCTTGCTTACCCTAACTACAGAGCGCGAGCAGCAAGTGGTCAACTTTCTCTAATGATACCGCAATTGTACTCCAAGTCGAAAGCTTCTTAGTGCCGACAACTGCAATAAGCGGCTCTGAACATCCGCAGACATCAGAAAGAGGGATCCGGCCAAGGCGATGGCAGGGGGCAACACTCACGTGATATGTCTCTTGACCTTTTTATTGTCTCTGTTGTCTAAGCTCTACCTTCTATTTTATGCCTCCGTCAAAGATGCGCTTGAACATGACCTATCCAAAGGGTCTCTTCAGTTAATTATCGTTTATCCGCAGAGCAGGGAAAAGCTTCAAACATCGCTGTAGAGCTCCAACTCCAAATTCGCGACTCCCTGCTTACCCCCTACTTATAAAACCTACACGCGAACGCAGGTACGAAAGGGACCCGCCGTGCCGCCTCTTGCGAGTCGTAAAATACCAAAACCAACGTTGATCGCGTGACGTCCGTCTGTGGGGGCCGAACTTCGACTCCACGAAGCTCTGTTCGCATGAAACACCAGGCTTCGGCGCTTAAGCGTGTGGCAGCGCGAAGGACGAGCATCCTTGATCTGCCTTCAGTGCTTCGCCGACCCCAAATATGGCTGCCTCCGCCTCCTGCACTGACATGTACCTGATGAATTCCATCATGAAATTCAAAAACCGTCGCTCGGTATTCAAGTATCCTTTGCGGTCCGTACCGTTGCCGGCGCATTTCAGTCAACACAGGCCCCATTGCGCCATTCGACGATTGCGCTGTTGCCCACAGAAGCCTGATATTCGCTGAAGCAGCCGTCGCCAGCCGATAGAAAAGGATTTAGAGTATACCGGCGATACGTTTCGGCAGACTTTCCACCAGAGCTAAGAACTTGACTTCATTCGCATAGGGCCGGTGCTTAGGAAGACTTTGTGGACGATGTTCCGGCAAGAACAGGGCTCCTATAAGCAGATTGCTGGTGGAGACCTAAGCAACGGGCTGACCGAGGAAGACCACGACACATCCTCAGGAACCGTCTGCAAACCGAACTTTGGCATCGATACAGCCTACAAGAAGATACCTACGGAGCACTTCGAGATAGCCGAACCCGTCCTCACCCCTTGGTGGCATGACCGCCTGGAGACCTGGCGTGGCCGTCTGGAGACGTGGCAAAGGCAACGGCTGCTTACGGGTTGGAGATTTGGTGCTATCTCCGCCGCCGCGATCACATCATGTGTCTTCCTCATCAATCTGGTCGTCACCATCTATGCAGTATCCACCACAAAGGTCGACTCAGACGGAAAAAGCGTACTGTACAATGGAAGCTGCGGCAACATCAAGCAAACCAACACTAGGGTGCATCTGTTGATCAATGTATTGAGCACATTGCTGCTCAGTGGAAGCAACTACTGTATGCAATGCCTCTCCGCGCCTACAAGACTCGAGCTCGATAGAGCGCACATGCAGAAGAAGTGGCTGGATATTGGAATTCCTTCCGTGCGCAATCTGACGCGTATCAGCTGGAGAAGAGCAGTGTTGTGGACCATCTTAGGCACATCATCATTGCCGCTTCACCTGTTGTAAGTCTTCTCTCTTCGATCAGTAACATAAGTCTTAACGGACCCAGCCAAGGGACATCGCCCGCGTGTTCCGTCGAGGTCTACCAAACCGCCCAGCTTCAAGTGGAGAAACGATCCAGTTCTGACAGACCATTGCAGTTATAACTCGGCAGTGTTCGCTTCGACTTCCGTTAACGAGTACAAAGTCTTCAGCGTCAACGGAAACTTCATGCTTGAAGGGGGGTTTGAGAGCTTGAAGAACAACAACTTCGATTCAGTGGACAACGAGGTCGCGCAAAACATGCACAAACTTGCAAAGACCGGTAAACTCTACAGCCTCGCGCCAAGCGACTGCATAGCGGCCTACGCCAAGCTGTTTCAGTCCGAAAGAGGCAATCTGCTCCTCGTCAGCAATGACGATCCGGCAATGCTTCGAGACTTCTCAGCCATTCCGACCAACGCCACGGTGAGCCATCACAATTATGTATACGCCGACCGATCTTTACGTTGCCCTCCGGACAATTTCGCTTGGATCTGCGGGTTGAACCCGTGCATCGAGTATAACAACGAATATCAGCGGTACTGTTCTGACCGTTGGACCGACGTTGACGCCACGAACTGGGCGCCCTTTGGATACAAGGTCGATATTTGCCTTAGTGATATGCCCCCTGAGCATTGCAAGCTACAATTCAGCCTCCACATTGCAATTCTGGTCATCTTACTGAATCTCATCAAGGCGTTGGCAATGGCATACACCGCGCTCGGTATCACGGAAAATCCCCTCATGACGGTGGGCGATGCGGTATCTTCGTATATTGAACGACCGGATCCTTCGACTGCAGACAGCTGCCTTCTTGAAAAGGTCGACATCCAAGCAGAACAGATGGGCCACTGGTCAACCATTCCAAGGCATTTCAGTTTCATGCGCATGAGGTGGATACAGCCAAAGAAGTATGATGCTAAGCCTAAGCGCTGGTACGGGGCTGTAAGCTATAAGAGGTGGATTACCTGCCTTGCAATGTACATTCTAGCCTTAGCCTTGGTTGGTGCATTTCTGGGTGTAGGCGTCGCCTCCATCATGGGACCCAACGATTTCACCACGCTGGTCAAACTCGGTCTCGGCGCCGTTAGCTCCAAGACGCTTATAACATGGAATGTACCATCTTTCGGCTCCAGCGGACTCATCGCCAACGTTGTCCTCGCCAACTTAGCACAACCCATCCTGTCGTTCCTCTACTTCAGCTACAATGGCCTCATCACTTGCTTTTTGCTGGCCTACGAGTGGAGTCAATACGCCCTGCAGCGTAAGGGCCTGCGCGTATCCAACATTCCCCGCGGTAGCCAGCGAAGCACGTACTTCCTGCAGCTCCCTTACCGCTTCGCGATGCCTCTGCTCGCCGTCTCAGGAATTCTCCACTGGCTCGCGTCACAGAGCATCTTTTTAATTAGTCTTCAAGTCTATGATCCAATCGGGCAGCCCGCGGTTCACGTCACCGTCCCGGCTTCCAGCTACGCCTCCAGCGTCATGACGTGTGGATACTCACCCATCGCCATCATCTGCGTCCTCTGCATCGGGGTGCTACTCATCCTCTTTGGCTTCGTCCTGGGGCTGCAAAAGTTCAAGTCCGGCATGCCGGTCGCCAGTAGCTGTAGCGCGGCGATTGCGGCGGCGTGTCACTCGTCGCCAAACGAGAAGGGCGGCGAGAATCCGGCGTTGCTGCCGCTGCAGTGGGGCGTCACCGAGAAGCCGGGCGCAGACGATGTGTATGGGCACATTGCTTTCTCGAGCGGGGAGGTGGAGGAGCCGGTGGAGGGGTTTCTGTATGCTGGGCGAAGGCGTCGGAATGGTACGCGGTAGTATGGTTAAAAGAGTTGGCATCCGAATACATTTAGATATCCTGAAACTGACTGCCACTACCACTGAGACCATATTCCCCTTTCATCACCCCCTTGGCTTTGACTCTCTCGAAGCCCAGTTACGAATTCTCCCTATGCCGGACCACACTAGCAGGGCAAGCCCGCCCCAGCACCCAGCTTGAGAGGTTTGCTACGCCCTCCGTTTCTACCTCCCAGGAAGAGCAATCCCTTCTTGTTGTAGTAGCACACTCCTCAGCCAAATCCCACTCAAGCGTTTGGCGCCAGCCTAACATGCTACGATCAGAAAATTGAACAACTGGCAATGGACAACTGAAGTAAGTTTCGTCGGGAGTCAAAAGTCACGTGAATTTCCACATACCTCTCCGCCTTGCCCCTAGTTAATCATGTATGCACAAACAACGCCAGAGTTCTCATTTCTCTAGGCTATCTACGTGTCGGACTCCTCAGAACTACGGCATTCACTGAGTTCAGAAGTTCATGCTAACTGCTCACGGAATCGCATACGGACGCGATGTCGGGACGCGAATCCCGCGACCCTCGTGACATCATGAGCTCGATTATCAAACTCATCAGTTGTTGATCTTACACAGAACAGTGAAGCCGCACAGGTCCGGAGAAGCCCTCGCTACCTTTCACCTCTCCATGTTCAGGACACCCATTTTGAGACTCCACCAGACATCCAAGCACTTCCTGAACGTCTTGCCAGCTACCATGTCGTCCTCCAACCGCCCTTCCGGCCTCATTGCCAACAGCGGCATCGAGCTACTCACTTGGGGTACGCCAAACGGCCATAAAGCCTCGATAATACTCGAGGAGCTGAAAGAGGCGTACGGAAAGGATTATGTTTTCCAGGGCATCAACATCTCGGAGAACATTCAGAAGGAGCCTTGGTTCACGAAGCTGGGACCCAATGGTCGTATCCCAGTCGTCGTGGATCATGACCAGGGCGGCTTTCCTGTCCAGGAGGGAGCTGGTAAGCTGCTTGCGTCTCTTCGTCGCCCAATCTTGTAGTTGGCCTGCGCAGGAGAAGCTGACAGTTGCGGCCGCAGCCATCCTCGCATACCTCACTCGGCACTATGACCCAGAACACAAATTCAGTTTTACCGACCCCTTGGACCTAAGCCGCGCGGAACAATGGATTGCCTGGCAGCACGGCGGCCTTGGGCCGATGCAAGGCCAAGCCAACCACTTCTACCGTCTAGCGAAGGAGCGCATCCCGTATCCCACCCAGCGCTACGTCGGCGAGACGGAGCGCCTCTACGGCACCCTCGACTCGCATCTCAAGGACCGTGACTACATCGTCGGCGAAGGCAGGGGGAAGTACAGCATTGCGGACATTGCAAACTTCAGTTGGGTCAACGTGGCATATTTCGCTGGCGTGAAGCTGAGCGACTTCCCCAATCTGGAGGAGTGGTGGGCGAGGGTCAATGAGAGGCCAGCGGTAAAGAAGGGCACGAGTGTGCCGAGCGAGAGCCAGATTGTCAATGCGGCGTATCTGAGGCGGCTGAAAGATGAGCCGGAGTTCAAGCAGCAGGAGGAGGAACTGGCGGAGCTGTTGAAGAAGGCGAAGGAGCAGTATAATTATAAGTATAGCTCGCCTTAAATGCAGTTTAGCAGCATCGTAATAGAGCAGTTGAGTAGAGCTAGCCCTTCGGCACTTCGGGCCATCGCAGGACCTTGTTTTCACTGACGCGCAAGCTTTGCTAGGTGCAATATATCGGCTCCCTCACTACCTCAGCACGATCATACACGAGAGTTGTCTTGGTCTAAACAAACGCGATATCAAGTTCTCATGAAGTGTCTAGCGGTCGTGGGGTCGCGTTCGGCGCGTTCCACTTGAAACACTGCTAAAGGTCCGTATTGAAACTTACGACTATGCCATGATACTCTCCATGGTGTTTCAAACGTTCCTGTTTAGTGCTGTCCAATGGCGGCATCGAGACCCCAGATTTCGGCGCCCGCTAGCGGCAGTTTAAAGCGCAGGTAAACCCTGGCTCAGCGCCAATTGCATCACACGGCAGGGGCGGCCAACAGACGGGCCAGCCGCTTGCGCATTCCAAACATGCGTCACCCCTTCGGGCATCGTGATGAAGAATATATCTGAACGATATCCCCCTCAGGAGGAGGGCGACGCAGAAAGACTCACCATACCCAATACTCGCCGCTCATTGGACTCGACAGCCCGCGATTGTGCTCGCAGCAATAGCTTTGTTTTGGCCTTTGTTGATCACCATCACCAGAATCACCAGACCCCTCCACCAGCCACTGTCACGAGTGGCTCTTTCCCAACAAAGCTCGAAGACCGCCTTGCTTCCTCCTCTTCATAACTACTCACACCCACTGTTTGACACAGCGCGTCACCCTTACCCCAGCGTTACACTTCTTCCAGCGCATCGCCAGCGCAACAGAACAATCCACGAAACACCACGAACGCTCAAAAACCGCGAACCCCACCACCACAAACCTACACACACGACACCACTACAATGATCTCCCTCGGATCCTTGACCCGCTCGGCCGCCGACACAGGCAGCAAGCTCGGCCTCTGGGCGCGCATCGCGATACGCGCTCTCCAGTTTATCTTTGCCATCACGGTCGCCGGTCTCTACGGCACCGACCTTGCCAACGCGCAGAAAGCCAACAAGTACGCGGATTCGAAGTGGGTGTACGCCGAGGTCGTCGCCGCGCTGTCAGCCATCACGGTGCTCGTCTACCTGATCCCGTTTATCAAGACGTGGATCTTCTTCATCTGGGATGTGATACTGTTGTAAGTCCCTCCGCGTTTACTGGGTTCAACTGTGTTTGGGTAGAGTGCTGACGTTTTATGGTGCAGCATCCTCTGGACGGCCGTCTTCGGCGTTTTCGGCCAGCTGTACATCAACGAGAAACCGGAGGGCAACGGCGGCATCCAGCGCATGAAGAACGCGGTCTGGATCGACCTCATCAACATGCTGCTTTGGTTCGTCACGGCGTGCTATGGCGCGTTTTTGTTCTTCTTCCATAGGAGGAGGACGCTGCATACTGGCAGGGCGGTAGTTTAGGGGGGACATGACAAGAGCGAGATGCAAGGTAATGCGGGATGGGGAACGACGGCTGAGCCCACAGCGGGACGGGGATGACTGGGAGGTTGATTCATTTGCTCCATCTGGTGGCTATTTTGCTTTTTATGATACCACTCTGCATCTTCTAGGGCGTCGCTGCGGTAGACGTGAAGGCTAAAAGCACGTTATGGCTTTGTGCGCCATATCAAATCCCTCAGCATCTCTATTATACCAACTGACTAAGTCTCCGCACTGCGGAAGTTCGATTGTCACGTGTTTGTTTCGTAAAGTTATGTTGCAGCTCAAGAGTCGTTGTGCAGTCTCGAGCTACCCTACCCATCCACCACCCGAGTAACTTCTCTCCGTATCAACACAACATGGACAACTTCGAACCAAGCCCCCTCAAAGGGGATAACGAGTGCGATTGAGCCTAACCATCCAGGCCGAGCGTTTGCTCGGAAGAGCACGTTTTCTTTCTGGACGTTTTCACTTCACTTCTGACCCGCCTCCTCCGCAACGTCATTAGATGCGATGCAAAAGCCTGTTTCTTTCTGGTGCCCTCCAGACTTCATCCACCTTCGAACAACACCACTTCGCGCGCAGCATCACGAGCGTACGAGCCAGTCTCTGACATCCAGACCTCGGAAATCATGGCACGCACTCGCGCCATGGATCGGCCTCGTCGCTCTCCAAGATTGACACAGAACGGAATCCGTCGAAGGAGCCAGAGTGACGACAGCACCGCAAATCCTGAAGGAAGATCTTCAGCCTCGAAGCAGGGTAAGTTCCCCTTCTATCTTGTCGATGTACGTTCCTTCACCTCATCGCTGACACTCGGCGTGAATTGAAGAATCGGCCACTCGTAGGGCACAACAAACCTCATCCCCGAAGGCAAGCGTCATCGCCGCAGCCATGAAGGAGTACCAGGAAGAGGTGAACTCAAACCGCGAAAGAGAACAGGCTATGCTGCGGAAGCTCCTTCGCCTTTCTCCCAAGAAGAACCACGAGCACACGCGTCGCTGCCAGGTCCAGCACAAAGGCGAATGGACTGGCTCCAAAAAAGAGAAGGGCGAATGTCGAACCTGCCATGAGGACTCGTCGGCGCACTGGCGATGCACCAAATGTCAAGGGCCGGTCTGCAGGAGTTACCATTACGGAGCGCCTCCGCAGGTATCTGCTGAGGCTCAGGATGCTGTTACACCCGAGCAGAACAGCTCAATCGTTGCTCCTGTCGAGGCTGCGATTGTGACTAACGAGTCGAACCCACAACACGAAGCCGTCATAGTGGATCTCCAAGCTGACTACGAGAGCGACGAAGAGGATAGATCCTCGGTCATCGCTTCATGGGACAAGGAAGTGCTTGACTCGATCATCACCGCACTTGGCGAACATGGCGGCAAAGACCCGGAGTTCGGGGCGCTTCTCGGGAAAGTGGCAAACGACGTGGCCACTTTGGATGAGGTCAGCTACTTGCAAGACTGTATGATCGAGCTTCGTAAGTCCATCAAACCGGCCTCTCAGCTCGCCACGCCACCCGATACACCACCTCAGAAGCAACGCCGTGCTCGGAAGACCATCACCAAAGGAACCTCGAAGAAGCGTGCCTCGGCAGTTCTCGACTTGTCCGGCTCTTCTGGTGATGACGAGCCACCCGTAAAGCGTCGTCGTCCCCTTCAGTCCAGCAAGACTCTTCAACAGCACTTGATCTCTCTTCCTGTCGAGACGTTTAGCCCCGTACGTAAGCAGTTTGCCGCGATGCAGCTAAGTCCGATCTACACTCAAGACGAGCCCATCGTGCCGAATGCCAGGATCAAGAAGATGGTCACTCCCACTCGGCCACACTTTCACTTCGGCGCTGCGCTTCTGCAGAAAGACGCATCCCCTCCTTGAGAAATTGCCTCCGACAATGTCTCCTCCGCTCTTATAGCTAGTCGGATACGATCTTGTGTTTTCTCCTTGACGGATCAGGGTTCTGTTCTACGACGTCCAGGACGTGTTGAGAGGTTCGATTCGACTCAAGTTGCACCTATTGAGTATTCTATTGCGTCGTTTGCACAAGCTTTTAGCACAGTTTATGTTCTCTGGTTACTGCCTTGAATTGTTCTCTATTTGGCTCTTGATTTCTTTTGCCCTCTGTCTGTCACTTCATGTCAGCTCTTCGGACAGCAATGTGTGGCGCTTATGCCATACAGATGCAGCGCACTGTGCACTGGCGCACGTACTCCCACTCATTGTGGGCGGTTAGCGTTTTGGCTTCTGTAGCCGACGTGGCTACATCAACACTCTTGTTCAGGTTGGATGCTTTTTTGCCTCCTCTTCAGGACCTGTTCCTGGACACTAAGCCTGGCGATAATGCAACATCGTCTCAGCATGCTCATGTTTGTTACTCAGCTCTTACAGCTGTTCCTCAGATGGCAATAAACCTTCTGCTGCGTACTGAGTTCTTGATCGACGGCATGCGAGACACGTGACCTTGAGCATCCAAGGGCGATCCTTCAGTAAACTTGATGTCAGCATCAAGAGTTGTAGAAGTGCCGACGCGTGTGATGTGAGCGATTGTGTCTGGGTACTGTTCACGTCTCGCCATTTTGAAGCGCTTGACCAGCCATTTGAGGACTTTTGAAGATCCTCATGGGGACGTTCTTCGTGGGGGTTCTTGCTTATGATGATACTAATTACCATGCCTCAGCATGCGTACCCAAATATAGCACACTCGAACGCTAACTCCACCACAAGCCCCATCCGAAACCCCATTGATCAAGCAATCCGAACACCAGCGGTTCCACGCCCCCGCGTACTCTCCCCCACCACCGCCTCACCTCTCAAATTCCACAACCTCACCCCCACCCCTCCTCCCTTTCTCCAAATTCTCCTTCCCCTTCCCCCTCCCATCCTCCCCATCCAACACCGGCACCCCCACCAACTCCCCCGCCTCCACGTCCACCGTCTCCGCTCCCTCAAGCAAATCCCGATCCGCATCCCTAACACTCTTCCTATCCGCCTCGGCTCTTTCCTCCTCTTCATCCTCATCATAGTTTCCCTGCGCCGCCGCCCTATCCATCTCCCGCTGGGCCTCCTCCATCCGCCGCCGCACCTCGGCAGCAACCCTCATGCCGTCGCTGACGATGTTATCGAGCATGCCTCTCAGCCCCTTGCCGGCTGGTCCGGCGACCCCGGCGGCGTCTTGGGGGAGCGAGAGGGCCTGCGCCGAGGCGGCACGGCTGGGCGCGTTGACGTTGGCGAAGGTGGTGAGGGTTGTGCTGGTCGGGGTCGAGGATGGAATGTCGGCTAGCCGGAAGGAGTTGGCGAAGGCGGACTCGAAGAAGGATTCGAGGGTTTCGTCGGCGAGGATCAGCATGCGGAAGGTCGGGAGGGTGATGTAGAGGGGTTTGGTGGGGTCCAGGGCGGCGTTTGCGGTGTGTTTGTCTGGTTTAGGGGTGAGGGAGCTGGATGGCGGTGGTGGTGCTGTGGTTGGTTGAGAAGGGTCGAGAGATGTCGGCGGTTTCGGAGAGCTAGGTCTGGAGGAGAAGGAGAGGAGGTCGTCTTCGTCTTCGTCGTCGCCGATGCTGAACGCGTCGACGGCTTTTTCTGTTGTGTCGATGAGTTGATTAGATGAATTTTCGCTGTGGTTGACGGCGTGGTCCGGATCGGCGTACTCGAAGCAGCGGCGTATGAAGGCGGATATGCTGCTCAAGATTTGCTCGTCACGATTCTCACGTCCGCCACCAACGTTGTCCGCTGATTCTTTCGGCTGTAGGCTGTTGAGAGAAGCTGACGGCGACGGCATGTTTTCAAAGCCGCGGCGAGAGAGGAACAGGAGCGCTTCCGAGATCCTCAAGATGCCTTCCCGGTCTACTTTGCTATCACCATCGTCGTCATACAGCTCGAAGAAGTAGCTGATGTTCGACATGATATCCTTTGTTCCCTTCACCTGAGCAAAACCGGTGACGACGTCTTGCAGGCTAAGAGCATGGTTCATGTTGACATCCCATCTGCGGAATAGGCGTTGCATGAACTCGTGGTCCGCCGGCTCGGGACCAGCGCCCCAAGGCGATAGCGTGACACTGCGATTCCTCATACTGTTGCCGAAGTAGGAGTAGTTTTGTTTTTCCGCGTTGGGGTCTTGTGGTGAACTGGGTGAATCACTGACTGCCCATCTGGTGATGCCTGGTCTTCGTCAGCACGGCGGCTCGTACAATGAGGCCATCACAGGATGGTCGACATGGAAATGTGAGAAGACAACTTACCAGCGAGGAACTCTCGAAACGCGTCATAGTCCATTTGAGTTGGACTGGGGCCAACAGCAACTCTACCCATCTCAACTGAATTATTATAGAGCACATCAGTCGCAATCCGCGTTGCTTTCGTACCGCCAGCCTTCGCACGTCGGTCCGCCTCCTGTTGGAACATCTCCGCTCGTTGCTGCCGCTCGTACAGCACTCCATAGAAACGGTCGTACATGAAGCCAAGATCGTTGGTACTCAAACGTTTGCTGTCCGGTCCTAGGTTACGTATTGATGTTCGCTTGGCAAAGTTCTCTATGTTTTCTAGCACAGCATCCTTATGCTTTGCACGTTGTTCCGAGATGGTGTTCTGCGTGATACCCGCAAATTCTCTGAAAGCCGTCACCATGAGCTCTTGGAAGCGTGTTACCGCCCGTAGCTTTGGGTTCTCGGACTTTGGATGCGCTGACTCATCCAACCGAGCAAAATAAGATTTGAGAACAGAGATGAAGGTGCCGTCATCAGATGCGTCTAGTAGCTCCTCGCCGTTTATGCGGAGGATGGCGAGGCCGATCTGGAAGAGTACTTTTGGGCCCTCGAGGAAGAAAACATCCAGGACCCGAAAAGCGAAGATAAGGGGCATGGAGTTGATATAGAGCGAGAGGAACCAAGGAAGGGAAACGACTGAGAGCTGCACGTCGGATTTGACGAGATGGTCCCACAATATCGGCATGGTCTTTTCCACTAGCGATTCAAAGACTCGCTGGTCCAGAAGAGTGCCGTACATAGTTTGCGAGTAGTATCCCGGTAATAGTCGGTCGCATAGCACAGAAAGTAACGAGAAGGCTTGCGCCTCGGACATGTAGCTTCGTATCCTCAGCGAACCGCAACATGCTACGGGAGTGGAGTACATACATAAGAAGCGCTGCTACCACAATGTTCATGGCTTGACAGTATCCGACCTCCTCATCTGTCCAGCTATATGCTGTCAGAACCCGTCGTAACCGGCCAATACCTTCCTCGCTCTGAAACCCCGGATACTCTGGTAGACTGCGGTTCAAGTCCTTCTCAATCTCCTCAATGGCTAAAGATTTCCGGCCTTCGTGCTTCGCCAGAGTCTCCGTATATTGGTTCGGTTTTTGCAAGCGCAGGAAGAAAGAGCCGGAAGTAAGTTCCCACATCTCGCCTCTGAGCCTATTCGGTAAGCCGACGCGAATGAGCTTATGGAAGGTAGGCTGCCGTATGAGGGTCGCATTCCTCCCATTCTCATTCAAGTACTCCCTCCATAATCGCATCTTCGTCCCATCTCTTAACTTTCTAGGATTGCCTGGATACCTGAAGATTATGCCAAGGCCAGTATCTGGAGCTTCCTTCTTGCTGTCCTGTTTTTTGCTGTCCTCCTTAATCTTCGGGTCGTTTGAGAGCAGGTACTCCGAGTAGCACTGCGAAGCTACCGCTCGAAGATTCTCCACCTCCCTGATGCCCTCCCTCAACCCCTTCTTTAAGCGGTCGCAGAACCTTTCGCATTGCTGCCGACTGCCCGCTAGCTGTATTGTCAATTTCTGGCCGCCCTCCTTCTTGCTCTGCTCACCGAAGCCGTTCCACGTGGTTATGGCCAGGGCGAACATGTAGCTCTGACTATGTAACCTTTCCACCCGCCTGATCGCACACAGGGGCAGTGTGAAGCCATTGCCGGCTGGTCCAGCTCCGTGTGTCTGGCCTGTAAATGCGCTTGACGAGCTCAAGCTGGCAGTGTTCAGAAAGCTCGATCCCTGGGTGGAGAAGCAGAGAAACTGCTCCGACAGGTGAAGTTTCCCGACATAGCGATTGCCTTGCCCTCGGTCCTCGTCGTCTCGGTCGTCTGAGGTGCTTCGGATGCTGTGGTGCGAGGAAAGGGTGAGCTCGGCGGTGATCTCTTGCAACGGATTCTGCGTGTCAGGGAGGCGGAACTGATGGCGGAAGAGGGTGCTTTTTGAAGGCCGACGGTCGGTTGAAGGTGCAGTTTGCGACAGAGTCGGGTCGATGAATTGCTGCGCTTTCTGAACCAGGGAGGAGAGGTTGAACATAGCGGAGGGAAGGGAGGGTTAGGACTGAGTTCTGGCAGCAGTTGTAGGCGTAGAACAACGCTTAGCACGCGTCCGTCGTGCTCATAATATTCGTCGGCTTTAGGCGAGCTTCTGGAAAGTCGTGAGGCAGTTGTACTACTGTTGGTTGAATAGGGCTGATCAATCGCTGAGGCTTAGGCCTGAGCTTTGGGAGCTGGGGTCGGCGGGCGGGTTCTTCCGACGAGCTCCCGCTGTCCCTGCATTCAGTCACTCTGATATCACGTGACTCACGCCTTAACGTCTTCTTACTTTCATGTCATCTCATATCTTGCAACGACAACGCCTTGTAGTGATGACTACGGGTAGGAATTTATGCAAGGAAGCCTATAATACATATGGGTATCACAACATCAAGTCTACAGCGTCTACGGTCTCCACGGCTGCCAATCACCACTCGAGAATTGCCTTGAAGACGAACCATCCAGCCAACAGCCCTCCCGCTACACCGGCAAGCACCGCATTGCCTTCTCTCGTCAGTGAAAGGTAAGCCAGCACGCCAACAATGATCTCTTTCCGCCGCGCCGCCGCGCGCTGAGCCTGCCACCTCGGATTGATCGGGAAAGGCGGTCTGCTGCGGATATCCTGGTCATCTTTGTCAAGCGCTTCGAGCGGCACAGAAACCGACAGTGCTACAGGCCGATGGTCCGATGTCGGTTGCAAGGGCAGAGCGGTATAGGTATGCAGTTCAAGCTGCGACGATGACGCCAGCGGCGGTAAGAATAGTATCCGATCAGTCCAGCTGGGATACCGGTGCTTTGACCAGTCCCAGTGCTCGGCCTCGCCTGCATCACTGTCGGTATCTGGGCTGATTGCGGATGGTTTGCCGGCCGATCGCTTCATGGAGTATTTGTAGGTTGGGGGAAAGTTGATAGGAGCCTCGTGGAAGCCGTGCACCGTTCGCCCGGCATCGCGTTCGTGACCGAGTTGATCGTGTTTTAGTAGATTGGAGAAGTGTTTCGGTGAGCCTATCTTTGCGGGCTGCGGGTAGTCCACGTAGGACTCCGGCTCCGGACCATCACTGTGAGAGCGGTAGTTTAGGTCACCTGCGAGGAAGGCGTGGCTTCCTGGGTTGTATAAACCTGTCGGGGTCTTATCGTCCTCATCTGAATCTCTGGACAACAGCGGTTCGGCGTCCTCATCTTCTGCTTCATCCCCCAGTGTTCGCCTGCCATTGTGCAACTTCCGCACCCCTCGATGTGGTGAGAAAACAAGATTGCGCACAATATTCTCCCAATCAGCATTGCGCCTCTCCGTCGCGTTCTCCATAGGGGCCAAGTGAGCGGCGACAAGCGTAATCCCCAGCTCTTCGCCATCACGTTCTTCCAAAGAGTATCCCATGCGCACTCCCACAGCGCCCTTGTTGCCCATCTGCCAGAGCCCCACGCCCGTGCCGGCTGTTTGGATCCATCGTAGCCTCTGGGCAACTTCCTGTCTGGCGAAAACCACTATTCCAGTCAAGCCAACGTGCGCTGTCAGGAGGTTTTCGTATGTATCGGGGCCGCCTCCATGGCGTTCTGCGGCGACATTTACGGAAGATACAACGCGATTGAAGTACGGTAGGACGTACGCGCCTCCCAGAAACGCGTATGCGATAGGAGCTATCTCTTGCAACGAGAGGACAATGATGCCAGGCAATGCAGCGTCTTTGGGGTGCGCGTCTAGTAAATAACGACCGAAGGCTGCCGGCTCTATTAATCTACGCGCACAGTTAAAGGTGACGAGGTAGACTTCTAAGGAAGACATATCAGAGTAGAGGCTTGGACGATACGAGTATTAGATTCATGTTTCGCAAAGTCGATCTACGGGATCTTCCTATGGTTTCGCAACAATGTGGGGGGCAGACCCTTGCGCTGCAGGTTCTACGTCATACTCGTGGGACGAGCTTCAAATTCCCATTGGGATTCGAGGGGCAACTTGGGAGAGCTCCAGTAGAAGAGAAGTCACTGAGAAGCTCCTCCGTACACCTACCTGAAGCAGCAATTCAATTGATTGTTCAGCTGTCTGCGCAGAGTGTCATCATTGAAGTCCGCAATTGCACTTCTAAAGCGTAAATATGTTTAAGCCACAACTCCTCTTCCAAGCAATCCGCACGATCCCTCCTCGATTACGTGTGACAGGAGCCTTCGATGCTCGTCCAGCGTTCCTCGGGACACGTTACATCTCAGTCTCTCGTCCGCTGCTTGAGAAAAAGACACCAGAGGACGATCACGATGGTCACGACTCGGCGTCGACAGCAGCTCCGCCTGGTGCATCTGGCGACCAAGAAGGCTCTCTATCCCGTACAGACGATACAGTGAGGGTGCAGTACCCCGAAGAGGGGGATCTTCCAAGGAGTCGACCTGTGTCAGGCCGGGGAGGCCCACATGCCAAGCGAACGCTGGCATCGTTCTCGCTGGAGGGAAGGGTTGCTGTTGTAACTGGTGGTGCGAGAGGGCTTGGACTAGTCATGAGTCAAGCCCTTGTGAACAGCGGCGCTGATGTTGCTCTTGTGGACCTTAACAGTATGCCCGTTGTATCTTATTTTACAAGGACACAGACTGACGTACACTCATAACAGAGGAAGAAGCAGAGCGTTCAGCCGGCGAGCTCGTGAAGACCTTTCAAACGGAAAACCCTGACGCGGACAGGTCGTTTCTCCCCGCGTTGTCATTTCGTGCCCAGCTGATCCAGAAGTAGACTGCCAAAGGTCACAGCCCATTTCGCCGATGTATCAAACCCGACATCCGTCAACGACTCCATCGCCGAGATCCTTCAAGCCCACGGCAAGATCGACAACCTCGTGACCTCCGCTGGCTTCACCGAGAACTTCAATGCCATCGACTACCCTTACGACCGGATGAAGAAGCTGTGGGGCGTCAACGTAGACGGTACTTACCTCTTCGCCGTGGGCGTTGCAAAGCACCTGATGGAGCGCCAGTCGCCCGGAAGCCTTGTCTTCATCGGCAGCATGTCGGGCTCAATCGTCAACGTACCGCAACCGCAGGCGCCGTATAATGCTGCGAAGGCGGCAGTAAGGCACCTAGCGGCGAGTCTGGCGGTTGAGTGGGCGCATGCGGGCATCAGAGTGAACTGCATCAGCCCTGGCTATATGTTGACCGCGCTGTAAGTCTGCGATGGCCTAAAGTGACGGTCTGATTTGCTGACCGCTTCTCAGGACGAAGAAGATCCTTGACGATAACCCAGAGCTGGCCAAGACTTGGACCTCGCTGATCCCGCAGGGCAAGATGGGTCGGCCTGAGGATCTGATGGGAGCCGTGACCTTTTTGGCCAGCGATGCGAGCCTCTACGTCACGGGCGCTGACCTCCGAGTTGACGGCGGGTATACCACCACTTAGATCGCGTCTAATGCGCCCAACACTGTTTTCGGCACGCATGTATCCGTAGAGAGAGCGGATATCGTGGAATTGTGCTATCGCTTGGGGGTTCTGGTGTGAGGGTTTGGCATCACGTGCTGAACCTTTAATTGTCCCGTGCGCACTAGCTGATTCCGCCCTCTCATCCCTTTGGGATCTCGGTTTCACATCAACACAAAACTACATTTGTCTCTGCTGTCAAAGTCGTAATAGCTCATCATGAATCGAACAATGAATAATGGGCAACAATGCTCCTTGGAAGGGCGTTTAGTGTTCATGATGTGGGGCCTGCGAGTGCATCTTCTGTCGAGTGGCTGGAACGAGTGCGTGCGCTTATAGTAACGTTGGGCAGGGGTCAATCGAACTCAGAGCCAGGAGCTGTCCAAGTCTGGACTTAAATGTGTAAGAGTATTCGACTTGAGGACCGTATCGAGATGTCGTCTCGGTGATTTTGCCGCGATTGGGGATTGAGTGCAGTCCCTCGCGGCGGCTCCTGCTTGTTACAGAAGGAACACTCCAACACGCTTCCTTCAAAGCTGAGCATGCACACAATGCGGCATTGGAGCCTTCCCTCAGCCATGGCGCTAGTCTGGTTCTCAAGCTCTTCAAATATCTCCTTTCTCTCTCCTCCTCCTCTTCTTCTTCTCTATCATCCACATCATCTTCATCATCCGATCAAACTCATATCCCGTCATCGTCAGCATAGTCTTTGCTATCACCACTGTCGCTAGCAGCTGGCTGCACTCTCTCACGCCGTCTCTTGCACCAGCAGCATCAACGCTTTTACCGACGGCTAGCTGCACTTGCACCACACGATCGCTTACACCTCGTCATCATGTTTTCCAGGAGAAGACCCGAGCATGCCACAGACCATTACGGGTTCTGCCTGACATGGAAGAACATCACCAACAACAACAAGACGAAGAAATACAAACGTACTTATGTTTACCGCCGACAGGAGGGACAGCCAGTAAGCATGCCTACCTGTTGAAATTGCCGTGACTAACGATCAATGCACTTCAAGCTCGCCTTCTTGAGCGAAGCGAACCTCATGGATCACCTGCCACGGTTTCCCAGCATGCGGTACGACCACGCGAGCATAACCGTCAACGCAAACCAGACGGATCCGCAGATTCACCTACAGACTCCGAAGTGGAAGTCTCCAAGGCTTATAGACGGCGATCCAAATCTCGTCTTTAGAAGCGCCATAAAGCCAGCCGGCTTCTGGAGGCGTTTCCGTAGCGCGCCTGATGAGCCGCCGTTTCCACCCAACGGTAACGGTGCAGCTGATGGCGGTCAACTACCGGCGGTCGCTACTGGTACTACTGGCACTGCCGTACATCAGCAGCCCCAGGCCAAGCTGAGCCAGGACAGCTCCAGCGGCAGCTCCAACCAGCCGACAGCCGACTCTGGAGTACCGGCGTCGGTCCCGGGCAACAAAAGATCAAGCCAAGCACCTTCTGGCAGCTCCTCGGACACGGCGCCAGTCAGTACTGGAAACCTTCAGCACCGTCGCAAAGGACCTCCACTCACAATTCAAACCACATCGGAGACCAGAAGGGGAACGGCCAGTGGACCAGTATCCGGGACCACGGTTCAGACGACGCCCGCAATGGCCTCGGGGACGAGAACGGCAGCGGAAGGACGGACAACGGAAGGCCTGACTATGTTCCCTCGGATCGAACTAGAAGGTCAACCGCTTCCACAGCCTCCTCGGAGCAGCACAGAACCCTCTTCGCCTGTGGACGAGAGCTCCGTGGAGAAGCTGGAAGACGACCAACCGGACGCTAGCAATGTCCCACAGCTTACCCAGAACGTTGAGCAACCCTCGCCGCCAATAGAACAGACCTCAGAAAGGGTAGGAGCAGCAACTCAAGGCATGACTCCGTTCCCTCCATTCGGCCCGGAAGGCAACAGCCCTCCACGCCTTCCTGACAACACCGAGCAAGGTTCTGCGTCAGACAATCAAGACCCGGAGATCGTTCGCCACATGGTTGATGGAGCCCAGCTCGAGCCCGAAGGCCAAACTGTCCCACAGCTGGACCGCGACACCAACCATTCCCCTCCACCGGCATATCGGTACTCCTATGAGGGACCCGGACATGATGAGCCGAACTCAGAACCGAATGGCCCTCATCGTTCGCTCCTCCCCCAAGGCGGCCAGCAATCGTCACCGCCAGCAGTCCAGAATCACACGATCACAAGCACTTCAGTGGGGCCGACGTTCTCGTTCGAGAACAACATTCCTACAAGGGCAATGAAGAATATCCGCCGGAGAGGATCGACTTGAACCTTAGCGGGGAGCGGCTGGAACGGCGGGTCCGCGTTGGGTAGTCTAGCATGTCCTCGTCGCGGTAGAAGGTGCTGGCTGTGTGTCCGTGTGCGGTGGACTGGGCTCGAAATGTTTCTGCTTGTACACAATCATTGCATTGCATCTCTAGACAGAGTCTCTATAGTGACTACGTAGTCAGCATCAAAAGTCTCGATTGGAACGAGTATGTCAGAAGGTGCCTGTGTCATTTTTTCCCCGACAGACCCGTCATCATCCTTCATGCGGCTTTACCCAACCCGGTAGGAAGGCGTCACGTGAGGAGCTTGCGTCTCCAATTTACTCTCTCACAATTCAAGTTCCCTCGAACGCGATATCAGGTGACCGCGTGGACGACTTTCCTGTGCAACCCAGCCGTGGACAGTGCAAGATATGCTTCAAACGGCGTCCAACAGGGGGCTCCTCGCAGCCTCCTGTCGTTCAGCAATGATGCCTGCCATCCTGGCCACCTGTGCGCTCCCCTTCCGAAGCCGAGTGGGAGATCATTCCCGCTGGAGCGGAGAGTTCTGTTGAAGCGCCGTAACCCAAAGATCAGGAGGAGAATGGGGATTCAGATACAAGCCGCTTGTGGCTTGGAGAGATCGTCGGTTGGGCTGCCTCCAGGGCTGCGGCTTGCTGATGTTGATCTACATTGATCCGAGCAGAGGAGAAGCAGCTAATCCGCTCTACATACGAGTATGAGGCCCTCATTCAGCCCTTGCTCGGTGGGGAAGTAAGGATTATGATACCAACGGGGTCGAGAAGTCATGAGTATTGTAATCGAATGGAGCAGCTGCAGGGGTTTGATTTAGTGGAGAGACTTATCGTAGTAAGTGCCGTTAAACCTCGGTATCTCGTCGACTGTCAGGGAAATTCGACCATCGAAGCATGGAGCTTGAAGAAAGCCGTTGGCACACGGGCCTCCACAACCCTGAGGTCATTGCTCGAAGAAAGTGCCCGAGCAGCCACCGCTCGAAACTATCAGGCAGCACGAAGCGTGAGAGGTGTAGTACGGCACGTTGGAGAACATGTTAAAAAAACCAAGCCATTGTAAGAGGAATGCTTCTGACGGCTTCGTTGGCCGCTGCCCCGCCGCTCACGCCTACGACGCATCTCCCAGCGGCTGGCCGCGCTGGCCGAGAAACGATGCAGGTGATGCCAAGCGACAGCACTGTTCAAATCTTAGCTGAATGCCAGCCAATGCTTGGTACGAGCATGTTTCAGCCCGAAAGCCTCTCATCGATCGGATTTTCTCGAGGGCCAGGATTCTGGCTCATCGGGGGGTTTGTACGTTTTGTGCATCGTATGCGCAGAAAGCTACACCGCTAACCTGGGTTCAGGGAGCGGGAAGAGATCGGTCCGCCAACCTCGGCTCGTGTGGCGTTGACGATTAACCGCATAACGGCTGTCACCTGTTGCTTGATGTAACCGCGCCTGTCTGCGTGCCGAATCAGCGAGGGTTGTTTCGGAAAGAGAGCCTGAATACGTGATGGTGATCTTTATTGGGGTGTAGTTAGGCGCAAGTGGAGCTGCAATTGTCGGCAAGTCAGATGGTGAGAACGAGATTGCCATGCTAGTGGAGTGGGAGATGCCGCAATCGGGGAACTCGCATGAGATCGTGTCGGGGCGAAGGGGAGACCCCCGTTGCGGGATTGAGGTGCAACAACCAACAATCAACCAACAATCAACTTCGGATAATTTGGCACTTGGCGCCAAATGTTCGATGACGACTGCATGAGGGATTTCTGAAGTTGAGAGTTTGGTGTACGGAGTATGATTCTAACCATGCGCCTGCGCTCTGGGATTGCGACGTGCTCTCGCGGAAAAAGCGACCAAGCATGGAAACAAGTGGGTATTCTGTACAATGACCATCTACTCCAAGTAACCCAAGAACGCGCTTCTGGTTGCGTTTTCGCCCAGTGTTTCCAAATGTTGCCTAAAAACCTCATCCCTGAATTACTCCCAAACCTAGAACATTGGAAACATAAATGAGAATACGCGGCCGCAGTCCTGTCCGAGCACTTCGTTGAGGTGTGCGAGCAATAAACGTCGCCGGAGGTGATAAAGCTGCCCTTTTGGAAGAATGTCGATACACCCCCTTGTCATCTACCTTGGGGTGGTGGGCTGTTAGTTTGTGACAAGCTCTTCGATAGCGAGGCGAACGAGGAGGTCATGGCGGAGTATGAGCCGCTTGAGGCGTTTGAGGAAGCTGAGGAGGTGCTTGATGAACGAGATTGGATGCCGAGAGAGATGCAGGAGCTGCAGCGTCCGGTGGTGGAGTTCGAGCGGCCCCGGCAGCCTCGCTGGTAGTTGACGCAGGAGAACATGGTTTTGCGTTGGTGTGGGGGTCTTCGAGGATGAAGGGGGTCGATGTTGGATTGCACAATCTTGCAATGATTCAAGACCTAAGGATCGGGGCCTTGAAACCGCGATAGTTCGGAATTGAGGTGTCGAGTTGGAGCCGGCCGGTTTGGAGAGCTCTCCAACGTTCGAGGAGGTGAGGTAGTTGAGGATATGTTGCTTGAATATGCTGGGAGAGGGTTCGTTGTAGAGAGTAAACGTTGTAGATAGGAGGACGAGAGGTAGATAACAATTGGACTGCCCTAAGAGCGGGATCCAAAGGCTCAAGCTGGAGGCTCAGTCGAGGAATTGACGGGTGATTGGTTGGATGGTTTTGACTGCGAAATGGATCCTGATGGAGCACTGGCATAAAGATATCTGAGGAGAGCGCCCCTTCTTTAAAGCCTGGTCCACAAGGTGACCCGACTGCCAGATGACGGGCCAGGCGGCAGCTAAAACAAACTTTGGACCCACGCGAAACCGACACAGAAGGCGTTATGATGATCGAATCTCAACCCGCTTTTTCGCGGGCGCGCATCACGCAGCGCCGTGAGTCACTGACGACACTGCCCGGAGAGCCAGCTACAACAGGCGTCGGGTAGCGGTCTGCGGCACGTTCTCTCATTCTCAGATTTACCTTGCAAATGAACGATTCCGCGCGGACGCATCGGACCTCCTCGAGCAGATTGACAGGACCCTGGCCATCGATGATCGCCCAGGACTCCAAGAAAGTCCCCAACCCTGCTGGTTGCGGAAACCAACGTCGCCGAGACAGCCAAGCTCAACTGCACGGCCACACGCCTTTCCCGGAGCTCTCCTGAGATAGCTTTCTCAACCCGCCAAGGCATGTCCGCAAAAGTGGCACGTCGGACGGGAAAACGAGTGCACAGATGCACTAGGAAGATCGCCCAAATGGTGCACCCCCTTGACCTGCCCCAAGTGAGTGGGCACGAACTCTAGGGCTCTTGTATTCATCTCCAGCGCCAAGTCCGTTTCATCAGGGCGAGGGCGGAAATGAGTTTCACCGAGGCCGCATCCCCGGCCACGTCGCTCAATCGCAATTGCTTGAAGAGAGGCGCTGGCAAAGAGAACGTGCAACAACCCTCAGAGTGCTTGGACGACGATTCTCAACATCTACTCTTCTGCTGTAGATGCCGATTGGCGCATTCTTTGGCGGCCTGTATGGGCTGGGAAGCCCCAGCCGCTCCGCACGAATCTGTCTCCAGAGCAGTTATTATCGGTAACGCAAACCCTCTACGTTCGACCGTACGTCGGTACTTGGGGGGCGATCACGCATGCGGAGTCGGTTCATCGTAGCTGTGCACATCAAAATATTCTATTCTGCGCTTCTCTATCGTTCGACTTTCCGTCACAAACTCGTCACCTGCCTTCCTCGACCCTAGCAATGGTTTGATTTCCTCACCAGCACGCATCACTCTCCACTCAAGTCCCGCCCTGCTTTGTCTGACCAACCGAAACCCTCCAGAGTATGTGTCTCTCAGGACCGGGTTATGGGGCTGAACCTCCACAGGGTGCACGAAGTAACCCTCCGAACCGGCGTATCGGTCCGCTGCGGAAGTCCCGGATGCTCCACAAACGAGAATCATGTCACTCGGAAGATTGTGAGCCAGCAGCTATCTTCATGGTCCTGTGCCTGAGTGCGGCTTTGGCTGAGGTGGAGTACGAGCCCTGACATGTCGTACGCCTCAAGTCTTGTAAGTTGCTATTGCATAAGACTGTACGGTTGTATGGAACAGCTACGCAATTGAAGCGGATTCGTGACCGACGCCGGTGATCTATTGTTGATTCCGCCGCCTGTTTCTCAAATGCCGTGACGTGCAGTCATGAAAATTAGTCCGAAGCCTCATGCGGCAACGAGGATTTCAGCCCCTAACGCTGGAGGCTACACAGCAAGCCTCGGTCAGCGTGGACCGTACTGATGCACATCGGGGAGCATCTCAAGGAAAAAATGGACCGAAATGGCTCACACTTAAGCTGCTCATTCGACTGTTAAGAGAAGCTGTAAGCTTTAGTGGTTTCCTTTCAACACTCCATTTTTCTCCCACGCCCGCTTATTTGTGTGTATCAGTCCGCTTGGCCACAATGTGTAGGGTACTTCACTCATTCGGACTGCTGTTTTTCATCTGAGATGAGGACTTTCCGAGAGGAAGTCCGTCCCATTAGACTCGTTGGAGCGCATCACCATAACAATAGAGCTACTATCCCGTTTTCGTCATACAACTCACTCATGTTGATGATAAGCTGTGAGGATCCCTAAGGGATTTATGGCTTTGCCAAGGACGGAAATTCTGCAGCACATCACACAATTCCTCAAGTCTTTCTAGAACATAGCTGAAGAATGGCACTCCCGCTTGGATGACAACAATCTCAAGTCCGCAATTACAACCAGGGTGAAGCTGCCGTACTCTGTGCTGCGGTATACGGCAGGCTGTAAACAATCTTTTCATGTAAAGATCTACAAGGCAGGAGAAGCGATCCCGAAGAAAGTGGCATTAACATCATGCTCATCACGCGAGTCAACTGGCCAGCAGAAGCCTCACGCCCTTGCTCTAAACACCTTACGTGCCGTACGGCTTCCCCAATCACCTGAAAACGAATCTTTCTAGCCGCCGTCCGTCTCACCTCCTGTCATCCACTTCGTCGTCAGCCACCGGCATCTCTACAGGCTTGCTCTGATGAGGCATCTCATGCACAGCCTCTGAACCATACAGCGGCGGCGCTTTCGACTGCGCGAGTACCTCATACCGAGCCATAGACGCAGGCATCTCACCATAGGGACCGCCGTGTCCCTGATCCTTTTCGTATGCCATCTGCTTGGTTTTCTTCTTCCTTTGCCAGGTATAGAATAGTCCGATACCGATCAGGACACCGGCTATAACGGAGCCAACGGCTATCCCGGCTATCGCGCCAACGGAAGGCCTCGTTGAGTCGGTGTTCTCGGAAGGTTGGGCGGACGGTCCGGCCGTGGCGGCTGCAGAGGCGGTCAAGCCTGCTGAGCCTCCGCCAGTCGTGATAGTACTGAGAGTTGTCGTCGCAGAGATACCGGCGGTCATGGCCGTGAGTCTCGACGAGAGCGCAGCGCTTTCAATAGCGGCTAGTGATGATGACTGCAGTTGGTTTGCTGCCTCCGGAGAGAGACCCTTGTTCGGGTTCTCGAACTTGCCCCAGCACACGTTGATCTGTCTGGGAGCTTGAGTGCAGTCCTGCGCCTCGTCGCAACACCAGACCGCAGTCTCTGGTTGTCCACATCGTATCTGGCCGGTGCCGGGAGTAACTGAGTTTCCACCAGTGCAGTCTGGGGCCAATGCCCAGCAGATGCTACACATCAAACAATCAGCAATGTGGTCAATCAAAATGGTTCTTGTTGGTCCTGGAGAGGTAGACCCACGAATCAGGAGCTGGGCACGCATAGATTAACTGCCTATCCGCCTCATAAGCGCACAGCCCACCGTTCATGCTGTTATTCGCAGCTGTCATGTACACGTCGCCGTATCTACAGGTGTCCACATGGTCGCCATCCTTGGTCTGACTGATGAAGAAAGTTGGATTCGCAGCCATCGCGACTCCGCGAAACGCCAGAATGGCGAAAATCAAGAATGCCATGGCTCTGAACAAGAGACAAGCTGAAAGGACGAGAGCCTGCACAGCGCAGACCGCCGGTACACCCCCTCATATGAGGCTTTGAAGGAAGCCAACGCGCCCGAATCCTTCGTCGACCCATTTAGCAAAAAAGATGCACGCGCGAACACAGCCCTCTGAGACCAAGCTGATTGGGTATCAGTTTTGGTCCCTGGGATCCGTCATGCAATGCGGGGGCCAGTGATTCCTGCGTTTTGAATGGAGTTCTACTCGCTAAAGGCTTGCGCCACGATCCTTCGTGCCTGGCAGGCTCGAGGCGGTGCGGGCCTGAAACATGAAACGTGCAAAGAACCGGGTTGATTCGCCTCTTGACAGAACCATTCGCGGCACAGAGAGCGTTCAAATAATGACCGGGTGCGCTTTTAGGCATCATTCTCGCTTGAGTGAATATACTCAATCACTTTTTACCAGTAAAGCCACTGCTGTTGAGCTTGGAGACGAGGATGCGCATGGTGAGAAACGTATCTAACTCACTAGTTTAGAATCACGTGCACCGGCTTCTCGGTGGTGAAGTGAGCAGTAAGCTGAGGTCTGATATTCTGTATTCTCTCTACACTGGTTCAATTGACATGGTATGCCGAGTTTCAATATCATTCGTTATATCCACAGAGTGAAGTAAAAGTACAATAGTCATCAGAATCATCCAACAACCCCGCTCAAATCTCAAGCGCAACGGCCCAACCAGTGGCCAGGTATTCCACATCAACAGCGCCGTTCTAAAACCCACTACCCGCGTCAACACCTATCGGCGATGCAATTCATTTCAGTATTTCTCGCTCTGGGAGACTGCCAGGCCCTGGCCCTTCTCCAGCGCGATACTGCCAATCCTGCTGTTACTGTCGACCTGGCCCTCCTTCAAGCCGACGGTCGAGTCGGTGAACGCATCGAGCTCCTTCGCCTTGAAAACGTTGAGGTAAATGGGGAAGCTCCACGCAATGACGAAGAAGGCGAGCGGCACGACCATAGCCTTTCTCGTGCCGGTCCTATCCGCAACGTTGCCCAGGATAGCCGGAACGACGGCGCCACCGCAGACGGAAGCGACGAGGAAGGAAGCGCCACGCTTGGTGTGACGACCCAGGCCACGTAGCGAGAGCGTGAAGATGGTCGGGAAGATGGCAGACTCGAAGAAGAGGACGATCATCAACATGGCAATGCCTCCCCAATTGGCACGCTCTCCATGGCCGGTATCAACGCCGATAGCAGCAGCAAGGAAGATCATGATCATGGTCTGGAAGAGGAGAAGGACCCAGCGCGGCTTCGTGATGTACATCAGCCCGGCACCGGCGAAACGGCCGATGGCGAACAGGCCCTGGCCGATAGCGTAGAAGTTTGAGCCTTGCTGATGCGACCTATTGATCTCTTCCGCGGTGCCTCCGTGGGTTTGATCGGGACGGGCTTGGGTGAAGTAGTTGATGAAATAGGCCGCAATACCGACTTGGGCGCCGACGTAGCAGAACTGGGCAGCGACACCATAGAAAAGGATATACTGCTTTCGCAGCGGCTTGTCCTTGTAACCACTGTCGCTTGAGATCATCTCGGCCTGATCGGCCATATCGGCGTCTGTAATTTCGGGAATCTATGACTGATTAGTGTCGATAATCCAAGCGTCCGTTTCGCGACTGAACCTACCGGAGCGAAGTAGAAAACAACAGCCAGGGCGGCGACAAAGATGGCAATCCCGAGATACACCCACTGTACGCTTGACAAGTCTTTTCCGTCGGTACCAACGTTCTTGAAGATAACGTATGAAGCCAAGACAGGCGCCACAACACTACCCACGGCCTGGAAAGACTGCGACAGCTCCAGACGGAACTCGCTCCATCTTGGCGGACCGCAAACTGCAATGTACGGGTTTGCTGACGTCTCCAGCGTGGACAAGCCGGAGCCGACAATGAACATGGAGCCGCAGAATCCTCCGAAGGAACGCTTGACGGCTGATGGCCAGAACATGAGGGCACCGACGCAGTAGATGCTGAGGCCGAGCATGAAAGTATAGCGATAGCCGAATTTCCTCACAAACCAGCCGGAGTACGTCAACGGGCCAATGAAGTATGCGCTAGAATCAAGAGGTCAGCTTGTGTTCAACTTGGTGGTTCAACTCACACCATCGCTTACCCGAAGTAGGCACCCTGCAGACCAGAGCTCTCTCCCTGAGAGATATTCAAAGCGACCTGGAAACGCGAGTTCAAGACGTCCAGGAGACCGTACGCGAAACCCCACAGGAAGAAGAGCAGCGTTACGAGTGAGACTGGAACAATGGATTGACGGGTTGTGATCATCGAGGCACCGGTGAGCGCCTTGTCACTGACGCTCTTGCGACGGGTTTGGAGCGCCTTAGCATCAGCAGCTGATGGCCGACGAGCCTGCTGAGCGTGCACATCGTCAATGGCAGGCTCCTGCTCGCCGCCGAGGCCGAATTTAAATACCATGGTGGATAACTGGACACCAGCCGGGTGTCAGTCTGATCGCAGAGGTGTAGTGGGAAAGGCGGATTTGGGATGAAGCTCTGAAAGTGAAGCTTCAGATGTCAATGGCGAGCTGAAGAGTGAAGGCTGGCAAGGGCAAGGGAATCCAGAGAAGATATACGATTTCAATGCTGTCACACCTCTTGCGCAAATCTTCCAGTGCATCATCTCCAGTTGAAGGCACAGATCACTCACGGAACCCCATCATCGACTGCATCAGCAGCCATATCCTGGACATGACCGACAGTGGTGCTGCATAAGTGCCAGAGCAGATCCGCGAAAGAGCCAATGATGCCGTCCGGAACTGCGAGCTCAACGTCAGGGATGCTCAAGCATTGCCAATCCAAGCAAAGATCCCTTGCCCAAGCTAAGATCTGGGGTCCCGACGTGGAAAGCGCCACGGCCAGCTCCCCGCAGCGGTCGCTTTGCCGTGACTCTGCCATGGTCAATGGCTTCGTGGCGGCTGTCGTCCACTGATGGCGATTGATAGCGCTTCTCGGCAGTGACAATTAGGGCTAGGTCGACGGTTTAGGCCGTTTCGTCAAGCCGTCTGTTGCTTGGAAACCCTTGCGGGGGCGGGAGACTGAACCCCGCAGCCCCACATTCCAGCCAGTCTCGCGACATCTTGGCGGCGGCTTCTGTGTACCGTTGAGGCTCGTGAAGTGCCGACTGTGATTCAACGAGTAAGAGTTCTGTAAAGCTTGTACTTTCTAACTCGTGTTCGGGCGTTGAGGGCCCGGACATGTGCCTGTCAGCGATCAGTGCTCAAGGCAGGCGTCAGCCACGGCGACAGCCGCATGGCATCTGGACTCAAAGCTTATGTTGGTGTGTACTCGAGTAACAAAACCATAACCACGAGCGGCACGATAAAGAACCAATGACCTCATACGAGGCTGTCGCACAGTCGTCCACGAAACGCTCAGCGTGCAATCAGACGCGGCGGAGACAGTCGCGGCCCCACCCCTGCCCTCCTTGGCAGAGGCCGGCGCAGAGCTAGCACCCGGGCAGTGGAAGCTTCCGAACAATTGCCAGCCGCCATCACCAATAAGGAGTTAGAGGAGCTCATGGCTTTACTCCGGTGATGTTTAAGAGGGTGACCCGCCCGCCCACCTTCGGGACAAGACCAGCGTAAACTTGCCTTGGTCTGATCCATTCCGTGTCAGAGGGACTCTTTTGCCCAAGCGACTCTCGCCTGCAGGTGTTTGGAGGGCGGTCGCTGGATTGCTTGCTTCAATCCATGACCCTTCAATTCATTCCGTTGGGACCCAGGAAACTGGTGGTTACACAGCAGAGGGAAGCGTGCCGTGGCATCGGAGATAGTCCCACCGCCCTGAGCCCATGCATCGAGCTTTCCCTGCATTGAAAGGTGATAATCTTACATCATGTGATGTTCGGCACAAGATCGACCTGAAGGTTAAACTGGTAGTTTGGTGATTTGGTGGTAGGGCTACAAGGTAACTTGCAGCCGGCAGTTTGACTGCGGACTAGACTATGCGCGTATATGGCAACCAATAGAATAGACTATCAAAGGTCCTATGGAAAAGTGGACGAGAAAGCAAACGGAAGAAGCAATAATCTCAGCTCAACCCTTGCCATGTGAACAAATCACCTTAACCCGGCGACTAACGGCAGATGATGTTGTTGTTGACCAGTCAGTGGTTGGCTATGAGGCTCATGGATTCCGAGGGCAATACGCTCAATGCAATGCTGCCCTAGAGCATGACACAAGAAAGACGAAAACTCGGTACGGGAATAGATGTAGTATAACGCTGTCAAACAAAAGAAAGCCAGAGCCTAATCACGGCTACACGAAAGGAAGACAAGGCCAAGCGAAAGAAGTGTACAAAAATAGTCGTCGTGAGGCGCTGAAAATTCTAACAAAGGATGCCGGTCTTGCGACCTGTCGTCTATTACCAACCAATGCCCGAAGGAGCCAGAATGAAGCTCAATCGAATGATCCTTTGTGATAGGGGCCGGAATCCTCAGGATTACTAGCAGCATCCGCGCCTGTAGTGTCCACACACAGGACAGCACTCTCGCGCCAGAGAGTTCAGGTTCGTTCCACCACATTGACAGCAGACCCAGATATCATCGTAGTTGAAACTGTGCCCGCCGCTCATATTGGAAGACCCGGAGAATGCAATGTTGTAGCCGTTCATCCAGAGTGGGGCAGAATCATACGTGGGAGAGCTTGCGTAGGATGGACTTTCGACCGAGTGATATGGGTTTTGCACCTCATTGCCGTAAGATAGCGCCGGTATTGCAGCGACAGGAGTACCTTCCGCCGCAGAGGAAGGTTTGGGAGGCTTACACGACTGGCAACGATCGTGTTGGCAGACAGGGCACTTCTCCGCGGCAAGCTCGATGAGGTTGCCGTCGTTGCATTGGCAGCATTTCCACATGTCTGCTGGGACCCGCTCGGACGTGGGAGAGGGTGATGGTGATGGAGAAGGGGACGACATGCTTGCTGGTCGATGCTGAAGGTCAATTGCTTGTTCGTATCGACTGGTGTCGGTGGTGTATCACACAGCAGGTGGCTGAGTTCTTAAATGTGGTTCTGCTGCGGGAGCTTGATTTGTCCAATACGTTGAGGCAAGATTGCGGAGCAAGTAGTATGCGAGGAGTTCAAGACTCTGGGTATAGGGAAAGATTGGTCAAGAACGGCGTGTTAAAGTAAAAACACCGATACGAGAGAAGTTGTCCTCAAGAAGGGATATGAAGAAGCTTAAATGAGTAGAATAGAAGTAGAGGGGTTGACTGTTGATATTCCGGTGCACATCCCATGGCGCTTGAGCTTTTATATGTCGAGGAGGACCAGGATGGGCATACTAACCAGGGCGAAGAGTGAAGCTGTTGTCATTGATACTCAACAGCATGACGCGAACGCAATACCGTTCACCTCTCACAACTCGTCTCTCCACGGATCTGACGCCTGCTGAAGCACGGTGTGACTTCCAAGCCATGGAGGCAAGGAAAATACTTACGATGCTACATCTGATGCCTGACGGGAGGACCATATGAGGACCAAATGAATTCCTCGCCTCAGATTATAAAAATGACTCGCAAAATGAAACGCCCTCGGCGTGCAGAGAAGCGGAAGGCAGCGGGTCTAAGGAGCTTTTAGTAAACGCATGATCAAAAGTCGGTGTATCTGAAGTTGAAAGATTAAATCCCATGTGACCTAGTGATTTCACTGTACCCAGATTAAGCCATGAAGCGCATCGGTCAAGTCCGCAAAGCAACAACAAGAAGATACTCTTGGCTATGGACAACGAAGCTATGCGTAACAGGTGATGAGTAACCGCCTCAGGCTTTCGCTGTAACTAAGTGACCGGTGACTCGCAAGGGCGTCGGAGTCTCCTGTTACGAACAATGCCGGAGCGGGATCACACGGACAATGTCCACCGTACCATTGAAGCTCATAGGGTAAGGATATACGCGAAGCCGTACTAGGCATATGAGAGTTCTGAGGACGAGCGATTCGAAGCTTGGACGGCGGATAAACAAAACAATGACGTTGAGCATCCCCGCAGGTGATGAAAGATCCGCTCAAACCTTATCTCGCTACTCACTCGTAGGGCGTGAGCAGTTGCGATGTTCGGATGTGAGGTTCCTTCCCCGTGGGTTTATCGCGCCTCCATGACCGAGGTACCGAAAAAAAAGAAGGCAACGGCCGTTGCTTACTTAACAGGGCGGTACCGCATGATGTTTCCACCGTGCCAAAGGGCGATTCCTCAATTCCATGTCTTCCCGCCCTGCGGGCTGTTCTCCGGTTGCCTTGTCCTGCGGTAAAGGCAGTCACGAGAGGATGTAACGGTGACGCGCATGCTGCACCGAATTGTTGCTGTGAGGCGAGCGCCGCGCAGGACAGACCTCTTACCAAATTCATTAAATGCTGGAAGATCACATTGATAGCGTTGCGCGGCTTCGTAGGCAGCTGTACGCTAGGTATCTGGCGGTATCAAGACACAAGGTGACGTCCTGTCTGAAGAAGCCCGCGGTCTCACGCCAAGCCCGCTAGGAAGTATCATTTCTCCACTGGGCAGAGTTTTAGCGTCTCATCAGCAAAGTGTTGCTTTGAACGCGGACTGCTCAGGTGAATGGATGGAACGTCAAATCGTACGTGAGGATTGCTACATCAATTGCTGAGGCACCTCGTAGGATAGATCACGAATTAAATGCCATGTCGTCGAGATGCAAGAAGCGTACTATCATCGACTTCGGAGGCTCGTTGACTAAATGCATGATGGCGCTTCGACTTCCCGATGTTCATGGCATCTGGATTTGTTGCGTAGTGACCAATTACATATCTGAATCGTCACCGAAAACCGCAAAGTCGAGGCCTACAACCAATTAAGGATTTTTATCCGGCACTGGCGCGGACCAAAAAATGGCAGATAAGGTAAAGGGCCTTAACGTACAACGGCGTTGATACTCATCCGAAGCGCGGCATGTGAGCAAGAGAAGAGACCTGGACTCAGATGCGTGCCGTTCCTAGTCACACTGCAATCGCTACTGTCTCAAGCGAAGTCTTTATCCGTCCTGACGGAAGGATCGAGGCCTTCGGATGTTGGAATAAGAGAACCAGTTAGAACGAACGAGACAAAAGAGATCCAAAGGCTTGAAGTCAGAAGACGGTCAAACCTTCGAAGATGCCTATGCTGAGCGGGAAATATTGCCCAGAATGTTACCAGAATGCAGTATGGAAGTTGGAGGACGCTGCAAACGCTGACCGACGCCATAACTCATTCTATCTAGGTACGCGATTGAGGTGCATGCTACGCTGAACAAGTCGAACGGGTATCGCGATCCATCGAAGTAAACACCAATAAAGCGAGCAAGACCAGAATGAAAACTAGAATATGACCATAATAGTGTATGCTTACGCAAGACCGCACCACACGCCGCGAGGAGATGTTCCGCCGATGTCCAACCCGATGCACCATAGCCTGCGCCATGACCTG